TTTAGACGATTTTTATGTTTAACAAATTCATACCAACCTGAAATCACCAATTTAGTTTTAGAAGACACAAGCATGTGTAGGAAAGTCTGATTAGCATTTTGAGACTTACAGAATAACTTCAGAAGTTTGTAATACGATCAGGCACACAGAGTCCCAAGTGATTGAGACGACAAAATATTTTTTGGCAATTGGATTTCTGTACGTTTGTTTCTCTGTAACAACTTTGGTGCCTGTCGCTGATATAACCAAAAGGAAGAACACAGTGAAAACTAAAAGTGATCTGCTGGTAACTTCAATTAGTTTTCTTTTTCTAAAAGGAAGTCTATTTATGTTAGCACTGTTTTAATGGTTTTCTTTTGTGTAGTAGACAGTTTTCATTTGGGATTATCAAGTTAGTTGTAAACAATTGTACAGTTTCAATGAAATGCCTGTCTGTATTCATTTCAATGAAATGCTTATCTGCTATTTCATAGCACAGATTTCCATATTTTTCTCTGATCAAGTGAAACAGACTAAAAAGTACAAAGACTCTTCTAGGGCTCCTTAAAGGTATTCAGCAATATGCAGCATGTTTTTCCCACCCTTGAGACAGGGTCTCACTCTGTGCCCAGTCTGGAGTGCAGTGGCATGATCTCGGCTCACTGCAGCCTTGACTTCCTGGGCTCAAGCCATCCTCCCATCTTAGTATCTCAAGCAGCTGAGACCATAGGCATGTGCCACCATGCCTGGCTAATTTTGGTATTTTTTGTGGAGGCGGGATTTTGCCATGTTGCCCAGGCTGGTCATGAACTCGTGGGTTCAGGCAGTCCCCACCTCAGCCTCCCAAAGTGCTGGGATATAAAGGCGTGAGCCACTGTGCCTAGCCACAGCAGACATTTCTAAAAAATATTCATATCATTCCAAATTTAAAATAGAGTGATTTCTGTAACTTTTTTTTGGGTCACTTATTTAATGTGTGATTTTATCTTAGATGTTTGATACTGTATATAAATTGATTTGTAGTTCTAAAAAAATGAAATCAAGGGGTTCCATATCTGCCTCTAAGATTTCTCAACAACAATTTACAAAGCTAGCTATGAAGACATGTATGTACTTCTTCAATTTCCTGCTGCTGTTCCTTTTCCCATCTTCCTTAGAGAGGCAAAGAAGAAGAGACAGGGAAATTTACTTTTAAAATAGGAGAACATTAAATGCTTTATTATTAACGTGTTATATTAAGCAGTTTTAAGTCACAGTATGTCAAGTGCATACTGTCCTTTATACTGTACCACAACCTCTAAAATATATGCACATTGGGGAAAGAATGGGGGCTCTTTGAGAGTTTCCTTCTAGAGTTGCCAGGTGAAATGTAAGAATTTCTAGTTTATTAATATTATGGCATCTGCAGCCCTGATTAATCTGTATAATCTATAATGTTCAAAAAGAGTTTTGAGAAAATTTCCTCCTAAAATTAATGCCTTAGTAGAAAAAGAATGATTGGGTTCTCCTTTTCTCTTCCCCAAATTGGATGGAAAGTAAACAAGACTGGAGAATAGGTAATTGAGACTAAGATCATTCACAGATTGATCACCCATTATGCAACAGTCATAAAATGGGATAGTTTTCTTGAAGAAGTCCCATAGCCTTTGAGTATCCTCTACTCCTCTGTGATGGTTTGATAATAAGCTAATATTTACTGAGTTCTTGCTATCCATTAGGTACTCTTCTAAGCAAATTTACATGTTAGCTCATTTAATAATATTAAGCCAACATTCTGTGAGATAGACACTATTGTTTTCCTTTTATAGTTGAGGAAACTGAAGCTCAGAGATAAAGTAATCTGCCTACATTTGCACAGCTAGGTGGTAGAGCTGGGATTCCAAAACAGTGACTATAGAGACTTTTCTCTTAATCATTCTACTGTAAAGCCTATGTAGTATTTTTCATTTTTATATTTTTCTTTGTAGGAATTTAGGACAAGTATTTAATTTTATTCTGAGGTTAAGATCGAAATGAATCTCCCTAATTTACAAGTGATGGTAACGACATACAGAATATAAACACTTGGCCATAACTGGAGATGCTTCTGATGAGATTGGGTATGTTTAGGGTGGCGTCGCCATAGATTGGAGGTTTCTTGGGTTTCTTGGTAAGTCTTGGTCCTCTGTTAGTATGCTTTGTCTCTTTTGAACAAGCTCAGGGAGTGTCAGCATAACCATCCTTCTCTGAGTTCTATCAGCCTAAACTGTTTTCACATATCAGAATTTCTGGCTGGGTGAGAGGTTTGTTACAGTTGAAATGGTTTAACATTTTTTAAGGATCAAATCAACTACATAAATGTTTACAAGCTGATAGCTGGATAATTTAATTGTAGTTTATAGTCATAATCAAGAATTGACATGTTTTGCTTTATGTGTTTGAAGCTTATGACCTTTTGACATGTAAAGAAATTACTATCATGTAGGAAACAGTTACTTATTTAGATTAATATCTTTCACCAGAACTGACCTACCCATTTTAATGCTCAGATTTTAGGGAAAGTACATAGATGTAAAAAACTGACTTGGTGTGGTAGATTACACCTGTAATCCCAGCACTTGGAAGGCTGAGGTGGGCACATCACTTGAGGTGAGGAATTTGAGACCAGCCTGGGCAACATGGCAAAACCCTGTTCTCTACAAAAATAAAAAATAAAAAAAAATTTAGCTGCACATGGTAGCATGTGTCTGCAGTCTCAGCTACTTGGGAGGCTATGGTGGGAGGATAGCTTGTGCCTGGAAGGTGGAGGCTGCAGTGAGCTGAGATCGTACCAGTATACTCCAGCCTGGGCAACAGAGTGAGACCCCCATCTTAAAAATACAAAACAGAAACAACTAAAAACCACAAATAAACATGTATCAATTAAAATCCTAAGTCAGATATCTATTATAAAGTAGTAATTTTGTAATGCCTCGTGGATCTCTGTGTATCATTTCATGGTGAATTCAAAAGATGAAGGAAATTAAATAAAACCTTTTCATCTTGATAGTGCCTAAGACACAGCAGAAATTTTACAAATAACAAGTACACAAAAATAGAGATTTGCTTAAAATTGTCCTTAATTTTATCTTTGTTGGATATATAAATCTGTTCTCTGGGATAGTTCCACTTCTTTAAGTAATGGGGAATGTACTAGTTTTATATTCTAAGGCTATCCTAAGGATATCCCATATATTTTTATACTAAACCTTATAGTCTGAAATTTCAAAATTTTATTTTCTTATGTAGTTAAATTATAGTTCTTCAGAGGACCTTTATGATCTCCAGCATAAACTTTTCATTTCAGATTAAAAAAATCCCTGAGTTCTTGAAAGTTAAATTTAATTGTCATTTGTCTCAAAGATAATGGCTACACTAAGATTAGAATTTTAGAGGAATGCAATATTGATTGCTCTAATACTGACAGTTTACAATTATGTTTTATAAATAAGTTTTTCATTATTTTTAGTCTTATGCATAGGGCTCTAAATACATAGATTGGTTTTAGAAGAAAACTAAAAGTAATTTTTTCAAGAAGTTTTAAGTTTCTGTGTTTTTGTTTTATTTTTATTTTTATTTCTAGGAACAGTCTCACTCTGTCACTAGGCTGGAGTACAGTGGCGCTATCTCAGCTCATTTCAACCTCTGCCTTCCAGGTTCAAGCGATTCTCCTGCCTTGGCCTCCAGAGTACCTGGAACTATGGGCTTGTGCCACCACTCCCAGCTAATTTTTGTATTTTTAGTAGAGATAGGGTTTCACCAGGTTGGCCAGAATGGTCTCAATCTCTTGACCTTGTGATCTGCCCGCCTCAGCCTCCCAAAGTGCTGGGATTACAGGCATGAGTCACTGTGCCCGGCCGTTTTGTTTTATTTTTAAAAATTAAGGAGTCAAGAATAACGAGCTTTTATTACAACAGTCTTACAAAAATAGTCATAGTAGCATAGTGTGTTTATCATTGGCTCATATATTATATACACTACATTATTATAAATATAAGATTACAAATAAACTTTGATAAAGCTGAAATACTGTATTATGTTACATAATTGAATGTATCAATGTAATATGAATGTTTATTGTTTTCCTCTGAATGTTTCAAATTAGGCTCTAAGTATCTAAGGATGAGTTTGGCTAAACTATCAAAAATGTAAAGATATTTTATGACAATTACTTTGGAGATTTGTTACCATGCCTGTTTGATACTTCTAGTATATTTCTAAGTATGTTTCTGTTTATATCAGTCCGTGAGGCTTTTATAGGCCTACTTGGTATCATGGATGATGCTGAGGTTATAGCCAGCAGTTTCTTAAGCAGATCATTTGATAGTATGTAGGTAGAGTACAGTTAAATTGACAGCAAGAAGGGTGAAGGGACAAAGGTACTATTTATTATTCCACGTTTGTTAAATGAGTTTGGAAAGTTGAGTGCACTTGTATAGTCATGGAGTAGATTATCTTGGAGCCAAAGGGATTAATCAGCTTCATGTTCAAGTAGGAAATTAGAATAGCATCCTTTAGACAGTGTAATTCTGTTTTCCTGTCTCAGGGCACAAACACTAAAATAGAATAAAACGTTTTATATTCTCATAGGTTCCATGTGCCTGGTGAAGTCTTGGTTCCTTAGTGTAAGATAGAAGTGGTAAATTAATCATTTCCATTTGTCCATCTTTTATTTTTCTAAGTATGAGTTTGGTTGCCGTAGTTTTATATTTTGAATAGCAGGCAATCCTGGAGGTAGGAAGATGGGTAGAAATGGAAGAATTTATGTATGAGATGACTAGGACTGAACTTATAGAACAAATTAAAGATGAAGTAAATGAGTATTTTTTGAGAGACTGAGGTTAAATAGAATTGAGTTAAAATTGGAATAATTGGTTCAGAGTAAAATATAAATGTTTAAGTTACATGTAGGCACTTAAAACCCCTAGTGGTATGTTTTCAAGTACCAATAGAAATTTTACAGTTGAAATTTATATTGTAATATCTTCTCTCTTTTCCCCTAGGTGGTATCATGGAAAACTTGATCGAACGATAGCAGAAGAACGCCTCAGGCAGGCAGGAAAATCTGGCAGTTATCTTATAAGAGAGAGTGATCGGAGGCCAGGGTCCTTTGTACTTTCATTTCTTAGCCAGATGAATGTTGTCAACCATTTTAGGTAAGTATTTCTATTATGAAGCCACATGGTATAGTTATTTTTATATAATATTTATAAATATACCTGTGTGATAAAGGTGAATGACTCAGTAGCACATAATAGAAAAGGATGCTTGTTTTCAGTCAAATGATTTAATCAGTGATTTGGAGAGACTCTTTTGAATGGTCACATTTTTTCTTTAAAAACAATATTGTTGGGCATTACTGTTCTGATTCTCAAATATATTTATAGCTTTTAAAGCATAAAGAATTACAAGTAAACTTTGGTAAAGCTAAAGGAAAGGAATTACATACTTTTAGACTATAGAATAACAAAAAGTATAGGAGACCCTGTTTAAAACTCAGTTTGTGTCCTTTATTTTAGCTTCACTATTCTGAAACTCTTTGTAGACATGTACTTCAGTGAAACAGTCATGTAAATTTTCAAGTGCAAATATTAATTCTGTATATATAAATATATTTATGTATATTATATTCTGTTTCACTTTTATAGAAGAAATTGAAAAAAATCATCTAATGCATATAGTGTTAAATGATAAAACGTTTGTGTACCCTTGGTTTTTAGATTTTAAAGTAAGCTTTAGTAGTACCGTGACACCACATGTAGTATGTAAAATTATTACTGTACTTTGTGTAAATATTTCAACATATCTGTGAGCTACTTTTAGCCAGAGGAAACTTACTAAAATTGTTAATTTGGCCCTAAATATGGAAAGTGAGAAGAGGTATTTGAGGGTGAATTTTCAAATATTTGATGGAATTCTGTAATTGAGGTTTATAAGCCTGATATGTATTTCATATCAAATGCATGTATATATATATATGTAAGAGAAATAGTCCCAAGTAATTTGCTATGATAAAGATATTAACGGTATTTTAGTATAAGGATGTAGTTACAAGGAAAAGAGTATGGCAATTATCGATTTATAATTTCTTCATGAAACTTGGTCTTTAAAATTGGCTGTAAAGATTTTTTATCCTGTTATTTTTTCCTGTTCAAATAGGATTATTGCTATGTGTGGCGATTACTACATTGGTGGAAGACGTTTTTCTTCACTGTCAGATCTAATAGGTTATTACAGTCATGTTTCTTGTTTGCTTAAAGGAGAAAAATTGCTTTATCCAGTTGCACCACCAGAGGCAAGTTTTCAAAAGTTTATTTTTTCACTATAATAATGATTTTAGCTGTTGTTCAGTTTCTTACGAGGTTTATTATAATTCAAGAAGTATTTGTTGTATTAAATTTTAATTTGGGTTATAATGTCAGAACAAAATGGACTTTTCAGTAATTTTGTATTTAAGAAATCAGATTAAAAAGAATACTGTATGGTGATAGCCTAACAAATATTTCTGAATGTATAAGGACAAATTACTGATTTCATAGTACTAAACCTGACTTTGCTGCAGGACTCTGAAATGCCTTCTGTATCATCAGAGAAAGGTTAACTTATATGTTTCATATGGTATATTTAAAATGAAATCAAATATAATATATTACCTGATAAAAGCAGATTGCTTATATTTAAAATATAATTTTCATAAGAACAAAAACAACAAAAAAGCCTTGCTAGGCACTGGGTGTTTATAGTCCAAGTAAAAATTTATTTGATCTCATGGAGTTTCTGTTGTGAATTTTTATTGACTTTAACTGTGTGGATATGCTTCTTTTGACTTTCAGATAAAAAGACTGTCTTTTTAAACCCCCCCCCTTTTTTTTTTAATGATTTCTAGCCAGTAGAAGATAGAAGACGTGTACGAGCTATTCTGCCTTACACAAAAGTACCAGACACTGATGAAATAAGGTATTTTATAATCTATTCTCATGTACAGGCATTTTAAAGAGCTAGACTTGGAAGATTTTTTGCTCTTGGACTGGGAAGGTTTTGCAATTTGAAAAAAACGGCATATAGCAAGGTGAAAGAGCTTTTAATACTGGGTCTATTGCTCCTGGACCTTTGGGTTGGCTTATTTGTTCAGACTGTAGCTTTGGTTCAGGGTGGATCTGATCCACACTGATAGGAGTGAATGTAATAGGAAAAATAATTAGGTTTTATTACATTGTCTCACAAAGGAGAGTTCTCTTTTAATCTATATCCTATTTAAGTTTTTGTTACCATGAGACATTTATGCCCCAGCTATAAATAAGCTTCTATTTTATGTAGTGGATGAATAATTTTAAACCTTTGGAATGTTATAGAACTATGCAACATACTAGTTTTAATTTATTATGTAATTGGTAATCAAATTATCTGTGTCTTTCTATAAGCTATTTAACTTTCTAGTGGAAACTTTGTTTCTTACTATTAATTCTCTCATTTAATTCTTATTGACACACTTTTATTTGTAATCTAAACTGGAAAGCCCTACAAAAGACAAAGGAGAAACTGCGTATATTAAAGAAGAACAGTGATGAATTATAAATTTAGGAATTTAGGTAATTTTTAATTTTTTTGTGGAATCATTTAGGACAGCAGTTCTCAGAGCATGTTCCATGTAACTCTGGGGATCTTTGAGACCCATTTCGAAGTTTCATGTATTAGTCAGCGTTCTCTAAAGGTGAAGATTTATTATTGGGAATTGGTTCACCCAATGATAGATAGAGGCAGAAAAGACCCACAGTTGGCTGTCTGCAATCTGGAAACCCAAGAAGGCCCAGTGGTAAAATTCAATCTACATCTAAAGACCTGAGAACCGGGGAGCCTATGGTGTAAATACTAGTTTGAGTACAGGAGAAGATGAAATGAAATGTCCCAGCTCATCCAGTGAGGAAGAAAAAAAGGGATGAATTTCTCCCTCCTCCACTTTTTGTTCCCTTCAGACCCTTAGTCAACTGGATGATGCCTACTCACATTTGGGATGGCAGGATACTGTCCTCTGATTCAAATGCTGATCTCATTAAGAAACATCCTCACAGACAAATCCAGAAATATAATATTTAATCTGGTAACTCTGTGGCCCAGCCAAGTTGACACATAAAATTAACCATCACAACCCGTGAGATCAGATTATTTTCATAACCATACTAAGATAATTTGCCTTTTTCATTGTGAAGTTTACAGTGATGGTACAAAAGCAATGGGTGGTAAAATTGCGGTGTCTTAGAAATCAAGACTGTGGCACAAAAGTGTACAGTATTCTTCACTGTTACACACTTGGAGTTAAAGACAGCTTCATGTAAGAGTGTTATTGATGAGGGAGTAAAAAATAATTATTAAATTTCAACCTGTGACCATACAACTTTAATCTGTATGATGAAATGGGAAGTATGTATAAAACACTTCTGCTACGTACCAAAGATCAGTGTCATGAGGAAAAGCAATGTGAGATAACTGAACTAGAGACAGAGTCTTGCTCTGTCACCTAAGCTGGAGTGCACTGGCACAATCTTGGTTCACTGCCACCCCCACCTCCTGGGTTCAAGGGATTCTCAAGCCTCAGTCTTTTGAGCAGCTGAAATTATAGGCGCGTGGCACCAGGTCCAGCTAATTTATCTATTTTAGTAGAGACAGGGTTTTGCCATGTTGGTCAGACCAGTCTCCAACTCCTGACCTCAAGTGATCTGCCCGCCTTGGCGTCCCAAAGTACTGGGATTACAGGGATGAGCAATTGCGCTTGGCTTAGCTGTTATTTTTGTGCATACCATTTCACTTGCGAGAATGTTTGACATTTTTTGAAAAAGAACAAAGTGATACTCTTATTTCAAGGAAAATCACTGTTATTTGTTGTCAACGACAAAATTTGAGTTTTGAGTAAAAATGAGAATTTTAGACTTTTCTGTATTGGCCATCAATAATTTTACAATTTCTGAGATAATGACTTTTCTGATGAGATAGGTGGTGATAATAAAGAATGAATTTTTTTCTTTTGCTTTTTTTTTTTTTTTAAGACAGAATTTCACTCTTGTCACCCAAGCTGGAGTGCAATGGCACAATCTTGGCTCATTGCAACCTCTGCCACCCAGATTCAAGCGATTCTTCTGCCTCAGCCTCCTGAATAGCTGGAACTGTGGGCACCTGCTACCACACCTAACTAATGTTGGTATTTTTAGTAGAGGTGGGGTTTCCCAATGTTGGCCAGGGTGGTCTTGAACTCCTGACCTTCGGTAACCTGCCCACCCCAAAGTGCTGGGATTGCAGGCGTGAGCCACTGTGCCTGGCCAAGAATAAGAGGTTTTGATATTGTATATAATGTGTTAATAACTAGAAGATAGACATAGCTCAGAGAACTAATATTTTCTAAATGGTCAATGTATGATGTTATGCATAAGTAAAAGATTTATTCAAAGTGCAAGACAGACCAGTAGATATTATTGGAATGCATACAGAAAGTTCACTGATAAATAGTTTTGGATTCCATATTATAACTAACCTACAAGAAAGTACCACTCGTTGAGTTTTTGATGTGATTTCATAGAACATCTATAATTATCTGAAAAGGTTATTAAAATATTTATCCCTTTTACACTGTATTCTTAGGTGAAGCCGGATTTTCTTCATATGCTTTGAGCAAAAAATCATATAGCAGCAAATTTAATACAGAAGCAGATACGGGACTCCAGCAGTTTTTGATTAAGCCAGGCATTAAGAGATTTGCAAAATTATAAAACAGTGATATTCTCACTAAATTTGTAAAAGTTAGAAATATTTTTCATATATTTAATGAGTTTTTTTTAGAGGAATTAGTAAATATTTTGTAAACATTTGTTTTAAATTTGAATATGGTAAATATCTTTAGATAGCCATATAAATAAAAACCACTTAGGGTATCAATTTTTAAGAGTGTAAGAGGTCCTGAGAGACCAAAAAAAAAAAAAAAAGAAGAAGATGGGAATTTAAACAATATTTAGATGATAGAAATTTGGCTTTAGGCCGGGCGCGTTGGCTCAAGCCTGTAATCCCAGCACTTTGGGAGGCAGAGGTGGGTGGATCACGAGGTCAAGAGATCAAGACCATCCTGGTCAACATGGTGAAACCCCGTCTCTACTAAAAATACAAAAAATTAGCTGGGCATGGTGGCACGTGCCTGTAATCCCAGCTACTCAGGAGGCTGAGGCAGGAGAATTGCCTGAACCCAGGAGGCGGAGGTTGTGGTGAGCCGAGATAATGCCATTGCACTCGAGCCTGGGTAACAAGAGCGAAACTCCGTCTCAAAAAAAAAAAAAAAGAAATTTGGGTTTATGAGTCTTTTAAAAAATTTGTGCATACCCGTGAATTTTAAAATAAAATACCTTAAAAATTAATGATTTAATAAATCATTTTAGTTTGTTTTGAGGGGGAAAACACAAAATAATACAGAATGAGTTATGGTTATGTTCTATTACTACTAACAAGCTTATTTAAAATTTTTTTTTAGTTTTTGGACCATGAAAAGTTGGTATAGCAACAACTTTGAAACTTTATGACTACTTTCAACTAAGAAATGAAATTTACCAGTTCATGTGCACCCTCCATTTACACACTCAATGATTTTCCTTACTGTGCTTATTTAAGCGGTTCTAGAAAGGAATAATTTAATTGGTTAAGTGATAATGTCTGCTGCCATTCAGCTAGTGAAATATTGGCCATCATTAAAGAAGGATTGTAGAATCAAGATAGAATATAACATTCTATGATTCTTCAAATACTGAGTTAAATGTTGTATATAAGTTCTGTTTTTCGAAACATTGTCCAAGAAACAGTGACGCTTGAGATAGCATAGAGAAAACAGTTAAAGCTTTCAAGGATAGAAGAATAGATTAACTTAAATTTACTTAATAGACTTTGGTTTGTGAATTTGTGAATGTTAAGACTGAAAGGAAAATTGTTGAAAAATATGACAGATACAGTTACAGATATAGGATTAATAATAGCATCCAACAAATCTTGAAACTTTGTGTTCAGAAGCATTCTTTCAAAGCATGTATTTTTTGCCTTCTTGTTTTTTATCATAAATGAAGTTGTATCAGTCTGATCATGGAATCGCAACTGGCTGTACATGTTTGGTTTCAGATTCTTTATTTTTCAAATACATATATAAATTTCCAGTAAACTTGGAATAATTCATTTATACAGTTTGAATATCATCCTTGTTTTTGATTTTTTTTTTTTTTTTTTTTTTTTGAGACGGAATTTCGCTCCTGTTACCCAGGCTGGAGTGCAATGGCGCGATCTCGGCTCACCGCAACCTCCGCCTCCTGGGTTCGGGCAATTCTCCTGCCTCAGCCTCCTGAGTAGCTGGGATTACAGGCACGTGCCACCATGCCCAGCTAATTTTTTGTATTTTTAGTAGAGACGGGGTTTCACCATGTTGACCAGGATGGTCTCAATCTCTTGACCTCGTGATCCACCCGCCTTGGCCTCCCAAAGTGCTGGGATTACAGACTTGAGCCACCGCACCCGGCCTGTTTTTGATTTTATATATAACCTACATCTGAAAGAGTAATAACATTGAAACATAATTTTTTCAATTCAGTTTTCTTACATCCCCAAACCTTTAATATATGTATAATTAGTTTCTGTTAACAGAAGTTGTAATTTGAGTCTACCAATAATTCAGTGTTAGAGATAGTACAGATACTGTTATCAAACCCATTTTACTCATGAGGAAATTAAGATTCAGATTATTTATTATCTTCAGAGATTTACATGTAGATAATGCCAGAAATAGTATACAAATTTAGGGTATTTGACTCTAATTCCTTGTATTTTTCGATATATTACTATCCTGTTTTGTGGTGTATGACTGTTCTAATTTATGTATTTAAAATTTTAATAATTTAAAAATTGCTGTTTTCAGTTTCCTAAAAGGAGATATGTTCATTGTTCATAATGAATTAGAAGATGGATGGATGTGGGTTACAAATCTAAGAACAGATGAACAAGGCCTTATTGTTGAAGACCTAGTAGAAGAGGTGGTAAGTTTTGTTTTTTTCTTCTCAATTCTAAATTCTAATTATTTGATAACATTTGGATCTTGCCCATAATCAGAGAAAGTAGCTATGAATACATTTCTTTTACAAAAGAACTTAATTGGTAAGTACAAGGAGTTTTTCATTAAAATCTATGTATTGTAAGTGCTGTTTTTTAGTGTGGTGCATAAGCTAGCTTTTTATAATACATAGCTACCAATAATCAGAAAGCTTTTATGAGTTTCTATGAATTAAAAATATATTAACATTTGTGCCTTTTTGAGACAGAGTCCTGGTCTGTTGCTCAGGCTGGAGTGCAGTGGCACAATCTCGACTCACTGCAACCTCCACCTCCCAGGTTCAGGCGATTCTCGTGCCTCAGCCACCCAAGTAGCTGGGATTAGAGACATGCGCCACCACGCTCAGCTAATTTTTTAATTTTTAAAAATAGAGACAGGGTTTTACCATGTTCGCCAGGCTAGTATCAGATGCCTGACCTCAAGTGATCCACCCGCCTTGACCTCCCAAAGTGCTGGATGACAGGTGTGAGCCACTGTACCTGGGTCATTTGTGCTTATTTGTGTCCCTTTTTTTGCCCTCTTGTTCTTCTTTATAAATGAAGTTATATCGGTCTGATCATGAAATCTCAACTGGTTGCACAAATTTGGTTTCAGATTCTTTTATCTTTCAAATATATGTATAATTTTCCAGTAAACTTGGAAGAATTCATTTATATTATGCATATGTTATTACATGGTTCTACAGTTTGAATACCATCCTTACTTTTGTTGCCATCATAACGTTATGATACGGTATTTATTACATGTGCATTTTTAATAACAGGTCAGCATTTGAATAGCTTTTATACTTCAGAAACAACACTCAGTATCAAATATATCAAACATTATGACTTTGGAATTCTCCCTTTCCTTTCTGATTTGTCTAGTGGGATGGAGTGGCTTTCTGTTGTCTCTTACAGCCCTCAAAGCTACTCTTTTTAAATTATGTCATCAGACCTGATAATATACTGAAATGTATACACTGATTATTGCTCCCAGAAGACTGCAGTGGAGAATGTATTTCTTTTCCTATACTCTTTCCTGTCTATTTTGGCAACTGAAACAGAAACATCTTTTCTAAAAGCATACTATGTAGAGGTGGAAAAAGTTGAGGAAATGGTGTGATACATTCTATACTCATAGTCTTATAGTTGTTGAGTGAAAGAGCTAGGATTAGGACTCCTAATTCCTAGATTAGTATTCTGTATTCTACAGTAAAAGAGATATTTATTCCATATAGGCAAACAGTAATTATACTGAAGCATCTTACTATGTTAGTTTTCCCGTAAAATTTGTTACTAAAACTTTTAGTTTGGGTTTCCCTCTTCCTCCTATACCACCATCTTCCCCATCCTGATTACTTAAAGGAATTGCACTGTAGTTGAGCTTTTCTTGAGCTCTTGGAATTCTGGATCAAAATTAACAAGATAAACTTTAATAAGAGTAAGTGAAAATTATTCAATGTATACAGAAAAACAGTAACAACCCAAACCAGAATAAGGAGACATGACCTAACATCAGTCAATACAAGGGATGAAGAAAAAAGTTGGCAACCTCCTATGAGTGAATAATGTGATGTGGTTGCTAAAAATGAATATAGTAACATTATAAATTAATAGTGGAATAATTACAAGTCAGTTATAAATAATTTTTACTCCAATATGTAGAATAACTTTCACGATGGGCTTTATTAGAGGATACTGAATTCCTTGTAGATTGAAAAACCATTTGGACATTTTTAGATTGTGAAGATGTTTCAGGCATTCAGTTAGTAGTTAGATTTAAAGAATTTCTCCTTCTAAAATTGTAATTTCTATTCCCTGAACACATTTGTGCTTTTATATATTAACTCTAGAATGTATGCTCTGTGAGGGGAGGGACTTTTGTCTCTGATTGACTGATGTATTCCCATTGCCTAGAATAGTGGCTGGCATTAGTAGGCATTCCGTAGATGTTTGTTAAGTAAATGAATATCTCTATGCTTATAGTATTCCCTTTTCCTTGACATTCTGTCCTGTTAGAGTGCCTTGTAAAATTCATCTTTATCAGTTCAGTTCATGTGTCACCCCTTGTTTCACAGAGGATTTATGCCTTTTTGGAATCTCTTAGGCAAAATCGTTTCCTTCTATTACACTGTCTAAAATTAATTTATTATGTATACTTATTCTATAAGAGAGTAACCCTTTTTGGGCAGTGATACAATGGTAATGCTATTCATTTTTATAGTTTTGTTTGTTTGTTTGTTTTCCTACTGCCTTGGATATAGTAGCATTCAGTGAGTGTTTGATTTTAGTTTGATTAGGTATTTAATGAGTGAGGACCAAATTGTGAAAAATAAATCCACATGCAGTTAGACCATTTTTCTCTATAATAGTGGAATGAGTAACACTGTAGTATCTTAAATCAGAGGAATGTAGAATAAAATAAAGTTCAAAAGATGATAAAAGGGGGATTCATTTTATCCCCCTTTTATATTCAGAGTTGGTGTTCACTTTTTAGGGCCTCAAAATGTCTCATTGAAGACGTAGCATTTGAGATGGTTCCTTCCTAGATGGGATAGGTTTTTATCTAACAGGTAGGAAGCAAAAAGTGGAAAGTACATTCTGAAAACAAAAAGAAAAAGCTACAGTGGTAGGAGATTGGCAAATAGGAAGTTATGTGTGACCATGGCATAGGTACCTAAAAAGAATTGATAGTATGAGACAGAAAATGTGGAGTTGAGTCCTGTGGTAAAGGACTTCAATTGCAGAATGAGAAATTTGTAGGCGGTAGAGAGGTGTTTGTTTTTTGTTTGTTTTTTTCTTAACGTAGGGCAAAGCTGCTATTGAAACTGATGTATCCAAGTTAGAGTGGTGGAGTAGGATATAGAGATAATTATATTAGTTGGGCTGTTGTACTAATTTAAGAAAAATGGGTAAGAGGGCCTGAATTAGGGTAATGGCAACAAGAAAAGATTAAGAGAGGTATGGAAAGATACTTCTTGAACAGAAACATCTTTTCTTGTATACACATAAATATGAAGGGCAGTGTGGATTGAAGATATGATTTTTTAACAGAAGTAGATTAATAGTTAATTATATAAAATACTGTCTTAATGTCTTCCCTTTAGGGCCGGGAAGAAGATCCACATGAAGGAAAAATGTGAGTCTGTGTTAATTATTACAATGAAAAAAATAAATGTATCTACATTATAAATTTACTAATTGGAACACTTTGGCCAAAATTTGGTTTTAAAGTTTTTAGACTGACTTAAACATCTTTTTAATTTGGCTTATGGAACTGATTTCTAAATATTTTATTAAGGATCTAATGATACAACTAAATACAACTCTGTCACCACACTTAAAGACTTTCAATAAACATTACATTTATAACATTATGAATGTCACAATTCCGCACAATTTAAAATTATTCATAATGTTTATTGGTTATTCACAGTATTTCTTGTTTTATAGCCACATCTTTTATCCTTACCCCTCCCCCCCCATAAAGGTTCTTTACAATTTTACTAGGATTCTGCAAGGTCTTTTTTTCATAATCTTCAGACTGATTTTATGTATACGTAAGTTTTCTTTTAAAGATCTGAACCATTAATCCCAATTCTGTCTTATTCACATTTTAATAGATTATATCTTGTAATATCTTTTCAGTAGTACAATATTTTTTTTTCATTCAGCATTTATGGATGGAACTTGAGGCTTGCCTCAGTGTTTGTTTTTTCTATTTTATAACTGTTAGAATATAAAAACATTAACTGACTACTCCATTTGTAGTCACCTTATTTAATGCTTCACCCTTCTGTAAGTGAAATATGTAAGATACTTTATGAGTTCATTTTTATTATTTCTCATAGCTACAAAATAGACTCCATTAGTGAGACTGTACCTTGCTGTTTGTTGTATTGGTTTCAAGTCTTCCCCTCTTCAAACTAATACTCTTCAGGAGTTTTTAATTCTTTTTTGTTATTTTTATTATTATTATTTTTTGACACAGAGCCTTGCTTTGTCACCCAGGCTGGAATGCAGTGGCATGATCTCTGCTCATTGCAACCCCTGCCTCCCGGGTTCAAACGATTCTCCACTTCAGCCTCCTGAGCAGCTGGGACTGTAGGCGCACAACACCACACCAGGCTGATGCTTGTACTTTTAGTAGAGATGGGTTTTTGCCATGTTGGCCAGACTTGGCTTGAACTCCTGACCTCAAGTAATCTACCACCAGCCTTGGCCTCCCAAAGTGCTGAAATTACAGGTGTGGCCTACTGTGCCCAGCTAGGAGTTGCAAATTTTGATTAATGCTTCGAGGATCAGATAGACAATGTAAGCAAGTGAAGTAGGTCAGGTGTATATATTCCCAGTTTTCTTTAGACACAATAATCTTGATCTTTCTTATTTTCCCTCTTTGATAGAGATCAAGGTACATGGAACTATGTTCCTACTATCAAAAAACAACACTGTAAGTGTGGTAACAAATGGCACTGACATTCATTCATGGTATTAGAGAAAACTGGGAGGTGGAAAACTAGAAAGAGTTTGCCTGTTGTAAGGTAATCACTCTAGTTGATGTGTATAGGGATATGAGTCTAGTGTTACGAGAGCCTCCTGATTTTCAAAAGCCCATAAATCTAGATTTTTATTTTTATTTTACATTATAGCAATGGAATTTTTAATTTAAAAATGTAGGTTAAATGCCAGTAAACACTTAAAGCTGCATACCTTTCTCATAAAACATAAATCCCACTTTCACTCGGAAGTCTTTTTATCTGATAGCATTGTCATTCTTCCATTTTTCTTAACTTTATGTAATTTCTTATTTGGTATTTAGCATAACTAAAATTTTCATTGTTGGTTTATTTTATGTGTGTGTTTGTTCCCTTTAATTTCTTAATACAGGACTATGGCGGTGTGGCGGTACTTTAAATTCTTTAAAGTGTCCTCAGTAACATCCATAAGTACCCTTTGAGATTAAATAGATGGTATAACTTTGGTTTTTTTTCCAGCTCTCTGTTTCCATGATATAAGCACAGAGTCCGGATGGTTTTGTTTCCTAAAATATTTCTTGAATGTTTACCGCCTTCTCAAATCTTAAATAACTATATTCTAGTTCAGGCCTTTTTAAATCTCTTGCCAGTATTTGACATAGCAGTAACCTCCAAGTGGATCTCCCTTGACTCTTTAGCCTTATCAGTTCCTTTTTTCCAGTAGCTAGAATAATTTACCTAGATGATATCACATATTCACCTAAAATCCTTAATTACCAGCAGATACATGAAAAAATGCTCACCATTCATTATTGATCATCAGATAAATGCAAATCAAAACTACAATGACATTTCATCTCACCCCAGTTATAATGGCTTTTATCCAAAAGATATGCTATAATGAATGCTGGCAAGGATGTGGAGAAAAAGGAACCCTTGTACCCTGTTGGTGAGAGTGTAAATGAGTGTAGTTACTATAGAGTTCAGCATGGAAGTTCCTCAAAAAATTGAAAAGAAATCAGTATATCAAAGAGAAAGCTGCACTCCCATGTTTCAGCACCATTCAGAATAGCTGAGATGTTTAATCAACCTAAGTGTTCATCAGTGGATGAACGGATAAAGAAAATATAGTACATACACACAATGGAATACTATTCAGCCACAAACAAGAATGAAATCCTGTCATTCACAACAACATGAATGGAACTGGAGAATGCCATGTTAAGTGAAATAAGCCAGGCACAGAAAGACAAATACCATGTGTTCTCACTCATATGGGAGCAAAATATTGAAAATTGAACTCATGTAGATAGTAGAATGGTGGTTACCAAAGGGTGGGAAGTGGGGATACAGTAGGGCTGATTAATGAGTACAAAACTACACCTAGATAGAATGAATAAGATCTAATATTTGGTAGCACATTAAGGTGCTACCAAATAATTTACTGAATATTTAAAAATAAAAGATAGGAATTGCAATGTGCCTAACACAAAGAAATTATTATATGTGTTTGAGGTGTTGAATACTCCAGTTACCCTGAATGGATTATCACACATTATATGCTTGTATCAAAACATCACTGGTACCCCATAAAAATATACAAATATTATTTGTATACATTATCCATCAAGACAGAAAAAATAAAAATTAAAAAATTGAACCTTATGCTGATTCTCCACCTTTACCTTAGCAGAGCCTAAAAAATGATCTGTTATATGGCTGTTTTGTCCTTTACTACTCCTGTCACTTACCATCACTAGTTTTCTAATCTCCGTCTTGTAGGTCTTCAAATACATACTATTTTTTTCTGTATTGTTTTAGAGATAGGTTCTTGCCACTGCTCAAGCTAGAGTGCAGTGGTGCTATCATGATTCACTGCAGCCTCAAATTCTTGTGCTCAAGTGCTCTTCCTGCCTGAGCCTCCCAAGTAGCTGAGACTACAAATGTGCACCACCACACGTGGCAAATGTTGTAAATTTTTTTTATAGAGAGGGGGGTCTTACTATACTGCCCAGGCTGGTCTCAGACTCCTGGCCGCAAGTGATCCTCCCACCTTGGCCTTCCAAAGTGTTGGGATTACAGGTGTGAGCCATTGTTCCTGGCTATTTTTCTTCTTTATATCTTTGCTCAAGCTGCTTCCTAGACCAGAATTCTTCCATTCATACTTAGCTCATTTATCACTTCCCCCTAGGAAATCTTCCTTTATTTTCTTCCCTACGCACTCAACAGAATTGGTACCCTTCTCTGTTATTCCCATAATGCCTTTGGCAGTACCTATCACTGTGCTTATATTTTCTACATTGTTTCTGTAGTTAGGGTCTCACTATGTTGTCCAGTCTGGTCTCGGACTCTTGTGCTCAAGAGCTCTTCGTGACTTGGCCTCCAAAAGTACTGGGATTATAGGTGTGAGCCACCATTCCTGGCCTAGGAGTGGGGACTTCATTAAGATCAGGGACTCATCTTTTTTATCATTGCTGCAAACCATGTGGTTGAAATATATACATTTTATACTGGAATAAATGTCTGAAGAATGAAATTATTTTTAGAAAGTGATATTGCTGCTTGTAACTTCAGACTGCATGCTTCTGCTAAATAATCTTTTTCATCTGTAAACCTTATCATTTTTTTTTTTACCATTCTCTTTTTGAATTTTTTTTCTAACTGTAGAAGTAGAGGATTACCCTTGGAGGTAAGGTCATCTAGTTGACTCTCCTCCAGAATATAAAAATCCTGCTCTAACATTTGTAGTAAGTGGTCATTTAGCCTATGCTCGAATGTAGTGAAGATCCTCACTACATGCAGTCTGGACTGTTTTAGTTGTTGTACACTTGCTTTATATTATTCAAAATTTGCACGGGGAGTACCAGGAGATCTGAATTAGTGAGTTCATGCTTCGAATGGTTTTAAAGAAAAGTTTACCTTTTTATTCATATGAAAATTAAAAAATTCAATTATACTTTCATTCTTCACCAGTAATAATAGTATGGATCATTTAAAACAATGTGAACAACCTCTGAACCTGTAACACTGGACTTTAGAGCACTTATATATTTCAGTCCTATGTTTACTTTCCAGCTTGCTCTTTAATCTATTACTTAGAATAATTGCAGACCCTAATAAGATACAGCAAAGTAGTAGAAAGGTGATCGGGAATTGTCAGCCTGGCATTAAGATGTGTTAATCAGCAAGATAGATAATAGGCCTTTAGGTAAATAAGAGGTGATTTTATATACTTTGATAACTAGTAATTACTTTTTAAATCAGATACATCATTTTATTTGAAGGTAAAATTTAAATACTGATGTTATTTATATGCTCTATATTTTGACTATGATGCCATTTATAAAATTTGGAAAGGCTTAATTTAAGAATACAGACTATAAAATACTTAGCAACCTGGTTTGATAGGCTGTTAGCGCAAACAGAGTTAGGAACACTAAGTCCTTCTTTTCTTTTTTTTTTTTTTTGAGACGGAGTTTCGCTCTTGTTACCCAGGCTCGAGTGCAATGGCGCGATCTCGGCTCACCGCAACCTCCGCCTCCTGGGTTCAGGCAATTCTCCTGCCTCAGCCTCCTGAGTAGCTGGGATTACAGGCACGCGTCACCATGCCCAGCTAATGTTTTGTATTTTTAGTAGAGATGGGGTTTCACCATGTTGACCAGGATGGTCTTGATCTCTTGACCTCGTGATCCACCCGCCTCGGCCTCCCAAAGTGCTGGGTTTATAGGCTTGAGCCACCGCGCCCGGCCAAGTCCTTCTTTTCTTTCAGTTCTTGGTGTTAGTATCCACTTGTTCTTATCACCCAGTCTTATATTTTGGCTTTTAGCAAAGTAAGAGTCAACATCTTGAATTTATTTGAAGAGAGAACTTACCAGATGTTATAGGAAAATTCAGAAATAGGAGAAAAAATTCATTAAGTTTTTCAGGAAATTCTGGAGTAGGCGCTGTCTGTACTACTCCTTCTCCTCTCCCCATAAAACAGAAAAAAAAAAAAAAAGACCTATAACAGTTTGTTATTAATTCAGGATTAAAAATTGTTGCCATTTTTGTATAGGTAATGAAAATTGTAGTTTATATTTGATAGTTCCTAGTTTTACTACATTTTGTTGCAATTAAAGAGTATATATATATATACAATGTAACAAAAATGTATTAAGAATGACATTATTTGATTAATTGCATTTATTTTATTGTATCAATTTGAATTAAACTTATTGTATTGATTGTTTAGTTTTGATCATATAACAACAAAAGGACTTTATATATCTAATTTATTCTCTTTTTAAGATGGTTCCATGGGAAGATTTCCAAACAAGAAGCTTACAATTTACTAATGACAGGTACCTTTGTATTTACTTGCTTTTCTAATGTCTATTTAAAGAGAATAAAAAGGTGAATAAAATATTATGTGTTTTGCATTTAGCATTCAGTTAGTGTTTATGCATGTTATAATTTTCTGTCCAGTGCTAAGAAGCTGGTGTTTTTGTTTATATTTTAAACATACATGTAGTATAAAATTTAGTAAAGTGTTTTTCTTCTACTTCAGGCTCCTGTCCACTTCCTCAGAAGTAACACTAGATGACAGTTTTTTTCTCATATGTTTCTAGAAGTTTTCTGTGTCTCTGTGAATCTCTCTCACCCCTACACATACACACACAGAAATATGCAGCACAATTTCTTCATGTTAGATATATATTGGGAGATGATTCTGTATCTGCAGATAAAAATTTTCGTTACTCTTTTTTTATGGCCTTAAACTTTCAAATATAAATACCATAATTAACTAGCCTTCAATAGAAGGATATTGTATTTTATTCTTTTGCTGTTCAGCTACAGCAGACATTCTTGTGTTTATCTTTGTATACTTGTGGAATTATATGAGTGAGCCTTATTTAATATGTATTAATTTTAACATTTCCCAAAACTCTTGTGCTTTAAATAGAAAGTAAAATTTGACTTGTATTGTGGGTTTAACCATCCTGTCATTGTTTATTTTTACTAAATATTTAAGGCTGAATTAATTTAAATACTAACCATTTCTTTGGCAGACCACAGCTTATAAAGATTTCAGACGCATGTAAGCTTTACTAAGTAATTTAAAAGTTTTATTTCTTCAAAAATGTTGACTATTCAGTAGTTTCTGTATTTGGTGAAATAAATTCTTATGGTGATAACACTAATTATTAAAGATGTAATCTGAGTTGTTTTAATCCATAGAGCATTTTATTTTATTTATTTATTTTTTGAGATAGAATCTCGCTCTGTCATTAGGCTGGAGTGTAGTGGCGTGATCTTACTGATTGCAACCTCCCCTTCACGGGTTCACGCAATTCTCTTGCTTCAGCCTCCAGAGCAGCTGGGACTACAGGTGCGTTCCACCACACCCCAGCTAATGTTTGTATTTTTAGTAGAGACAGAGTTTCACCATGTTGGCCAGGATGGTCTTGATCTCTTGAGCTTTTGATCCACCTGCCTTGGCCTCCCAAAGTGCTGAGATTACAGGCGTGAGCCACAGCTCCCAGCCTAAAAGCACTGCATTTTAAATTAATACTTTACTCTTTCGAAAGATTTGAGATAATTTTTGAAGTACTCAATTTTATTGTAAAGATGTAGGTTAATTAGGTTCAAAAAAGTTTTAAAGAAAGATGATAATGCTGTATGATAATAAGAGAAGAAATTTTAAACCAAAATTATATTCTAACAGCTACTTCAGTGTGGAACCGAAAATATGTAGTTTAGTGAATTTATTGAATTTTGAATATAAGTTTCTTTTCTGGAACTTGTACCACCAAGTACTTAAGGTACTTACTCTTGTTTTAGGCATACAAGGTTGAAAAGGAACTAAGCTTAATTTCCTTACATTAGTTTGCATTTTCTTTGTTTTATGTGCTCTTTTGAGAATCTGGTGGGATTTTCTCTCCTGAGGACTACAAATAAGCACTTACATGCGCAATTTTGCATGAAATTCCTATCATTTTCTAGAATACATTTAGAGAGTATCTTGGATTCTTGTCACTAAGATTTGTTTTATCAACTTATAAACACTTTCATTTGAGCCCATATTATGCAGTCAGTTTTTGTAACTTTTATATTTACTTAAGTGTTAAGTCTTGAAGATTCAGTTTTAGGAGACTTATTTTTTCTTTTTACTGAAAAGGAAGTTAGTTGATAATAAGTGCCTTGATTGGATGATTGGAACTATTAGTAATTTACCCAAAAACTTTATCTTTCACATTTACTGTGCTTTCCTAAAAACAATCAAGTCCTGATCTTTTCTGTATCATTCGGACTTAAATGGATAAGAGAAAAAAAAGACCTGTAACAGTTTGTTATTAATCAGGATTAAAAATTGTTGTCATTTTTGTATTGGTAATGAAAATTGTAGTTTATATTTGATAGTTCCTAGTTTTACTACATTTTGTTGAAATTAAATATAGTATGTATATACAATGTAATAAAAATGGATTAAGAATGAGATTATTTGATTAATTGCATTTATTTCATTATCAATTTGAATTAAACTTACTGTATTGATTGTTTAGTTTTGATCATGTGATAACAGAAAAAGGACTTTCTATATCTAATTTATAAATAAATTAGATATTTAAATAAAGAGAAAAGGTAGAGCGTTTCAGTACTAGGAGTCACTGCCAATCAAAGATATCAACAGTTCTCTAAAATTAATGACATATTTAATATATGATAATTTGCTTCTATAATTCCTTGCAGGAGCATACCTACTGAATAAAATAACAGTGTATGTGTATTGATTTTAATAATTCATATACATATTTCAGTTGTTTTGAATCTACCTTTATAAAAAGCTTTTGGTACTACTTTATTACAGTCATTATTTTTTAATTTTTTAAAAGAGATTCTTGTATTTATCTTTGTACACTTGTGGAATTATATGATTGAGTCTATTTAATATGTATTAATTTTAACATTTCCCAAAACTCTTGTGCATATAAATACAAAGTTAAAATTGACTTGTATTGTTGGTCTAACCATCCTGTCATTGTTTATTCTTACTAAATATAGGATAGGATCCTGCTGTGTTGCCCTGGCTGGTATTGAACTCCTGGGCTCAAGTGATTCTTCTGAGTAGCTGGGATTATATGCATGTACCATTGTGCCTGGCACAGTCATTATTGTTTAATGATTAATTGAAAACATTAGTTAAGCACAGAGTATTCTTAAGCAAAATTAGTCTTTACTTTTTAGAATCTTATCAAGAGGATTTACAAACAGAATTTAGCAATTTTAGCTCATATTCCCTAATTTTGCTTACCTTTCCATATTATGACACGTGTAGACATTACTGACCAGAAGTTATGCTGTAAAATTTCTGCTCTCTACTTTTATGTATTAAAGCTGGTAAGACACATCAGAGAGAGCAGATAGACAAAATGGATAGTTGTGAATCATAAACAAGAAAATTTGAAAGAAAATTTGTTTAAAAAACATGTTCTGGTGAAAATTTATATATGTTTATGACTTTGAATGGACTTTATAATAGTACTACTTAACATCTTTTCTTTTTTATTTGATAATTAGGTAACAAAACTAACATATTAATTTTTACAGTTGGTCAAGTCTGCAGTTTTCTTGTGAGGCCCTCAGATAATACTCCTGGTGATTATTCACTTTATTTTCGGACCAGTGAAAATATTCAGCGATTTAAAATATGTCCAACACCAAACAATCAGTTTATGATGGGAGGCCGGTATTATAACAGGTAAATCCTAATTTTTTAGTTACCTTTTACTTTTGGCAAAAATAGTTGAAATCTTGATAATAAAAGATTCAAAATTATATAAAAGTTTCTAACTTCTAAAAATTATAAGACCTTTAATATAATTGCATAGTAGTCATGCACAGTAATTCTTTAGACAGTGTCAAATATGAATACAAATTAGTAACTTATACTTAGTTTCCTTCCACAGTAATTTTTGCTATTTTAAAATTAGACATAAGCTGTTTGCAAAAAATTTGCTAAATCTATATATAATCTGTAGGAGGAGCAAAATATCTAAGAAAAAGAAAATACTGGCTGGGCGCGGTGGCTCAAGCTTGTAATCCCAGCACTTTGGGAGGCCGAGGTGGGTGGATCACGAGGTCAAGAGATCGAGACCATCCTGGTCAACATAGTGAAACCCCGTCTCTACTAAAAATACAAAAAATTAGCTGGGCATGGTGGCACGTGCCTGTAATCCAAGCAACTCAGGAGGCTGAGGCAGGAGAATTGCCTGAACCTAGGAGGCGGAGGTTGCGGTGAGCCGAGATCACGCCATTGCACTCCAGCCTGGGTAACAAGAGCGAAACTCCGTCTAAAAAAAAAAAAAAAGAAAAAGAAAAAGAAAATATTATTTTGTTAGTGAGATACTTTAATACAAAAAAAAAGTTTCTAAAGTTACCTGAGACTTATTGTACAGATTATCATGTAATTGAGTTGTTCTCAAGTTGACATTTCTTATATGTGATTGTTGCTTTTTACTTCTCACTTTCAAAGTAAACTAATTGTCCCGAAACTCAGGATGAATTATTACTTGATTAGGAAAATAATAGAGGAAACCATATGATAGAATGTCAGACATTTTTCTGTCAAATAGAAAATAATCTTCATTTGTGAATGTAAAAGTTTTCCTATAACTAATAACTCTAGAGTAACACTGTTTTCCTTTTTCAGAGGCTGGCATAATCTTGTTCTAAAACACATTTGCCTAGTTTAACCCCTCAATACCACAGTAGCAATCTCTATCCAAATTAGAATTTATCAAACTAGACATTTGAATGAAGAGAGAGTCTGTAGCTGGTTTCTCCGAAAAAACAAAAAATAAAACAAGTTCTTCTGGTTGTTTGCTGGAAGCTCAGTTGACTGTTACAAGACATCAAATTTAAGATGGGAGTCTAGGCAGCTGGACCCTTTTGCCTACCTCATATACAAGTTGCTTGAGTACTTTCTGCATGACAATCTGAGTTCTAGATGTCCTCACTGAAAATGCAGCTAGTTGCAATTTGAACTCTTTTAAGAATGTATTTTTTCCCATTTCTAGTTTTCTAGAGATTTAGAACATACAAAATAATACATAGAAAACATTTTCTTCTTAACTGAATGAATGTCCATATTGAGATTGTTTTTAAAGATAAAATAACTTACATAGAATTTCTGTAAGTTTGTTTTGTCACTGACTAAAACTTCCTTAAGATACATCACACAAAATTGGAAATTCTTGCTGCATAGTGGAGGCACTAGGTAAAACACGAAAAGGTAGTTGCTTTTTGTTGCTAAATACCATGATGGAACATGAAAAAAGAAGTATTTTAAGGGATTTCTGTCCAAATTATTGCAATATTATTAGTCTTTTCAAAATGAGGATTTTTTAAAAAAAGTTAAATACATGTTAATTTAGTGCCCTTGACCATTCCCCAAGAACTTTGATTTTTAGAATTTTTATTCCCTCTGAATTTGTTTACAAATTCATCTTACTGTTTCCAGTTTTAACAGTAAACTTTTAAAAGAAAGCCCCAAATTATATTAATCAGGTGCCATGAAAATGAAGGATTTTGTAATTGTTTTGGAAATAATATTTCAGCATTAACATTAGTAACAATGTCTGAAATAATTCCTGGGAAGAAATATAGCCATACTCTGCTGTCCCATCTCTCCATCAACTATACATATGAGACTTCTGAGAAAGAGAGGCAGTAGTTAGTTACGTTTTTCATTTAGAAACTGTTAAGATATAACTTTAATATTCTTATATTGAGAGTTTTAAAAAAGCCAAAAAGGCATTTAATAGCAAATTTAATTCAGCAGACATTTATAGACTTATCTACTTTGTGAAATATACTGTACAAATCCTGTGTAAATACATTAAAGAAAAAGATACAATTTCTTCATTATTAGTGCTCAGGTTTATTAGAAGAGATAGTATAGTATGCAGACTGTGAAAATTCAGGGGATATATAAATGTGCATGGGAATCAGTAGATGAGAGTTCAGTGGGTGGTGAGAAGGAAGAGGATGGATTTTGTCCAGACCTTGAGGATTATTAACATTTATCTATGCTTCAAGAAGAGTGCACATGGTTTTATGTGCTAAGTACATTACGAAAATTAAAATCTGTCTGGAGAAGTGTTTCCTAGGTGGCTCAGAAGTTGCCATTTGTCCAGTATATTAAAGGCAAGTTTAAAATCCCAAGATTTCCATATTCAGGACAATAGAATGATCTTACTGATTATAGAGGAATAAGTTTATATTTAAAAAATTATGTGTTTCACTAAAATTTATATTAAAATACATTGTCATTTTATTTTCAATTTTGTTTTTAAAAATATTTTCCCAGTATTTAGAACAATTTGTAGCACTTTTAATCGAAATAATCAATAAGCTTTTCTCTCTATAGTGATAATCCTACACGTAAGATTAACTCATTTTTTAATTCTATTTTTGCCAAAATGTGTTTTATGACCTGTTTCTGATCTGAAACCAGAATGTGTAAATGTTGTGATAATAAACATTCTTAATTTATCTGAACTTGCTTCCTAAATAAATGCCATGTTTCTGTGAATTCTTCATTCTTAGTATCTCAGAAGTACTCTTGGGGGTGAAAAAAAAGGTAGACTTTCAGTTACTTCCTCATTTATGATGACTCTTTGAGTATGGCATTGTTGGTTTGGCTGCCCTCTTGATGTGTATGGAAAATCGGAATCTGTGCTGTGTATTCTGGCCTGTAAACCTATATTGAGAACATTCTAGTTTTTCTAAAATAATATGAACGTTACACATTTATTCTATTAATGTATTTGTGTTATGTGCTTTGAAAAAAATTTGTTTATTAGATAATCTTTGGTAGAAAGTTCACACATATTTTTAAGGACTTTGCATTTTTATGAGACAGATTCATATTCGAAATTTTTATTTTAACAGCATTGGGGACATCATAGATCACTATCGAAAAGAACAGATTGTTGAAGGGTATTATCTTAAGGAACCTGTGCCAATGCAGGTCAGTGTTGCGTTTCTTATTGCAGTAATTAACATTTTATTTTAAAATGCATTTTGGTGGTATGTTTTTGCACACATTTGTATAATTAAGTTTGGATACAATTTAAAACTGCAGATTTAGATTTTTTTATAAAGTGAACTGTAAGAGAATCTTTTAGTTTTTATCTATGTTGATTTAGGTAATCAGGAACATCCTAGTGTCTTTTTGAGAATCGAACCAGTTGTGGGGAAAGGCAAGTTGCACTAGGTCAGTAGTGAGTTTGTTGGAGGCAAAAGTAGAGATAGCAGGGATAAACCACAGCCATGCTTATTAAAGACTGGGGAGTACTAAAAGGAAATAAAAAATGATAGAAGAGGATTAGGGCAAAAACTGGTTTACACTTTTTCCTTATTTACCTGTAGTTTTGTGGTGAGAGAATTTGAGAATGTCTGTATACTCAGTGAGTAAAAACTGTACAGTAATAAAGAGAAGAATGATGATGTATAGGGAGATGGGTGGTAGCAGTATCTTATGAACAAGGTCCTAGAGAAGACAAAAATGAATAGAATGTAGAATATAAAAGGAAAGATTGGCCATGAGCAAGAGAGCCTATTAAATATTAATTGCTTATGGTGATTAGCCTGTTTCTTCCTCATTGCACTTTCTGAAGTGTATGGTAGGGAAATGGTATAACGGGTTAGAAAAACATGCTTCAAAAGAGGGATTAATAATTTTCCTAAGTGGAAAATGGAGGTACTGATATTCTAGCAACATAAAAGATTGCTAAGGGTTTTGGGTACCCAGCTGCAGTTGTACAGTGATTTGTAGTGTGCCTCATTTCTTGATGTTTCCTCCTATTAACAAGTTGATTTCAGATGGCTATTCCTACTACTTATTGCAGTTATGGGAGGGGCTGCTGGTAAGGAATCATTCTGAAGCCAAATACAAATTCAAGAATCATCATAATCTTGTCACATTTTAATATACAGGCACACCTTGTTTTATTTTGCATTGTCTTATGCTTCAAAGATAGTGAGTCTTTTACAAATTGAAGGTTTGTGGCAACAAGGACATCTATTGCTACTGTTTTTCCAAAGCATGTGCACATTTGTGTCTTAGTGTCACATTTTGGTAATTCTTACAGTGTTTCAGACTTTTTCACTATTATATGTTGATTGGTGATCAGTGATCTTTAATGTTACTATTGCAATTGTTTTGGGGTATCATGAACTGCATCTGAAGAAGACTGCAAGCTTAATGGCTAAGTGTGGTATATGTTCGGACTACTCCATTGACTGGCTGGTTCTGTTTCTCTTCCTCTCCTTGGGACTTCTATTCCTTGAGACACAACACTATTGAAATTGGGCCAATTAATACCCTACAATGGCCTCTAAAAGGTCAAGTGAAAAAAAAGTCACATGTCTCTCTCACATTAAGTAAAATGCTAGAAATGTTAAGCTTAGTGAGAGAGGCATGGTGAAAGCCAAGATAGGCTAACAGTTAGGTCTCTCTTGCACCAAACAGCCAAGCTGTGAATGAAAGGAAGAGTTGTTGAAGGAAATTAAAAGTGCTACTCCACTGAACACATGAATGATAATAAAGTGAAACAGACTTACGGCTGATATGGAGAGAATTTGAGTGGTCTGGATTAAAGACTAAACCAGAGATAAAATTTCGTTAAGCCAAAGCCTATCCAAAGCAAGGCCCTAATTCTCATCTGTTCTTTGAAGGGTGATAGAGGTGAGGAAGCTGCAGAAGCAAAATTGGAAGCTAGCAGAGGTTGGTTCATAAGATTTAAGGAAAGATGCTATCTCCATCATATAAAAGTGTAAGGTGAAGCAAAAAGTGCTGATGTAGAAACTGTAGCAAGTTACCAAAACATCTAGCTAGTTTTTCAGAAGGTAACTAGCAAGCTATCCAGAAGGTAACTGATGAAGGTGGCTAAACAACAGACTTTCAGTGTAAAGAAACCATCCTTCTTTCATGGCTAGAGTTAATGCGTAGCTTTGAAGCTTCAAAGGTCTGGCTGACTCTCTTGTGAGGGGCTAATGCAGCTAGTGACTTTAGGTTGAAGCCAATGGACAATTCTGAAAAACCTAGGAGCACCAGAATTATGCCAAATCTACTGTGCCCATGCTCTGTCAATGGAACTATAAAGCCTGTATGATAGCCCATCTGTTTACAGCATGGTTTACTGAACATTTTAAGGCCGCTGTTGAAACTTGCTCAGAACAAAATATTTTTTTTCAAAATATTACTGATTACTGACAATGCAACTCTTTACTCAAGAGCTCTGATAGACATGTACAAGGAGATTGTTGTTTTCATGCCAGCGAACACAACTTTTATTCTGTAGCTCATGGATCAAGGAGTAATTTTGACTTTCGAATCCTTAAGAAATAATTTCATATTGTTATAGTTGCCAAAATTAGTGATTCCTCTTACGGATCTGGGCAAGGTAAATTGAAAACCCCTTGGAAAGGATTCATTGTTCCAGATACCATTAAGAACATTTGTGATTCATGGGCATAGGCTACAATAACAGAAGTTTGGAAGAACCTGATTCCAACCCTTATGGATAACTTTGAGGGGCTCAAGACTACAAGATGACTTTGAGGAGGAAGTAACTGCAGATATGGTAGAAACAGCAAGAGAACTAGATTTGGAAGTAGAGCTTGAAGATGTGACTGAGACTTTTGTGATGAAACTGGAGCGAAAGAGGAGTTGCTTGTTATGGATGAGAAAAGAAAGTAGTCTTTTGAGATGGAATCTACTCCTGTGAAGATCCTGTGATCATCGTTGAAATGAAAACAAAGGATTTAGAATATTCTATAAACTTACTTGATAAAGCAGCAAGAGGGTTTGAGAGGAATGCCTCTAGTTCTGAAAGAAGTTCAACTATGGGTAAAATGGTAACAAACAGCAGTTTAGGGAAATTCTTTTGTCAAAGGAAGAGTCAATTGATGTAGCAGACTTCATTTTTAAGAAATTGCCACAACCACCCCAACCTTTGGCAGCCACTGCCCTAATCACTCAGCAGGCATCAGTATCAAGGCAAGAGACTCAGTGAAGGCCTAGATGACCAGAGTCACGGTCTTGCCCTATGACTCAGGCTGGAGTACAGTGGTGCAACTGTAGCTCACTGCAACCTTGAATTCCTGGGCTCAAGCAATGCTCATGCCTCACCCTCTCCAGTAGCTAGGACTACAGGTGTACACCACCATGCCTAGTTAATATTTTTTGTAGAGATGGAGTCTTGCTATGTTGCCCAGGCTAGTCTTTAATTCCTAGCCTCAAACAATCCTTCTGCCTTGGTCTCCCAAAATGCTAGGATTATAGGTGTAAACCACCTTGGCTGGACCAACAGTTTTATTAATAAATATTTTTAAATTAACACAAATACATTGTTAGACATAATGCTATTGCACACTTACAGACTACGGTATAGTTGTAAACATAACTTCTACTTGCACTGTGAAACCAAAAGATTCATATGGCTGGCTTGATTGTGGTGGTCTAGAGCCAAATCTGCAATACCTCTATGGTTTTATATTCCTAAGTCATTTTACAAATAATTCGCATCAGCAAAAATCAAAGTATAATCCAAAAACAATTTCATTGGAAAATGTATTAAGAAGTCAAATGTAGCATACCCAAATTTGTGTTTCATGTTTTCATGGTTAGAAAGGCTAACATGCTTGAAATGCACAATCTTTTCCATGCAACTAACAGTTCTTTACCCTTCATGCACAGACCTGGAACACAGCCATCTTGTAAATTCTGATTCCAGATTTAGAATCAGATACATGTCTGTTATGTTCTACTTGTAATTACTTTGGTTCTTCTTGCATTGTATCTATCAAATGCAGTATCAATTCCAGATTTTAAATACTTCACTACTGAAGTCTAGCTTATGACTCTTTCTTGTTTTTGTATTATCAAAATGCAGTGGTTTTTTTTTTTTTGAAATGGAGTTTTACTCTTTTTTGCCCAGGCTGGAGTGCAATGGCATGATCTCCGCTCACTGCAACCTCCATTTCCCAAGTTCAAGTGATTCTCCTACCTCAGCCTCCCATGTAGCTGGGATTACAGGCGTGTTCACCACGCCTAGTAATTTTGTATTTTTAGTAGAGATAGGGTTTCAGCCTTTGGCCAGGCTGGTCTTGAACTCCTAACTTCAGGTGATTGGCCCACCTCAGCCTCCCAAAGTGCTGGAATTACAGGTGTGAACAAAATGCAGTACTTTTGAAAACTTTGATGGCTCATAATTTTGTTGGAGAGTACAGTGTCCTTTGCTCCATACTTGTAAAATATTTTTGTTTAGATTTTTTAAAAAAACCAATTAACACTGATGTTGGAGAGTGATCAATCCAGTGAATTAAAAAATTTCTGTTATATGTTTACTTTCAGTAATGTTTTATACAAATGGCCTTTAATGTTTGTCTATTCACAAATCATGTTAAGTAAATTTTGATGTACATAGAAATTTAAACAGTAGTCTCTAATTTCTTTTTAGCAAAACAGGAAAAAATGTTGCATGGTGACATTCTTCCTGTTTAATAACTGATCATCATATTTCCTTTTTTCCCCTTAGAAATAATATGGTTCACTCAGTGTTTCTTGAGTTTGAGGAAATTCAAGTATATCATCACTGAAAAATCACAGTCTGAGATTTGTTTATCAAAATCAATTCTGCCATCATGATAGAGTGCTGCTGTTTCTTTGCAGTTACCTTATTATTTTTCTAATTGTCAAACATCTTCCTGTGTCAGTTTTTTCTCTTTACCATTTATAAGCAGAAAATAAAGAGTTCTGAATATTTTAAGTATGTTCAAAGCTAAAAAGACAGCAAAGATGGCCTTTTATACTTTTTCAAAAGATGCTGCAATACTTGACAACACAGTTAAAATAAATAAAAAAGGACAAAAAAGCCCAGAATGATGCAATAGAGATGATTTATTTCATTGTCACATCATCCTGTAGGCCAGGCATTGGCAGAAGTTTTCTGTAAAGGGCCAGATAGTAAATATTTAGGGTTTTGTAGTTCATTTAGTTTGTCTACTAAAGTCTGCCTATTTGGAAGCAACCACAGACAGGATGTTAGGGAATGAGCATGGCTGTGTTCCAATAAAACTTTATGTATAAGAAACAGATGGTGGATTGGATTTAGCATGGATGCCATAGTATGTCAGCCCTGTTGTAGGCAATTCATTCTTCTGTTTTCTATTATTTTAGGATTTTTTTTTTTTAAGCGTACTTGGGAATAATTCTAAGTAATGATGAATAGTTTCTAGGATGATGAAACAGCATAATGTTGCAATATATAGCAGAGAGAGAATTATGAAGATCCCACAGCATATCTTAGATTTATAAGAGGATTGAATGGAACCATGAACTTTGTAAGATGGACTAAAAGTCATAAAATATTAATGCTTGCAACATAGTAAGAACTACGCCAGAGAGAAATAGAAAAACTAAAACTGAGTCCAATTCACCTTGATAGTAAAATTTAAGATTCGTTTATTCTGGAAGGATCATAATAAAGGCGTCCTGTAAAATTCTTTTTTTCAAGGGTTTAACAATTTATGTCAGTTCTGCCAAAGTGTAACATGCAATCCTAAAAATGGCATTACTCAAAATCAGGCAATAAAAATCACAGGGCTTTTGGGAAAAGTGAGGTTAGGGGTGTAACACTTAGAAATTTCATCAGTGATACATTAAGGAAGTAAAAACCTAATATGTTGCTTAGTTTTATACATGCAAAATGATTAACAAATATGTACACACTATAATAAATATGGCACTTTACCTTGAAAAAAGGCCTGAAGTTTACATGTGGAAATGGCCATTGGTAGGGCTGAAGCATGGGTATGTTGCAGAATGGCAGAGGATTATCTGAAATCAAGGTTATAACACCAGCTATGGATGGATGGGTGCAGCGTGTGACAAGCTTAGTGAATTGAGGGAACTGTTAGGTATTTGAGGTGTGTATGTTTTATACATTATAATTTCTTAGTTCACCTAGGTACTGTTGTCTGTATTCACCTAGCATTTCTACAGACATAATTGTGCATAAGCAAACATGATTTTGCTTTATGCTTATATTGGGTCCTAATTTAGTTATGCTGGGACAAGTTTATGTTTTTAAAACATTGTTTGCTGTAAAATATAACTGACTGTATGTGAAAATATTTTATTAGTTGCACATAGAAAAAGACAACTTGTTCTTGGGAATGACAAAGAAACCTTTCTGTGAAAGTTGTCTGTGTTTTGGGGAAAAAATAAGTAAACCTTTCTGAGAATTTCTTTGGAAAGCAAAAGACTGTTTATGTGTTATGTACATCTAGATTTTAGTATTTTAATCACTTTGGCTTTTAATTGGTAATTTAATAGATTTTTACCTCATTTCCATCAAGAATGTATAAAATAATTTTAACGTTTTTTAAAATTCAGGATCAAGAACAAGTACTCAATGACACAGTGGATGGCAAGGAAATCTATAATACCATCCGTCGTAAAACAAAGGATGCCTTTTATAAAAATATTGTTAAGAAAGGTTATCTTCTGAAAAAGGGTAAGTAATTTCTGAATTTTATCATTAACTCCTTTGATAGAGACACTGTAAATGTGGAGCTCCAAATTACTGTAATACATAGCCAATAAGCTGTTTTGACATGTTATTAATAATTGACACTTGTGTACAGCCTACATATAAGCATCCTTCAAAATTAGAGTGTAGGTATATTAAACGTCTACAGTTTCAACCAGAATCTTTGTTTCTTCTGCCCATGTGTTTTTTTTTTTTTTTTTCTTCTTTCTTTCTTTCTTTGAGGAACTCCTTATGGCACATGGCCCATCATAGTATTGATATTTTACAGATTTTCCTCAATTTGCCATAAAGGCATGTTGGGAAATTTGTCGCTAGGGGTGTCCTTTAGTGGAAGAATTTTTTCTTAAAGCTGGAAAATAATTACTCCAAAACAAGAATTCTGATGATTTCATCATGTTGAAATCTCTGAAGATACAGTTAAGGTATCCTCACCATTTACTCTGTGATTAATTAAAACAAGTAATATAACAAAAGGTATTTTTGTACATGTTCGTTACAGACATTTTCTCATTATGTAAGAATTGGCCTATTACATAAACTTTGGAATAAAAATTGATTCATATTTAATTATTTTCAGCAACACTAATAAATAGGATTTCACAATTTATTGTTTGGCTAAAACAATGTTTTGTTTGTTTTTTTTTTTTTAAAAAACAGGCAAAGGAAAACGTTGGAAAAATTTGTATTTTATCTTAGAGGGTAGTGATGCCCAACTTATTTATTTTGAAAGTGAAAAACGAGCTACAAAACCAAAAGGATTAATAGATCTCAGTGTCTGTTCTGTCTATGTTGTTCATGATAGTCTCTTTGACAGGTAAGATGGTTTTCCTTTGGAATTGTCTTAGCAATAAAATAGTGGGTAGAAACTAAGCAAACCAATTTTGAGAGCCCTAAAATCATCTTCTAAAAGCAGATTTACTTTCTAGGTAATTTTTGCCTTCTTTGCTTAATTTTAGACTAACGTATGCATAAAGTCTACTCCATTGTACTGCATATAAGTCTTTGGAATGACATTTCCTGTAGTATATGTTTTCTCCCTGCCCCCACCAGCAATCTTTTGAGTGATTTAGAGTCTTTGTCACCTTTCCTCTGTTGTTTTTCACATGCTTTTACCTCAGTGCACCCAATAGTACTAGGTGCCCTCAATTCTGCTGTTAGCTCTGGCAAGTTCTTAAGAAAGCTAACATTTAAAAATAATATAAAATTGTTTTGATAGGAAAAATATATTTGAAATTAAAAAAAAAAAATTCTTCTTACATTGATTTTCTTGTTTTTTAAAAAATGAATATAAATGTATAAGCTGAATCCTAAACATCACAAGACAAATCCAGCTCTTGATTACATCTGGATTTTTGCTCAAGAACAAGGCTCTTTCTTTACCTTTCACCTTTAGTATTATCAGTAATCCATCCCAGTCTTCTTAGATGTATTTACCACTTTTATTACTCATTGTTATGATTAGTAAGAAAGAAGGCAGTTAAAACAAATGTTTCAACAGCTTGTTTTTCTGCTACAGAATGGCATTTCTGTACGTTTTATCCTGTTGAAATATTTCTCAAGAGAAATATCTAAAATATATAGCCTTGTCATTTCTTTTTTCAGAATGTGTTTAGATCACATTAGTGTTATATGTGATTTTGACAGTTTTTAAAAATCAAACAGGTTTGGGAAGTGCCGATTGAACAAATAGTTTTACTTATAACACAGCTTTTTGTAGCCTTGTTTATATTGTGGATCTCTAAAATAGTATGAATTACTTCATAAATTCATTTTACAAAGACACTCTCCTTTTTCCCCCCTGAATACTCTCTATTACCTCATAAAGAGTTGTTCCAAAAAACACAAGGGGTGGGTGAGATAACGATTTCTTGAGATTATTTTCCCCCTCCTTCAACAACCTAAAAATCTTAGCCTTCAAATGTGGTTGGCTCAGGCCTCTGGCTCCTTTTCTCTAGTTCTACTCTGCACCCTTCTTGTGGGTTGAATTCTTCTTCAAGCCAGTTACCTACGTGGTAGCAAGGTGGCAAACAGCACCAGAGAAAGGGCTGTAAGCATTCACTCCCTTAATTATTAAAAATCTTGAAAATATGCTGTTGAGCCACCTCTGATTCAATTTTTAGTTCTGGGTTACCTGAGGTAAAAGGAATGGGATTTTCCTGATAGAATGAGGAGGCCCTTTTGTGCCCAGATCTGTGGCTGGAAATGATTGCACCCATAGTGAGGCTGCTATACTTAATCATATGGATGTTGGGGAGACAACATTATTCCCTACTAAATGTAGTTTATTATCATGAAAGGATGGTATTTTCGGAACAACTCTGTTGAGATCAGTAATATGAAATAGGTGGTTCTTGATTCTTGGAGGATGGGTATAAATTTATTTGGATAGTTGAGGAGAGCTTCCCAACCAGTGTTCCATTAATCAGTATAGGTGTCCCTTGAGATACTAGTGATTGTAAAATCCTATTGTAGTATAAATATTTAACAAATGTTTTATATTTCAAAAATTCTAACACTTGAAATCCTATCATCCTGTAAAAACTGTTGTAATTCATTATTTTATTGGAGCAAAAGAATGGTGTATAATATTTGGAGAGAATTTTTTATAGTGGCTATACTTCAGTACTTCCTACTTTCTTGTTCAGTCATCCAGGTAATCTGAATATTACTTTACTCACAGTTTCTTGTTAATCATTATGAAGCTACTTTTTGTGTTCAAGCAGAAACTGTCTCATTTTGTTTCTTACATTTTTTTCTATTAATAGAAGTTAAAATTGTTTTAATTATCATTGTAAAATTTATAAGGAGGTTCTTGAAAATAACAATGAATTTGATATATTTTTCATTGTTACTACCTTATAAATTAGCTTTAATTTACGGATATTTATTTTCTCACCATAAGGGCAATTTGGTGACTAACACTGGAAAGTAATTAGAATCATAAGATAAAGATTTAACTCACTAGGCCAGAAAAGAAATACATTTGAAACAAAGAATGTCCTATGGAAATGCTAGTTAAGTTTATGATTGGTGATGAGGCATCATGATAGGAACATTTAAAGATTTATATGAAGATCATCTTATGTTTGTAGACCTGAATTCCATATTAAATGTTATAAAATGGAGGCTCTAATAAAATCTGAGCTGCTTCAATTGCATCTGTTTTCAGTCTTATGTGAGAAATGGAATCAAAATACCTACTGTTGGATGCTGGAGCATGTTAGCTGTCCAAAAGAAGAGTTTTGATAAAAGTTTATGATTACAGGAGAAAACTTTTTTGGTGAATGATTCTCATTTTGCAGATTTACTGAAGAATGAGTGAACTTCCTCAAATTATATGTACATGTTTTGACAGTTTATGGATTTCAGGTAGAAATTCAGCCTTGGAAAGGCGAGGTTAAAAATGATTTACTAGTGTTACTTACAACTGGAATGATACGAATCTTAAAGTATTAAGATGAATATAGCATTATCTGTAAGATCAGACAAAAAGCTTTAGCATTATTTTAATAAACTTTATATGAACAGATGCAGTTAGATTGGAAGTCTGTTGGCACAATCAAAAGAAAGATCCACATTACACTTGTCAGTAAAAGAGAAAGAACTGCTAGAGTTAATGAAGGATCAGATCCTTGAAGCACAAGTTAAAGATTCTGAATGATTCCTATTCTGGTTACTAACAAGAAAGGAGTTTCTATCTGGTAGGCGAGAAAGCAATAAGTATACATTTACCACTTGCTATAAGGTTGTAGCTTGCTGCTTGTGCAGTTTCTTGTTGAAGGTGACTTAAAAGAACTTGAAGGTATTTTTTTAAAAAGTCTTCATTATGAGTTATATTTAATGATACTAAGTCTGAAACCTAGTATGAAAAAGTTATGTTCGTAAGACCTAAAGTCTCTAATTTAGAAAACAGATTTTTTTTTTTAAGGCTGGGCATGGTGGCTCACATAGCACTTTGGGAGCCCAAGGTAAGCCGATCACTTGAGCCCAGGAGTTGGAGACCAGCATGGGCCTACAAGGTGAAACCCGTCTCTTTAAAAAAATTAGCCAGGTGTGGTAGTGCGCACCTCTGGTCCCAGCTACTCAGGAGGGTGAAGTATGAGGATTGTCTGATCCCAGGAGGTAAATGTTTGCAGAGGGCTGACTGTATACCACTACACCCACAGCAGTGAGACCCTGTCTCTTAACAAAACAAAAATATTTTTTTCAAAGTATGCTAGTTTACAGTCAGCTATTTTTTAAAAATATGTGCCTTTCTGTGAAATTGTAAGAGAAACAGAAAGATTGAATGCCAAGGCAAATAGCATTAACAAAGTATATTTCAAGAAAATGAGAAGACATCTCTACCATATAATAGGACAAGTAAAAAATAGGTTGATAAACAATGACTCATAATAGGAGACAAATACCAGAGGACAGTAGGGGAAATTGTAGATTAATGTTAATATTTTTTCTTTATGTTATCATATTAATGCCAGCATGGAACATTTCCTGCTTTGTGTATACCTAGAACCTGATATGTTGACCTTTGGCATTTAGATGAAGTCTAATATGAAAATTAATAGCAGCCTTCTGTAGTAGGTGATTAGCGTACTTGCTCAGCCTGATGCTGAAGAATGTTGGATGGCACTGCTTTTTTCTTGCATGGCTGTAGTTACACAGCTGTGTAATTTTTCCAGATTATTTTCAATATTAAGAGATTTCCAAGTCCTCTATTTCCTTGTATTAAACTTCTTTTAATACTGCATTGCTTCGAATATTAACCATTTCAGAAGCACAAGTAGAAAGACGTCTTAGTGATACAGTTATTCTAGTGAATATCCATGTGGCAATTAATTTTTACACCATTTTTTCATAGCTGTATCTTATTGTGGTATTGATGGCTTTACATTTATTTATGAAAATGTTTTGCTGGATATTAAATTTAAGATTAGCAGTCATTTTCTTTTGCCATTTTAAAGATAGTTTTCTGCCTTCCAACATTTTCATTGTCTTTCCAATTGTTTGTTTTAGAGGTAATATATTTTTGTCTTTTCTCTTAGAGGCAGTGTATCTTACTCAACTTTCTTTGGATGTTTTGTGATTTTTCCTTATATTTTCAGCAGTAAAACCAAAATTTACCTACTGTAAATTAAAAAAAAGAAAGAAAATTATCCTTATCTTTGTAGTGCTTCTTCAACCTGAGATCTGATGTTCTTTGTCAGTTTTAGAAAACCCTTGGTTAGTATCTATTAAACTGTTAATGTCTAATTTAAACAGTTGTTCTGCCACAGTCATTTTTCTTGTATTCCTGTTAAAACAGTTGCACTTTTCCCCATGCTGTTTTCTATGTTTTTCATCACTTTTTCCTCTGTACCAAACTGTATTTTCTTCTGATCTTTTAGTTCACTAATCTACCATTCTACAGTGAAATCTACTTTTTCAGGACTTCATTTTCTTACATTTTTCAATTTAGAATTTTCATTTTTTAAGAGACCCAGTTTCTGGCAAATTTCTTGTTACCTATTTTCTTAAACATTTTAATTATAATTACTTGAAAGTCTTATCTGTCTTCAATATCTGGGTAATTTTTATGTCTGTTATTTTTGTCTTAGCTTTTAGCCATTTAATCGTGATGCGTGTAGTGTCTACTTATTTTGATTAAATGGTAGACTGCATGAAAACCTATGGAAGCTATGGTTAATGTTACTGTGTCCAGAAAGGATTGTTCTGATGGATGATGTAGTGATAGTACATCTGGTAAAGGCTATTCTATTTCTGGTTTACTCTTATCATGAAGGCATAACCCTTTAGGGGTCCTAATAGAAAGCCTGAAATCCATTTTTTTTTTCTCCCAGCACTGTCAAACTACTGGATTTGTGGTTAGTTTTTTAGCCATTGAGCTACTGTTTTCTGCTTAGCATCTCCACTGCACAGCTTAGAATTGGCAAATGCCTTGAACAGAAAAGCTGTGGAGAATGTCAGGTTCATTATAGTATGATCTTAGCTCCTCAGATACTTTGGTCGTTCTCCAGTGCTTTTCAATAGTATTTTTTTGTTGTTTTGTATAATGTTTTAAATTTTATCCAGCCAGGATGGTTAGTCCGATACAGGCAACTTTTTAGAATTGGAAGTTTCCAATTCCTATTTTCCATGATTACTTTTAGGACATTCTCAAAGCATGAGAAGATAGTATTAAGCCTGTGCTCTGTGTATTTTGCTATGGCCTCCTAACGTTAGTGTGAGATAAAATCTTTGTTTAAAGCAGAAATAGAAGTAACATTTATTGAGTTCTAAAAACATGCAGGCCCCTAATAAACATTTTATTAACATTTTCAAGTCTAGTTAGAAAAGACATTTCCAAAAGAGATATAAATTGTTGTCTAATATTGCACTTACATATCAAATGATTTATAATACTAAAGACAAGAACATTTGTTATACACAACTGTTCATTTAAACTCTAGAACAAGCATAGATATGAGGAGATGATGTTTCCATTTTAACAGGAGAAGAAAAATCATCAGTTTAGAAAAATTTGAAAACATAGAATCACCTACAATCTCCTTAGAGATAATTACTTAGAATATTTTTGGTCTAAGAACATTTCTAGTCTTTTTCCAGTGCATATAAAGCTTTTCAGATTTGCTGTGTGCAGTTCTAGCAATTCAGCTTCAATTTTTGGGTAACTACATTTCTAATGTCTTTTACAATTAATTGAAAGTTCTTTACAATTTGAAAGACTGATAATAATTTAATAGTGCTGACATAAAATTTTCTAAAATATATACAATTGACTTTTTTTGGTAATGATCTGGTACAGTGGAGAATTATTTCTCTAAATTAAGAATTACAATTTTATGTGAATTATGAGTTTTTTAAAGTTGGTATAAATATTTTGCTATTTTCTATTAAGCTTCCTAATAATTTTTGTTTTTCTTTTAAAGGCCAAACTGTTTTCAGATAGTAGTTCAGCACTTTAGTGAAGAACATTACATCTTTTACTTTGCAGGAGAAACTCCAGAACAAGCAGAGGTAAGATTACTGTTTCTTAAACTACTGTAAACTTTTATGTTAGCCCATGTTTTCTTGTTAACTGGAATAGAAAACGACTGCATTCAAGATAAAGTGATAGAAAGAATGCCTGAAATCTAATCATCTCTTAAGGAATTAGAAGTTTCATATGTAAAAAATTTTTTGCAGAAATGCAGAAACAAACACAGTGAAGGGTTATTGGGAATGAAAACTCCATTTTAAATTGACCTTTAAATACTCTATGATATTGAGGCCAACTGAGAATACTCATTAAAATACTCTGCATAAAGGTTATAGATAATCTCAGTACAATGAGAAGATAAGCCAGTTAGTTTTGCTATCAAGCATTAATTATTCTTCACTGGTTGAACTCTATGTCTGAAAATAAAAGTTCAGTCAACACAAAGAAAAATCTTTTTAGGAATCTTCCTTTCTACATGTTCTTCAAGCCAAGTCTAGATATAATGACTACTTTAGCACTAGCTATTAATCCATGTGCAATGTCCTTCTTATAGTTTCTATTGTTTTAAGTAATTCTGTGAAGAAATCATATTTAATAAACTCTTTAATAAAAAATATTTTCCAACAAAGGGAGACCCCAGCTCTACAACAAAAGTAAAAAAATAAGCTGGGTGTTCTGGCTTATAGGCAGGAAGATTACATGAGCACAGGACTTTGAGTTACAGTGAGTAAGATCAAGACACTGTAATCCAGCCTAAGCAACAGACTGAGACACTGTCTATTAAAATTTTTTTTTTGCTTTCTTTGAACCCTAATATTACTGGAGTATATGGTTGTATTTTATACAAATATGGCTACATTTCTGCTGATACTCAAAGGAACTTAAAGGTGGTTAAGAAGTGAAAGTGGCTTTGTTGGAAATATAATTTGCTAACCCTAGATATGAGGAACATGCTTTTAAAACTGGATCCTAGCTTGAGACTCATAAACATGAATAAGCCACTGTGTTTTGTGGCTCATAATAAATGTCATATTTCACATCTTTATTAAACTATCTCATTTAAATGCTCATTTCACAGATAATGCACATAAAATTTTTATGGCTATGTATCTGTAATCTTTAGATGAGAAAGGTAGGGCTCAAAACATTTTGGTAACTTAGATGTTTTTTTTTAAATGTTAGAAATTGAGTTAGGAATAGAAATTTAAACTTCAGTATCCTATTTTCTAGTCATTTTATCATGGTCCCTCTTTCTGAATAAAAATATGTCACATACCATAATGACATTTTAGCATGTTTTAAAAGCCTTATAACATTTTTAAAAATGTATTTATACATAATCTTTCTATATTCTATATTTCCATAAATGGTATTTCCAGTTTTTGTTGATTTGGTGAGCTGTGGGGGTCTCTGGTTATTCTCTTCTATTTCAAAAAGCTGTGGTAACTGATTTGGTTTTAATTTGCTCTAATATAAATACATTTTCTAAACATTGACAAAGTTCAGCTTCATTGAAATAGCCAACAAACTAAAAACATAATTGAATAAAGCAATAGTACACAGCTTTCCAGAAACATGTAAAAACCAAAGTGAATATTTAGATTTATTTTTAATAAACCTAAGTAGTTCTCTACTTTCTCCCAAAGCACTAGATAAACATTAAAAAAAAAAAAACATGGCTGCAATTTGATTTGAATATTAGACTGAAATGATTTTTTAAATCTAATGTTATATTTGAGAAGCTTAAAAATAACCCAAGTCCTCTTATACATTTCTACCTGTATCATGGTCTAAAGTATAAATTAGCATGCTGTCATCGAATCAGTCATCACAGTATCAGTTGGTTTTGCAATTAGCCCTCTCCCCTTCTCACAAAATGTATCAAGTTAAATTCCACCTAAGCTTGCCTCAAGTGTTAACAGCTTCATTAAACATAGACAGTTAATTTCCCCAAGGTAGTATCTGTTTGAGAGAAACAATTTCTTTAAATTTGATTTTTTGGCTAATTAATGGCCACTTATGGTGCATTTAATGCATAAATTCAAACCAAGATTTATACAGAATTATAATTGTTTTAGTTATTGTTTTATTGGGGCATAAATAAAGTGCAGTATAGTCTGAGAATAGAAATGGCAGTCTAGAGAAGGAAAGAATTGTTGAATTTGAAAAAAAAACTAATTGATGATTTGGAAACCAAATAAACTAGTGTATATTTCTTTGAAATGGTGTTTTTCTTTGTAGGACTGGATGAAAGCTCTGCAGGCATTTTGCAGTTTACGGAAAAGTAGTCCAGGGACATCCAATAAACGCCTTCGTCAGGTGAAGCTTAATTTTCTTTGATTTGTAATTGTCACATTTTGCTTTAACGCTTTGCCCTTTATGTTTTATTTTATGTGAACTGTTTTTGGCATCATATCTTATGGGGGTTAAGCTGCCACTTGCTTCAGTAGCAGGAAAATGTTACTTCTTTTTTTTTTTTTTTTTTTTTGAGACGGAGTTTCGCTCTTGTTACCCAGGCTGGAGTGCAATGGCGCGATCTCGGCTCACTGCAACCTCCGCCTCCTGGGTTCAAGCAATTCTTCTGCCTCAGCCTCCTGAGTAGCTGGGATTACAGGCATGCACCACTATGCCCAGCTAATTTTTTGTATTTTTAGTGGAGACGGGGTTTCACCACGTTGACCAGGATGGTCTCGATCTCTCGACCTCGTGATCCACCCGCCTCGGCCTCCCAAAGTGCTGGGATTACAGGCTTGAGCCACCGCGCCCGGCCTAAAATGTTACTTCTTTATGAAAGAGAATGTTCTTAGTCCGTAATGCCAACTGTTAAAAACGTAAGAAAGATTATTTATTCTTCCAGTTAAAATACTATACCACCACAACAGAAACTGTTCTGTTGGTCATTTAATTTTCCTTCAAAAAATTATTTTGGCTTCTTTCAGAAAAGTAGAACATTGAAAAGATCATCAGATTTAAAGTACTAATCCCAATAAACTTTTTTCGGATTTTCATTCTGAAGAACGGCTTTTGAAACGTACTGCTTAACTCTTAGGAAATATTTAATCTTATTTGAAACCATAACATGCCTATTACTTTCATTTGTGAAAAGTAGGCTTTCTTTTTGGATGTATAAGGGTAACTTTATAACCTCCATTTCTTGGCTTCTTTCTTTATAGTAATCCCTATATAATTGGAAGAAGTTGGGCAAATTTTGACATTCTTGAGGTTTTTAGAGAAAGTTTGGTACAATACTTACTTACTGACCAAAGTGTATTCTGTTTTCTTCATGTGACTATCTGATAAGCTGGGTGATTAATATACTTTTCTACTGGGAGTGGATAATGGTTGATATTTAGGTGACTAAATAGTCCCTGTAACCCAAAGTCTGGCTGTTCCCCAAGGAAATTTAAGTATACACACAATCACCACGTGTTCGTAACACTGTAACATTTGTAAGCTATAAAAAATCAGATTGGATTTTCACAAATAAGAGCAAGTTGTATTTTGTATGAAACTTGAGCCATTAAATTGACATTTGCAGGTATAATATAATGATAGCTAATATCTCTTAAGCACTTTTATGTATCAGTGGGCAGTGAGATTCAGTGATTTACACACACAGTTGGCCGTCCCTATTCATGGGTTCTGCATCAGTGGAATCTACCAACCATGGGTCAAAAATATTCAGAAAATAAAAATACAGTATCACAACGATGAACAGCATTCACACTGTATTAGGTATTACAAGTAATCTAGAGATGATTTAAAGCATATAGGAGGGTGTGCATAGATTTAATGCAGGTACTGTGTTATTTTCTATAAGGGACTTGAGCATCCTTGGGCTTTGTTATCTGCCAGGACAGAGAAGGGGAGGGCTTGGGATCAATCCTGCAGATACTGAGGGACAACTAGTTTGTAATCCTTATGAAAATCTGTAGTGTAGACTTTCTACTTACATATTAGAAAAATGAGGCTTAGAGGGACTGATTTGTCCAAGGCCACACAAGTAGTACATGGCAAGAGAGAAAGAGGACCTAGTTGGGTATAGCTCAGTGGTAGAGCATTTGACTGCAGCAGAGAAAGAGGACCTGACAGTAGAAGGGAGATGATCTAAATTCTGGCATCCAAACTGAACAAATGACTTAGATTTTTTTACATTTGTATCCTTTCCTGTAAAATAAGAAGGCAGAGTCAGTGTTTTTAAAAGTTTTAGCCATGGAACTCTATTTTATAGAAATAAAATCTTCTAGATAAGCATTATATAACGTATGGGATTTTGATTTGAGTAGTGACAGTTGTTTACTTACATGAATAAAGAATTTTCCTCTCGACTTCATTTTCTCTGTATCATTGTTTTATGGTAGAAAAGGTATATTTTTCCAAGAAGATACTGGTAGAAATAACTTGTAAAATAAAATTGCATTGTTTTATCTTCTTAGGTGGGAAGAATTATTTTAAATATTTTAATGTTTTAAGTATGCCATATAAAAAGGAAAAATAAAATCAAAGCTCATATTTTCTGGAAAAAAAAAAGGGAAAATAAGTCACTATATTGGGCTTTTTATCTTATGAGTAATTGCTTTTGAAACTTAGTGCAATTCTAGAAATCTGGGGTAATAATTTTTGTTTTTTTTTTTTTTTTTTTTTTTTAGGTCAGCAGCCTTGTTTTACATATTGAAGAAGCCCATAAACTCCCAGTAAAACATTTTACTAATCCATATTGTAACATCTACCTGAATAGTGTCCAAGTAGCAAAAACTCATGCAAGGGAAGGGCAAAACCCAGTATGGTCAGAAGAGTTTGTCTTTGAGTAAGTCTTATTTTATCATTAATCATTTTCTTTTACCATATTTCATTTCTTTCCATTTTTTTCTTGGTGTCTGTATCTAAACCATCACAACAAGGTACCACATCCAGGTGTTTTAACAGCATACACACACACACACACACACACACACGTGTGCGCCTGTGTGTGTATATATATATATTTGTTTTATATGTTCACGTTTATTTGTGAAGTGCTGTGCCCTTGGTTTTTCCACCTAGTTATTAACATGAATTAGCAAGTCAAAAAACGAAAACGTTTACTAGGGTTTCCAGTACTTATTTGAATGAATTATTTAGGAGGTTAAAGATGGTAGGTAAAGTATATAATTTGCTTGTCTTCTGTATACCAAATAATACAATATGTTGTGAAATAAAAGCACACTCACTTTTTTTTTTTTAAGCTGAAATAGGGGGCTTATTTGATATTAGAACTAAAGGAATAAAGTAGTTTGATGTTAAAACATTTTCTTAATTCTTTTTCTCCTTGTTCCTTTAGTGATCTTCCTCCTGACATCAATAGATTTGAAATAATTCTTAGTAATAAAACAAAGAAAAGCAAAGATCCTGATATCTGTAAGTAGATACAGAAACTCTAAAGTAGAAAAAGCATGTTTTATATACTTTTAAAATTCGCAATGAAATAGTCTTAAAAATTAAAACAAATGCAAGTAGTATAATCTGAGATAGTTTCTTCTGTACTTCTTAAAGTATTGATTATTGAGAAAGAATATACCTAAGAAAGAAAAACACCAACCTGATTCAACCGTACAGTTTAGTACTTTAAAATATCTAGCCACCGTTCTTTCTCCAATGAATAGGAAGAATAAGAAAATGATTTCAGTGATCTTTTTGAACGGCTTACCCTCATCCCTTCTTTCTACTTTTTATATTTTTCCTTTTTTCTTTTGAGATGGAGTCTCACTGTTATCACTCAGGCTCGAGTGCAGTGGCAGGAACTTGGCTCACTGCGACCTCTGCCTCCCACGTTCAACTGATTCTCCTGCCTCAGCCTCCTGAGTAGGTGGGATCACAGGCGCCTGCCACCATGCCCAGCTAATTTTTGTTCTTTTAGTAGAGATGGGGCTTCACCATGTTGGGCAGGCTGGTCTCAAACTCCTGACCTCAGGTGATCCACCCACCTTGGCCTCCCAAAGTGCTGGGATTATATTAGCATATAAGTAAAAAAGAATTCTATTTAAAAATTACCCTTAACCTTGAATATGCTATTTATTCACTTCTGGTAGTCAAAGGCTCTCAGTTCCTGTTCTTAGCAGCACAACTCTTTCCATCCTGCTACTAAAACAGTTGGCAGTGGGATTTACCAATCACATCAGGGTTAATTAGGTTAATGCCTTCTTAAAACTCAGGCTTAGGGGAGGAAGTGATACGTATTAACAGACAGATCAAAGCCTGAATATTTCCCTATAAAATGTTTATTCTGTAATTTTTTTTGTACTAATTTTAGTTTTCCCTTTTACAATAAAAGCTAAACCCCATAGTAATGACACAGAAGGAACACCATGCCTTATATTTAAAGTGCTCTTTTTTCACTACTTTTCTTCTTAGATACACCTCCAGATCTTGGCAGCTTAAGGGTTACCTGTTTAAAATGGAGTTTGCACCTCGACAGGCTGTATTAGATACGATTTCTCTGTACTCCAATAGCATTCACCACTGTTAACTACACTTATCAATGCTGAAACATGACTGATTTCTTGCCATCTCGAATGAACTGACCACTGTGCAACTCAAAGACCACATCTGAATCCTCTCTATACTTCCACCACCTATCAGAGTTTAGTGCATGGTAGACATTCAGTAAATGAATGAAGCAGTTAAATACTGAATTTGTGATGTTACTGAAAACTCCTTTAATGAAAAGCATTTAACACTATTGAGAAGACTGAACACCAAGAAAATTTACTTGCATGACTAATTATCGTGTTATCTTTTTAGACAATAATTGCGTGTTTTTCTTTCCAAGTATTTATGCGTTGCCAGTTGAGCCGATTACAGAAAGGGCATGCCACAGATGAATGGTTTCTGCTCAGCTCCCATATACCATTAAAAGGTATTGAACCAGGGTCCCTGCGTGTTCGAGCACGATATTCTATGGAAAAAATCATGCCAGAAGAAGAGTACAGTGAATTTAAAGAGGTATTATTTGTCTAATTATTTTTGTTAGAATTAACATAAACATTTAATGAAAGATCCATTGAGCTAGACAGAGTAATTCATAGCTTAGTGGCACAGTGACGCCAGAGAAGATTAAAAACCTTGTATTATAGTGTGATTTTGATTAGACTAGAAATAGGTAGACTCTGAATTCATTCTAATTATAAGAACTTATGAAAGAATGCTTAATACTGTGTACTTTAAACCATCTTTTAAAATGTCATTTTAGCTTATACTGCAAAAGGAACTTCACGTAGTCTATGCTTTATCACATGTATGTGGACAAGACCGAACACTACTGGCCAGCATCCTACTGAGGATTTTTCTTCATGAAAAGCTTGAATCGTTGTTGTTATGCACACTAAATGACAGAGAAATAAGCATGGAAGGTATAGTATGGCTATGTTAGTGTGGTACTTTAAGAACTGGGTTTAGGTTTTATATCACGCATATATGGACTCTATCTCTGAATATACTAAATTGTTAAATTATATTGCAGATCAAGTTAATCTGTTTTCCCTTATTAAAAATTGCAGTTGGATGTTCTGATTATGTCAGTTACTTTGGGGAGCTAATATTTCTAATGGAGGTTTTGGCAGATAAGTACTAGAAGCCCCAAGAACGTGGTATCTCTGTCCGTATCAATGGCTCATAATGCTTGACTATCAAGAAAAGTCTGGCATACTTAATTATATTCTCTTACTTTTTACTTCATTGCACAGAAGTTGGGTGTCACCTGCATTTTATTTCTAGCTTTTATAGATAGGTAGTTCCCACGCTGATGGACACACAGTGTTTTTAATGACTTACAAATACGTTGAAATAATTACCCTCTCCCTGCCCCACCGACCAAGCACTTTGATTCAGTAACAGTTCTTGATTCTAGATTCCCCAAATAAATAGTAAAGTCTAGAACTATTTCCTCCTCATTATAAAAATTATAAAGGTATATAATTTGCCAAGGAATAGATAAAACGATGGTCCTTATTTTACATTGAGGTTTTTTTTTTTTCCCTGACAGCATTTGTATTTTATTAAAATTTTACTGAAATTCATCAGACATGTTTTAGGCTAATACATTAATCTATATTGGGATTTTGTGTTATATTTGTAATTCTAAATAAATCCCCAAATTTCAAAGCATGGGGGTCATTGGAAAGGACAGCTGATTTATGGTCCTAATTTTGTCACTAGCTGTCTAATTGATCTTAGATAAGTCATATAACCATTGAGTCTTCATTTTTCAGTATAAACATGCAGTGTTAATCCCTTCTCCTGTTTATGATATAATGAGGTAATACATCTGAAAGTCTTACAGAGTTAAGTTGTAGAAATATAGGATGTCATTGTAATTAGTACTTCAATGTTGCATGCAAAAAGTACATTTAAAAGGCTATTCCTGTTGAGGTAAAATGAATTCATTTAATTTCCAATTTGCTCACATTGAGTCCTTAACAAATAATCTAATGTGAATATTTGCGTAGATGAAGCCACTACCCTGTTTCGAGCCACAACACTTGCAAGCACCCTGATGGAGCAGTATATGAAAGCCACTGCTACACAATTTGTTCATCATGCTTTGAAAGACTCTATTTTAAAGATAATGGAAAGCAAGCAGTCTTGTGAGGTAAGATTTAATGTTTTAAGAAGTATTTTTGGGAACATGTAATAATTTAATAGGTAATAGTTTGTAGCTCATTACATTTTAACGAAAATGTTAAATTTCTAAAATTATTCCTCATAGCAGTTATACCCTTTTGTAATACATTTATTACAATGTTCTACAAAATGAACTTTGGAAATACTTGGTCATTTCTTCTACTGTACTAATGACAGACTATATGCTACTTACAGAAAGTGTGCATACATAAACTGAAGGCTTTGCTAGTGACTTATCATATAACCTATGTAGCACTTCATAACATCTAGTTTTGTCCTTGAAGGTTTTTTTGTGAGGAGAGTTGAGATAATCTCAACAAAAGCAAATAAAAAACACCTTTTAGGATTATTAAAGCTTAAGTACAAATTCATAATAAACTATTTAGTAAGCGGAATCTCACACGTATATTCTTTCATTTTAATGATAAAGCGACTATAGAGAAATACATATTTTAGATTTGACACAAAAATCACTAAAATAAGGAATTGTTTCTCACAGTGGACACTGGGACCTAGCAAATGTTAATCCTGCACACAAAGATGTCAATTTGTACTAATAACTTGAAGGGAAGAAATTAGTGATTTAATGTTGGAAAACTGGAGTAATGCCATAGTTAGCCTAACATAAGGATGACACAGAAATGCAGCAAGTAGGTAGGGAGTCTCCAGACTAATTTAGAGATAGACTACAGAATTTAGACTTCCATAGATAAATCTACTCTGCTGACACTACATCAGAAGGGTTACAGGAAAAGTTCTGAGAAAGGTCTGTGATTCTGCCTAAGACATTTGATATTTTTATTAGCCATTAAATAAGTCTCATTCAGAAAAGGCTAAAATTGGCTCCCCCCCCCCAAATGAACATAATTGACTAATTACTGTTTGCTTTTCAGTTGGGTAATTGGGAATAAATGGTAACAAACCTACCAGAAGGAATTCCATAGAGCAAACTACTTAAAAACTCCCATTTATAACAAAGAAAAAAGATGAATACACACTGAGATACTGAAAAAGACAACCTTGAAAACTACAACTACTTGTTTACCTCAATTCATTTCCATTTGTCATTGCCAAGATGCATTTATATTGATTTATTCCTTCTCTTAGTTAAGTCCATCAAAGTTGGAAAAAAATGAAGATGTGAACACTAATTTAGCACACCTATTGAACATACTTTCAGAGCTTGTGGAGAAAATATTCATGGCTTCAGAAATACTTCCACCGTAAGTGGTGAAATTTTCACTTGGCAAGAAATTGTGTATGTCTTGAAAAATTTATATTTCTCTTACATGTGAAAGCTTTTCTGTTGTTCTATTATTATATTCTGAAAAAGTCACGGCTAATCTTTATAAGATAAATTGTATTTAAAGAAAAAAACTGCCTTAAAGATCCCAGAGTGAAATATTTACATTAAAATTAAACCACTGTTTTTATACAAGCCAATATGTCTGGTTTGTATAGTAGCTTGGGGAGTGAATACAATTTATAGTTTCAGATTGTAAGACATCTTGTTTATCCATTTGTCTATATTTGATAGGCTAATCACTCTCTTAATATGCTTTTAGGCCTCCAGTATTAGTAAACTCACTTGTTCAGGTACAAGTTAACTTAAGTCTAAATACTTCTCAGAATTTGCAGCTGGTTACTTCTCTGTATCTGAAAGCAAATGTCAAGAAGTTGACTGAATAAACTGATGATGACAAATTACCAGATAAAGTTTTCCTTACCTCTTGCTAAATGTCTCATTACTTCTGGCAAAATATTTTTTTGGGGGAAATGGTCAGTTGTATTAAACTGTGGTATATTTGGGTAAATTAAGCTTTTGGCTGCTATGAGATCAGTATTTTCACTTGCTTTCTGTGCTGAGATGGTTGTGTTATTTTGGCAGGACATTGAGATATATTTATGGATGTTTACAAAAATCTGTTCAGCATAAGTGGCCTACAAATACCACCATGAGAACAAGAGTTGTTAGGTAAGGCTCATCAATTCATTTTTTACATCACATACCGATAGGTGGATAATTATAAAAAAATTGAAGTAAACTTCAAGTTACTGTGAGATTTTAGCTACCATCTGCATTTTCTAAAAATGTGAACATTCATTTACAGTCAAGTAAGTATTGAAGTACTGGGGATTTTTAAACCCTTACAGGATGAGGTTAAAAGTTATATAACAAAATCTGTAGCTAACTTCATATAGTATTCTTCATAATACACACTCACACAGATTGGCACTAAGAAGAGCAGTAATTGACCCATTTAGATATTAATTGGTTTGTTACAATCTGTGACTCTGAGCTAATCTGTAACCAGAACGTGTAATTTTTGAAGCTGTATTTCAGTCTGTTCATCGTACCATAATTAGGAAGAACTGTTTTTGCAAATCATTGAATTTGGGAGCTTATATAAAGGGACTTCATTATCATCATTCTATAGGAGGAATTGCTTTGGCAAATCCTGGAATTTGGGAGTTTCTAAGGTTACTTCATTATCATTCTAACATATTTTTCCAATGAAGAAGCAGATCTGTCTGGAGAGGTTAAGTTGCTGGACTAAGGTTATATAGAAAGTTAGTGGGTAAGCAGAACTAAAGGTAACTAAGACCCAATCTGATATCCTTAACTCTTATTGTAAGCTTTTGCTTTTGTTAGGCATACTCCAACCAATTCCAGGCAAATGGAACTTTAATGCAAAAGTGTCATGGAATATAGCAGTCTTCTTATAATTTGTTATTTAGAATATAAACTGCCATGTCATGTTATATTTAAAAAAAATTAGGCAACCATTACCACCATTATTACACAATTCATTTTGAAAATGTGTGTTAATCCTGCCTCCAACCTAAATTTTGTCAAGGGGCTTCTATTTCTTTTTTTTTGGTGGGGGAGGAGGGCAGGTAAAATTTCTCTTGGTTATGATGTGACAGAATATTTAAGAACTACAGATTCTGCTTTTCTTGGCATTAGTGGTGACTGGGAGGAAAAGAAAAGAATTACAAGCATAATATGCCAGCAGTTATGGGTGATGGGTCAATAAAAACTGTTCTATAAATCTGTACGTTTCAAACAAGCATAATTGTTAAGCAAACACAGCAAGAAATTGTGAACTGTTGGATGCAATAGGATGTTTTAGGGGTATTTTTGCCAAGGCTGGTTTCAGGTTCATAGACCTACTATGTATAAGTATCGCAGTATTTTCAAATAAAGTTTACATAAGAGTCTTTGTAATTTGAGAAGTCCAAATTTAAAGACTTAATTGTTACTGTGATATATTAGTTTCTTCCTTTTTTTTTTGGAGACAGTGTCTTATTGTTGCCCAGGCTGGAGTGCAGTGCTGTGATTTTGGCTAACTGCAACCTCTGCCTCCCAGGTCAAGTGACTGTCATGCTTCAGCCACCCAAATTGCTGGGATTTTACAGGCATGCATCACCACACATGGCTATTTTTGTATTTTTAGTAGAGATGGGGTTAGAGCATGTTGGCCAGGCTGGTCTTGAATTCCCGGTTTCAAGTGATACACCCACCTTGGCCTCCCAAAGTGTTGGGATTATAGGCGTGAACTACCATGCCAGCCAATGTTATTACAATTTCTATAAATGCTGTTGAGAGGTAACATATTTACTTCTAAGAGTCCAAAAATTAGCAAACAGACACATGTTCAAAGGTAAATGCTGAGATATTAGGTAATCCACTGTACCAGAGAACAGAGATTGTGTCTTAATAATCTCTAGAAGGAGTTGTGTAACTCATTTTGGGAATAATGCTTGTCTTTACATAGATTGTGTCTGTCAATCTGTAAAAGGAATTGCATAATTCATTATGTTAGGAATAATGCTTGTCTTTACATGGGGCAAGAAAGAGGTTATTAGTGTGTATTCCTCTTAAAAGGAAATTAGAGAGAATTTATCTGTATGACAACATATCCTCCCTACCCGTGACTAAAGGAGGCAGAAAAGGAGTTATATACAAAAGCTTCATTTTTACACTGACATTGTCCCAAAGTAAAATAAGCAGATAAAATCACACATGACAGCTATGAGTATAATTTTTGCTATTGCTATTATTTTGTAATTTGACAACTTTTTAAACTTTATTATTCCTTATGTCTTGCCTTAAAAAGCTTTTTAGGCTGGACATGGTGGCTCAAGTCTGTAATTTCAACACTTTGGGAGACCAAGACAGGAGGATTGTTTCAGGCCAGGAATTTGAAATTGTCCTGGGTACTGTAGTGAGACTCTGGTCTCTATAAAAATAATTAAAAAAAAAAAAATTAGCCAGGTATGGTGATTTGTACCCTACCTATAGTCCTAATTACTCTGAAGACTGAAGCAAGAGAATTGTTTGAGCCCAGGGGTTAAAGGTTGCAGTGAGCTGTGATTGTGGGCCACTGCATTCCAGCCTGGATGACAGAACAAGACCCAGTCTCAAAAGAAAGCAAAAAAAAAAAAAAAAACAAAAAAAAAAAACACCACCTTTTCAGCCTCCTATTGTATACATTTTCATTTATCAATAAGTTACCTTTTCTCTAGTGCAGTGGATTCTTACTTTTATATGACTCATCAACAAAATCAGTGCAACCAACTTAGGCTGTTCTGCTTAATCTAAAATTCTAAATTGAGAAAGTGAGTAAGTAATACATTCAAGAATCAGATATAATAGGTATATTCTTAAAATATAATGCTTTGACTTACTGTTTCCTAAAACTTACTGTGTCTGGGCTTTCCTATATTGGTTTAGAGTGAAGTTTATGGTTCTACGAGTGCTAAAAATTCTGTTTATGTGTATTGTTTTAAAGTAACACATTATATAGGTGTTTTCTAAAAAAACAAAAAAATTTCCCTCCCATTTAGTGGTTTTGTTTTTCTTCGACTTATCTGTCCTGCCATCCTGAATCCGCGGATGTTCAATATCATCTCAGGTAATCAGCTTTTGATAAATTTTGAAATTAAAAAAATTAGTATTGTTAGTAAGAATACTCTTAAAAGAAATTAAATGTGTGTGTGTGTGTGTGTGTGTGTGTGTGTGTTTTTTGGATTATCCAACTCTAAATCTTGGCATATATAAAGCGTTCCAAAGCACCCTTCCTTCCTTGTGCTTCTTCAGCTTTTCTCTTGTTTCTTTTCTTTCATCTAATATCTGGTCTGAGATGGCATGATTACACACATGCCACCTTTTTTCTGCCCATACTGTGTCTGAAACCTTGATAGTAGATGACTTCTTGCAGTCTGCAAGTTGGCTTTTTCAAGTTGGGAAGAGCTTTGCTTAGTCCATTGCTAGACTGCTGCCAGCTGGATCTTCAAAATCAAAATATATCTACAGTTGGAATAGTATTCTGTGAGTATTTATGAAGAAAGCAGTCCTGGTTCCTCTCATTAGAGATTTTTTAGATCACCAGTTATATAGTGTTAACTGGCCATTTTAAACTCCGGTAAACCTGATCCAGCTTTGCTTATTATCCTTATAGCCATATTGAGATGACTTTCAGGTGTTACAAGCTTCTTTCAAAGAAAGGATAACAGGGATATTTGTGACTTTGAATATAATAATGAACCATTATAAACAGTAGGACCCTGAACCATTCTTACCTTAATAATCTGAAGCTTAAAACTGTACTAAAAATGTTTCGGAATGTCTTAAGTTTTACTTTTATAGCCATCACATCTCTGTAATTATCTTTTATTGCTACTAAAGTGGATAAATCTATAAATCTATTAAGATTAGGGTTTGAAATTCTTTTGGAGAGATTTTTCTGATGTTGGCCTCAGAGAACACTATCTAAAACTAGGCAGTCATGAAATTTTACTGTTAAATAATTACCTTAAGTTTCAGAGCTTATATTTAATGGACACCAATATTTTTCATTTACATCCCACTATTTGTGTTCTACAGGGAAATGCTTCCTGACTTACATTTTAAAAGTTTATTAAATTTCATGTTTTTCTCCTCAAAGCAGAGGTCCTAGACTTTATCTTGGTTCTTGCGCTTTAAGTGAATTATTTGGACTGCAAATAATGTTGGGTGGAGGGAATTGCTCAGATTGCAAATTCCTAACCTGAGTTGGCTGCAATTAGCTTTGTGAACTGTCACAAAGGATGTGAGGAGTGACAGTCTTTTCTAGTGATAAAGGTAAATCTTTGAGGCCCTCTGAAATAGTATCAACCATTGGGAATTGCTGAGTTTGTACTACCCTTTTCACAAGCCTAGAGGTACTGATAAGCATATTCAGTTTTTCTCTTTTAACTCAAGTTCTTTTGATTATACAGACCATACATTTTGCTGAGTTCTGACTGGAAGAATGGGTAGTATTTTAACAGCAAAGTAATGTTAAAGTGGTAAATTTATAATGGTTTAGCTGGAAGTGCCATTGGAGTTGGTGTCATTAGCTGTGCCCAATTCTCTTACAGATTCCCCATCTCCTATTGCTGCAAGAACACTGACATTGGTGGCTAAATCTGTGCAGAACTTAGCAAATCTTGTGGAATTTGGAGCTAAGGTAAAAACATTTTGATATTTTAAAATGTAATTTATGAATACAAGTTTGACATAAAACCACAAAATACAGCTTAAGTAAATTTTTAACAGTGAAATTTTTGGCAATGAGGTAATTTTTGCTGGTGTTTGTTTTTAAAGCATCTTGTTTAAATTTTACATTTTAATAGTGGGACTTTAAACAACACCACATCAGCCATTACAGAAAAATTTGTCAAGGTCCAGTGTACTCAAATTCTCGCTTTTAAACATAAAAATTATCAGTGAGCATAATATTATTTCCCAATAAACATTCACTGTAAACAGTAAAACTCAGATGAGTTTGTTTTCTTTTTAAACACCCACATATAATTGTACTATCTAAGGATAATGACTAATACTCAGTTGGGATCATATCACACCTTCTGCTTTTATCACCTAATATGTGACAGACATCTTGCCATAGGTGGAAACATATAATTTTCATTGTTCTTAATACTGGATATTTAGATGGCTTCCAGTTTGTACCTGTTACTGCTGTAACATATCCTTGCATACATTTCCTTTCATACTTGTTCAATTATTAGCTGAACTTTGGAGTAAAATTACTAAAAGTTAAATACACGGTGTAGGCTTTTGCTATGTATTGCAAGATTTCCTGTCAGCAATTTAAGATACTTTTGTTGCTCCTTGCAGCCTTGCCAAAACTCAGTGGGTAGTATGCTTTTTTCTTTTTTGCCAATTTGATAGACATTATTTTGTGTTTCATTCTTTCAGACTTATTATTTTGTGTTTCATTCTTTCAGACTTTCATGTCTCTATCTTTGGAATTGCCTATTGAGGTTCTTATTGAGTTTCCTACGGACTTTTAAAGAGTGTGTTAATCTTAACCTTTTCCATATTTATAGCATACTTTTAAGTAGGATTTTAATGATGAGCAGTTAACGTATATGGCCTAGCTTTTGAATTTATCTGAATCTTGAGGCAGGTTACAAATAAGATATTTTTCTATTGCAGTCTTTATTATATTGTATTTTAATTCCCTGTAATCTCTGCTGGATTCTAACCTCTGAGTTGGGGCCATGTTTGAATGAATAAGCAATTTGTGTCTGCCAGGCTATGTGTTATGATTTGTGTTTGGGTCCAGAATTTCTCGTTCTTTTATTAAAAATACTCCATGCTCCTGAGTATAGCCATTTGCTTATATATTAGAAGGAAAATACTGTCATTATATGATTTAATCCTTGTAAATTGCTGTTAGCCGCAATTACTTTTGCACCAACCTAATAGATGAAACAGTGATGTTTGTTTCTGGTGCATATAATAGAGGCATTTTATTTTTCAGGAGCCCTACATGGAAGGTGTCAATCCATTCATCAAAAGCAACAAACATCGTATGATCATGTTTTTAGATGAACTTGGGGTATGTATATAATTTTTAGGTACTCTAAGATTTATACTTAGTATAGCTGAGTTAACCCACTTAAGCAGCAACCTTTAGAAAGATTTTCTATCCAGAACTAAAAAGACAAAAAGCCTGCAAATTTTTGCCTTCCTAAACAAAAAGTGCATTTTTGTTTGTAATTAAAACCGTTTATTCTTACACTGAATAGTTTACACCAAAGCATACAATACTGTTGGCTTTTGGACTACTTCCATCACTTTTTAGGGTCTGTCTTGCCTTTCATATCCTTTTAAAGCTTTCATATCCTTTTAAAGCTATCATATCTGACTGCCATGACATTCTGTTGACTCCTACTTTGCTGCTGCTCTGTGGGGCTTGAAGCAAGACAATGACACAGTTCTGACCAGGTTAAATAAATAGACTGAAGAGTGTTCTTTTCTAAAATAAAAGACATGGATTTAGTGTTATGCTTCATTCAGTGTGAATACCAGTGCCTCATTTGGGCCTTGTTAATAAAATAAACTGTGATTACAAAATTATGAATGGGGATATTTTGTAATTTCTAGGACCCTGCATTTCTTAATCAAGTTACATTTTCATGATTGTACAGATTTTCAGGTACTGAGCCAATTTTAAACTAAACTTATTAGTAATTCAATTCATATAAAGAGAAACCAGGAAGGTACATGTACACATGAATAGAGCCAGGTATATGGCATGGCATTAGGGAGTGCCAAGATTGGAGACTGAGGTGTCCATGTTCCATCTTAATGCATTCTGATTCAGTTAAAAAGGCCACCACAACCATACCACTGTGGCAAACACATCAGGAATGCATGTGGGTCACTAGTTTGCAACCTCAGGTATAAAAACAAGTATATGAAAAATTATATTTATTGTGAAATTGACAAAAAATGCTAAAAGTTCATTCTTCTCTATGTGAACTGGTATATAGGTGGTCAGCCATTGGAAAACATTTTTCTGTAATGTTTAAAAGGAGCTGTGTGAGAAATTATGCCACACAATCTAGGATTTCATACTGCTTAGGATTTCATACTGCTTAGAATCCAAATATACTACTCCTATTTCTTCACCACCTGTATAAACCAAATTCACTTTTGATGACGCACCTCAATTATTACTCAATTATTATCTCCTTCATGAAACTTTTGCTGAACCCCAAACATGAATAAAATAACTTTTGTTTTACCTCCTAAGTATCCCCTGCATACCTGCGATACATAACTCTGTGTTGCTATGGTTACTTTTCTAAAGGCCTTTCTACTAGAGTCAGCTCTCCAAAGCCAAACTTGGTGTCTGTCATCTCTATAATCCTTTACTTGAGTCACTAAATGAATGTATTCTGCCTAATTGTGTTTAGTCTATAGAAAATATTGTTTTGTAGTTTTTAGTAATGTAAGGCAAATATTGTCCCCATTTTACTGGTAACCCAAGCCCTTGCTAAATGTTATTCCAAGGTTTAAAGTAACATTGGCATTTAGTATTGATAATAAAGTACAGGTTGAGTATACCTAATCCGAAAACTGAAACGCTAAAAAAGCCAAAACTTTTTGAGCACCGACAGGAAAGGCTACTTGGAAAATTTCCAATTTTGGATTTTGGGACTGCGGATGCTTAACTGGCAAATATACTGCAAATAAATCCTGAACACTTCTAGTCCGAAGCATTTTGGGTTAAGTGACATTCAACCTATACCATAAACTTTAATTCTAGTGACTAAGTTACTTCATGAACCTTATCTAAAAGTATCATAATTAACACTGTTTATTCCCACATACTAGCAAGCATTCTGAGCATGGTCCACAGATAATTGCAAACCTGACATATTCTCATTGCATTTTCATAGTGCAGCTCCTACTTACATACAGATTAATCTGGACAAACTACAGGAGCTTAATAATGAAATTTAGTCTAGGAATTTTAAGTTTAGGTTGAATTTAATCCAGAGTAGCAGTTAACCTATACTATTTGGCATATGTTCTAGATTTCATATATAAATTGTTAGAAGCCACACCCTCCACCATTATTTTTAGAATAGCAATAATATTGTACCATATCCTGCCATGCTATGGAAGAAAGTAGAATCTGGCTTTCATGTGAATATAAAGATTACAGAGTTTATATTTTACCATAATCAATGCTGAATATTTCAGTAAGAATCTGAGAATTTAAAAAAATTATCTAAAATAACCCGATTAGAATCTTTTCACATGAGACTATAAAGATTTGTATTCCTAACAAAAAATTAGCTGGGCATGGTGGTGGGTTCTTGTAATCCTAGCTACTTGGAAGGCTGAGGCAGGAGAATTGCTTGAACCTGGGAGGTGGAGGTTGCAGTGAACCAAGATGATGCCATTGCACTCCAGCCTGGGCAACAACAGCGAAAAGTCCATCTCAAAAAAGAAAAAAAAAAAAATTTTGTATTTTTTTTTTTTTGTATTTCTAAATGTAATTTTATGATTCCCTTAAAGAATGTACCTGAACTTCCGGACACTACAGAGCATCCTAGAACTGACCTGTCCCGTGATTTAGCAGCACTGCATGAGATTTGTGTGGCTCATTCAGATGAACTTCGAACACTCAGTAATGAGCGTGGTGCACAGCAGGTAAGTGCCAGCCTTCATTATTAGTGGTATTTCAAGGGTTAACACTCTGAGAGGTAATAAACAGCTGAATTCTGGTTAACATTTTTATCTTCTTATATTAAATTTTTGAGAATCTGAATCATATAACAAAAGATCTCAGCAGACAGAAGTAACAGGCCCAAACTAAAATGATGTATATTTAAAACTGAAAAACATCAGATTTTGCTCTTGAGTCTGAATGTTGATTGTATGGGGAAACATTGTTAATATACTTTAGTGGCATATGAAAATTGCCAGTAAGTCAGTATTTTTTTTTTTTTTTCATTTTCTGTCTTCCGTCACATACAGATACAGTGCATGACCAAAGTGATTCTCAAATTGTGAAACAAATTACTATTATTTGGGATGTTTGTCAGATTTCATATCCAGAGATTCTGAAGTGTGGCCTTGAAAGCTGCACTTCTAACAGACTCTTACAGGAATTTATAGGGATTCAGATGCAAGTGATCCATGGCCTACACTTTGGGAAACAGTAGACTACATAGACTTCTATCTGCCATCTGCACCAATCAGATACATATTAGGATGTATTCAAAGAGGGACTAGAATTTTAAGGGATTTAAAACCAGGTCAATTAAAATATTAAAACAAAATGAATTACATTTTGAATGTCTTCAGCTGACATAAGGGCCACTGAAAGGAATTGAGCACAGGGAGTTTTGACTACTTTCTAATGTAGTTTCAGGAGATAGTGAATGCTGTCACTGCACTGGCTAACCATTTGGCAGGGATTTTGTAAAAGCAATTAAAGCACTGATTTTGGTGACTGAGTTCTCTTCAACCTGAGATACTAGAATCCTAGAAAGTAAGTAAATGACTTGCCTTAGATATTAAATAAAAAATAGGAGACCCTTAAAAAGAGGTAAACTGCTTCTGGCAAAGTAAGATAGCTCTGGCCTAACAAATAGCAGTATGCCAAGCACAAATGAATTTGTTCACTTGAGGGTATAAAAATTCTTAGTTATGACCAGGAATGCTCAGCCAATGACTGAATAATAGAAACTTAACATTTTGAGTGGAAATGTGATAATATCTTAGGGAATCCCTTTGCTTTGATATGGCTTTTTTCAAACCTAGGTTCCCATCCTGAAATTGCTGACTGAGCTTTCATTTATTTTCATACCATTTTTCCTTCTGTCTAGCACGTCTTGAAAAAGCTTCTGGCTATAACAGAACTGCTTCAACAAAAACAACACCAGTATACAAAAACCAATGATGTCAGGTAGCAGCCTTTGCCCTAGTGTTCTGCATGGATTCGGCATGCCCAGTATGGTAATTTACATCAGTATAATGTCTCCTTTGCTCTTGCCAAAAAAATAGCACACTTTTCCACATTCCAGTGATGTGTGAGCTATGCAAACAAAATCTAAGATTCTGCTGTTGAGTAACTGTGCCAGCAACCTTGTATGCTATCTGTGCAGGCTATTTGCACTTTTTCCACATGGAATCAATCTTTTAACAACCTCTGAGCCTTGGTGTACAGATCACCTTTCACAAAATGAAATGCTATGACTGTATCTTGAACTTTGAAAATATATTTTCAGTACACTCAGTTGCCAAAGTTTTCCTGTCTCTTGGAGGAAGAACTATGAAATCAACTGACAAAAAAAGCATTCTCTTATGTGTATAACTGGATTGCAGACTGTTCTCACTGTAACTACTTCCTGATTAGGAAATACGACCATTTGACTGTTCAATGATTATTTGTATTTACAGTTTCCAGAGTTTGTCATTGTAACAGGAACAATCTTTGCTGTATACGTTTAAAAAATATTGTGCTATTTCTCTTGCTGGAACTGTTGAAAGAAAATATATAGAATGATCTATTGCTCATCAGCTTTATTTTTTAAACATACTACTTATTTTGAAATTGTCAAAGACTGTATTTAGATCTCATAATGCTTTGTTAAATGTTTACAAAACAGTAGTTTGAATTCAGTAAATATTATTGGTTTATTGTATTGATCAATGCATGTCACCCATCCAACCATTTTATAAACTATGTTTCTTTTATGTTAACTAGAATGCTTTTGCTAAATGTATTTGTTCATTATTTGTGCTGCCCCTTTGATTATGCAGACAACCTCATCAGCTGCTTAACTTATCCATCTTTGAACTTATGACTACTTGTTTTATCTGCTGGATATTTAGTTCAACTGTATAGTTTTATTTACTTCTGTATGTGCATTTTCGTGAAGTATTCACAAAGGCTAAGTTAAAATAAAACCAAGGGATATCTTGCATAATTGATTACTTTTGTCTGAATAGAGCTAAGCATTTAATTTGTTTATTTTCTTCCTCCTTCAGGGGCAGTTTAAACCTTAGCACCAGAGCAAGGCCCAGGGAGAAGCTGAAGCTTCAGATCAGTACTTTTGCTAATGGCATCTTTTGAAAAGGATTCTGTATTATTCAATAATTCCTTCCCTCTCATAATTGTGCAGGGGAGATAAGACATATGTGGGCATCATATGTGGATCATATGTGGCAGTATGACATTGGTAATCAATCAAAGTGGGTGAGACAGGAACCCAAGGTGGTATTCCCACAGTAAGGAAAGACCGAGATTCCAAGAGCAACACTTTATGCTATTCCTCCAATGTATAAAACACAGGGAAAAAAATTTTAAGGGTTTAAAAGATGTCTGCTTTTTCAGGCTACAAAAGTCAATTATTTCTATGGGAGCTGCTAACCTTATGTGACTTCAATCACAGTTCAACACTGATAACAAAAATCTCAAGTCCTGTGCTCCTTTTCCTTGACATCAACTCAATTCATTCCATTCTCTCCCTTCTTGGCTCTTTATCAAATTATTCTCCTTTCCTCTTTTCCATCCCTTCTGCTTTTCAGCTGAACTTGGACCAACATAGTATCCCAGGTGGTCTCCTTCCTTGGTTACATGATAGCCGACAGGGAGGATATGAACTAGTCAAGATATTTTTGCTGTGCATTTTGGTTCCCACTAATCGCCCCTAAATCTTTAGCCATACTAAGCTGTCATTCTTCAGCCTGAAATCCTTCTCCCTTGTATTTAAAATCACAAACCTGACTTACCCTGCACTTCTTATATTTTAATGTAATTTGTCTCTCAAGTTGAAATGGAAACTTGTTACTTACCTTTGTAGGTAGTAACTAGCTTGTCAGTGTTGAAATAAAATCTCTCAAACTTTAACTTTTTTAATGGGGCTGGGTGGGAAAATTTTCAGTGGTAAGTGTGGACCTTGCTCTGATGCCAAAGTTTGGCGATCTGAAAGGGAAAATGGGACAAATAGTGAACATCTTGCAATTCTGTCTACAGCCTAGCAGCAATGTACTTAACTAAGACTACAATGGAGGATTTATAACTTTTGGCTTCTTCCACTCTGCTTTTGCAAAATCTCACATCATGAGTTTTATTCCTTTCACTCCAGAATGAGAAGGGAAAAAAACCTCACAAAACTCAAACCTACAATATAAAGGATTGTGAGAGAGAGAGAGAGAGAGATGAGTATGCATATAGTAAGTACTGCCTTGAAATATAAAGATATAATTATAATGGTACCTACCCTTCTGGAAAGTACAGCCTGGGATGTACTGAGACTGAAGAGGTGTGTGTATTTGCGCAATTTAATTAGATTCAGGACACGAATTTCTCAGAATTCCTTCAAGCCAGTTTTCTTGGAAAAAATCTGGCTTGATATACCGACGTCCACAGTTTGGTTCCAACTATAATAGCTAACACTTACTGAATACTTAGTGTATGCAAGTACTATTCTAATTAATCCTATAAGGAGTAGGCATTATTGTCTTCCCTATATTTCGGTGTGGGAAAGTGGCACACAAAGGTTTAATAACTTACCAAGGTCACATACTGACATAGAGGCAGCCATGGTTCATATTTAAGTAATTTGCTGTCATAATCTGTGCTTTTTTATTTTTATATCCGCTCATTTCAATTTGAATTAAATTTCTTGAACATATTTAATCTGCAAAATTCCTAGTAACTGTTGTTATAATCTACTTACTTACACATTCACTTATAGGTGATGTAATAGATTACTTATAAGGCCATGGTAGTGTGTGCCTGTTGGCCCAGTTACTCAGGAAACTGAGGCAGAGGATTGCTAGAGCCTAGGAGTTTGAGACAGCCTGGGCAACACAGCAAGGCCCTACCTCAAAACAATTTGCTGCTACCTACTTATCTATACCAGCCTAAGAGTTTTATGCTGACAGCTATTCAAAATCATATATTTGATTAAAAAAAAAACCCATTTGGACATGTTTTCGGGTAACGAAGGAAAACAAGTAATATTCATTACCCAGATGACTAGCTTTCAGTACCATGTAACAGTTGAAATACCTTCTGCAGTTTAACAGAATGCAAAAACAACTAAATGTATCAGGATGGCATTCAAAAAACCATTTGTAAATGTTTCTAGAGGACAAAACACATTCCTTACACTTTTAAAGTTGGCTACTGAATTTTGTTTTTGTGGTGCCTTTTTTTAAAAAAAGCATAGGTTTACTTACCATATTTTGCTTAAAAAAATGATTAGGCAAGTAAGTTGCAGCTTTAATTTGATGAGTCATGATGGAATAGGAATATCCAAAACAGGTGCTATTCTAGCTCTTTTGAAGATGTTTTATTTTACATAAAGTTATTGTGAAAGGGGGAAAAAATAGGTTAATATATTTTATGTTTTCACATTATACTTTTTAAATAAAGTTAAAAGTTTGATATGCTTCCTACTTCTCTTGATTAGTTAGCATTGACAACTGAACTTCAAATGGTTAGAGAGATTCTACCAGGTCATCATCAGTCCATTCTTCCTAAGAAGGAAAAAAAATGTGGTAAGGATAACACTGAAGCATAACCAGTATTGTTTACCTTTTACTTCCCATTAGGAAAATATTCTCTTTCTTTTACCTATGTGGATTACGAAAGATAAACCAGAAAGTTTTTTATACTTCACTGTTAGTAATGTTGGCATGGTCTCACCAGACTCCTCCAATGAGGAATAAAGGTTACAGCTGTGACCTTCTGCCTTTGATTACTACTCACTTACCTGACTTGACAGGTGCAAATTTTTTTAAAAAGGGGGTAAGGGTTAAATCCTTGGAGATTAAGAAATAAAGCAAAACTGAAGTATGTATGTGTATCCCTTTTGCTTTCTATGAACACAGGAAGGATTCTTCATCAAGTAAAGACAGAAGAGATAAAAATCCCTTTAATAATGGACAATAGCACTGTACATAAGGAAGTATGCAAAAAATGAAAAAAACCCACAATTCTATAATTCTTTTACTTCTATAGTGTTTTTACTCTTGGAGAATAAATCTCAACAGTATAGTCACACCAGAATGCATAACAAAAATGACTTAGAGTTTATCTTTGGAGTAAAACATACCTCCTCCTGTTTGGATTTCTTTGAGACATAATCATCATCTTCATAGCCTTTCCTCTTCTTCCTATAATTAAGCAACTATCAATAAGCAATCCAATACCAGCCACAGAAACTAAAAAATATAAAATAAACTAGCAAGGCTATATGCAATGTCATGTATCTACTAAAAAACAAGGCCCGGATAAATGGAAAAAGATGAAGAGTTATGGGTAGGGGAAATGATAATTTTAAAATCAATCTCTAAATTTAATGCATTTCTTTTTTTGTTTTCTAAGACAAAGTCACTCTGTCACCCAGGCTGGAGTGCAATGGCATGATATTGGATCACTGCAACCTCTGCCTCCCAGCTGCCTCAGCCTCATGAGTAGCTGGTATTACAGGTGCCTGCCACCATGTCCGGCTAATTTTTTTTAATTTTTAACAGAAACGGGGTTTCACCGTGTTGGCTAGGCTGATCTCAAACTCCTGACCTAAGGCGATCCACCCTCCTCGGCCTTCCAAAGTGCAGGGATTACAGGCATGAGCCACCGTGCCCAGCCATTTAATGCAATTCTAATTAAAAACCCAATAAAACTTTTCATGGAATCTGTCAAGTCTAACACTGACCTAGAAAAGTGTGTGAAAAAACAGCAGAGAACGTAAAGAAGAACCACGTGCTAAAGAAGAACCATGCAGCCTGTGGGCTGTAGTTTGGGGACGCCTGGAATGTATAATATGTAAATAAGTACAATCAGCCTTTTGTATCCTGTGAATTCCACCATCAGTGGACTCAACCAACTGCGGATTGAAAATACGAAAAGAAATTCTATCTGTACTGAACATGTAACAGACTTTTTTGTCATTATTCCCTAAAGAATAGGGTATAACAACTATTTACACAGCATTTACATTGTATTTAGGTATTAGAAGTAATTCAGAGATAATTTAAAGTTTATGGGAGGATGTGTATAGGTTATATGCAAATAGGCCATTTTGTATTAGGGCATCTATGAATTTTGGTTATCAGCAGAAGGTCCTGAAACCAATCCCCCATGGATACTGAAGGATGACTGTATACAGAATCTATAAAGCACCACAAATCACAAAAATAATGCCACACAATTGGGCAAGGGCTATAAATAAGCAATACAGAAGAAATAAGTGACTGTTAAACATGGAAACTTCAGTGCCCCATAGTAATCAAGAAAATGCAAATTAAAATGCCAATGTGATTTTTTTTTTAGCCAGACTGGCAAAAGTAAAACACTGAATTTTGAAAATCAAGGAAAACAAATAGTCCTAAAGTAGCACAACTCATGGTGTGGTCCATGACTATTTCCAGTTTGTATTAAGTATAGGAATCGTGTGTTTAGAAATTTTTAATAGCAATTTGATATAATCATTTTATGACCTGAATCTAATAAAACTTGACACAAAAATAATTTTTGTCTTCGCTTTTCCAGTAATGCATTTTTTATTGAATTTTCAAAAGTATATATCTAGTGAAGTTTTTTTTTTTTTTAAATCCTTCACAGTTTGAGAAGCACTCCTCAAATACTCATATATACTCAGAATTTGCTTGGCACAGTACAAAGCGGATGGCAATCTGGAATAAGCTATGGAAACTAGGAATTTTGGATTGTGGTCCATTCAGTTACTTAGCTAGAAAGGGTAGGATTAATAGTTCAGTGGTCTACGCCAGGGATGGATAAACTTTTTACTTAAAGAGACAGTAAATATTTTAGGCCTTGCAGATGCTATTATCAGTTTCTGTCACAACCAACTTTTCTACTGTATCAAGAAAACAGCCATAGGTGATAAATAAATGAATGGGTGTGCTATATTCCAACAAAACTGTATTCTAAAAACAGCCAGTGGGCTGGATATGCCTTGTAGGGTCATAGTTTGCCAACCCCTGGTCTAATCCCATTTCAAAATCCATGCAAAAAGAACATAAGCAGTGCTGCAATACTTTCATTAATTAAAGCCAACGTTTCTTCTCTATAACCCATCTGAAAAATTCCTGTTACCACTGAAACCTGGAAGTGAATGAAATCCACCAATTTCAAGTTCTGTGCTCAATCATGCTATTCTGCATACTTCCTAAGTCCCTAGATATTACCCCACTACAACTGTATAGGAATTTAAGTCATGTGTATTTGACATAAGGACCTAAGAATGCTGTTCTGGCTTTTCATACGTATCCAGCAGCACATATTCACCAATTATAGAAATAATATCCAAAATACATCTTAACTATAAGATGCCACAGATAACTCCCATTAAATTTTAACATACAGGGTATAACTTTAAACAACAGAATGCATCCCACAGGAAATAGGAAATGTCAGTTTCATTATTCCTAGTACCTGCCCAAATTCCCAACTGCTTAAACACCTAAAAATTTCAATCGATCTTTCAATTTGCAAAGCATAAATTGCCAATTGTATGGTGATTTCCATATTCAGCTTACCAATCAATTAAGAGACATTAAAGGTGTTCTTATGGCTACAAGAAGAGATAAAACAGCCTATTTTGCTATTGGCTTTATCTTCAATATAAAGTTTGTCACTGAAAGAAAGTATGTATGCCAAGTTTCCCTACTCTAGCTACAGAAGTCTGGAAAGGACATTTGTTCCTCAGACCAGATATCACAACTGCAGAGACCAAAGACTAAAATGACAGAAAAAGGTTAAAGGATTCCTTAAGAAGACCCTGACCCCTGAGATCCCATGAGAAGTAACAGAACAGGACAGGGCCTGCAAGCCAAAGAATGCAAGTCACAGCAGGATCAGAATTGCACAGTGAATGCTGAACTATTAAGGTCTTAAATTTAATATCATTAGAAATGTCCATTCAACAAAGAAAATCTGATTTAATGGATCAGTCAGCTTTCCTCAAATGAGCAAACACCAATAAAATGATTTACAAACCAGCTGGACTGGATAAAAGTTATGTCTACTGATCAACACTGTCACATCAACTTACGAGATTACATTAAGTGCAAGCTCAGCAGAATGACATCGCTCCAACTTCTGTTTCAGAACAGCAACTTCTTCAGATCTGGGTGGTTCATACTTTTTTACTAAGTTTCTCATGCCTATGTGGATACAAAAAAGAATTTAAACTGAATAAGCAAATCTTTTCATAGTAAGGGAGCTTGTTACTTTTCAACAAAACACTCTTCAAATGACATAGTTATTCTTCTCATCATTCTACTTTAAAATCCTATAAGCACCATATGTTTAATTCAAGTAATTATGGCTCTCTGCTGTTTAGGCCATACCATGTACAGCATAAAGCACACTGTATAATCTAGTATTAATTTTTTGCAAATCCTACTGGGGTCACTTCTTGTTCGGTTTAAGACTTAAAAAAAAAAAAATCCCTAAATGATTTAGTGAACATGCTTTGTTCACTATCACCAACCATCTTCATAATATTCTATTCCACAGATAGTGGACTAAAAGTTTATTTCCTATTTACAAAAGAAACTGCTATTACACAACATGCAATAAAGAGAGGATGCTTAGTAAAAATTTGTTAATAATCCTTTGCTTTAACAAAAAACAGACCCTATATAAAAATGTCCACTTTAGGTTAAACGCAAACTACTATATCAGTAACTTTATAATTGCAAAAGCATCCTCTAGCTGATCTTTTTATTCAGCTATAATAAACCAAAGAACACAAATTTCAAAATGTATCGGGAATGAGGAGACAGCCAATCGGCTTATTATTATTATTATTATTTGCCAGCCATGCTTATTATTATTATTTGCCAGCCATGTAATCCAAATGACTATACTGACCTATTTCAGAATGCAAACAAAGCAGTATTTTTAACGGAATACTTGTGACTCAACACCCATAAAACACTATCTGTTCCAAACATTACAAATATCTTAGTAGCATTAAACCTGTAAGTATTTTATGAAGAGGTATTTTTATTTCAATTAAAATAAGTGGAGCAAAATAAAGGTACTGAGAAGAAATCAGTAATAAAACTAAGCTATGAAATAAGTGGAATAAGACTCCCTTTACCTACTTAATTCTATACTCCTATTATCTTTAGTCAAATCACAATTAGCTTTGAAAGTGAACCCCCTAGTGGTATAACTAAAGAGCTACAGTTTATAATTCATAAATCACAAGCCCATCATTCTCAAGGAAAGCTCTCAAGATCACTTCAAGCAGAGAATCAAGAAATGATACAGATGCCCTCAAGCATCTTAACTTTTAAAACACAAAATATATAAAATGTATACTCATTTACTGTCATCCAAGATCAATAGCTTCAATCTTATACTGGTTTAATATTTAATTAAATTACAAATCTAATTAAGAACAATTTAGACAACAAGGTTTGGGAACAAACACGATTGAGCTTTAACCCCAAAGAGTAGCTTAGTAGCCGTGAACATGTATGCCATGGGCAAGAATGAAGAATAGAAAATGCTGGCTAATTCAGTCAATAAGATGAGATTCTACTCAACCCTTAGGACAAAATTTCTCCACAGTAGCACTAATGACTTTTTGGGTTGGATAATTCTTGGTTATGCAGGGCTATATTAGTCTCCTGAAGTTGCTATTAAAATTATCACAAACTTGTTGGCTTAAAACAACAGAAATGTCTTGTCTCATAGTTCTAGAACCCAGAAGTCTGAAATCTGTTTCAATGGGTCAAAATTAAAGTGCTGGAAGGGCCATACTCTCTCTGGTGGCTCCAGGGATTAATCCATTCCTTGCCTGTTCCAGCTTCCGGTGGCTGCCAGCTTCATTTGGCTTGCAGCCACATCACTCTCATTTTCAAGGTGAGCATCTTTAAATCTTTCTCTGTTGTCTTAGCAGTGCCTTTTCTGAGTGTGTCAAATCTCCCTCTAACTTTCTCTTTAAAAAAATGATTTATCTACAAAATAGAAGTTCCAAATTTAAACATTATCCTTAAGTTAGTTCCCATTACATCTTTTTTAGTGACTAGTATTTTTCTTTATTGTTTAAAAGGATCCTGTTGTCAATCTCTAAACCCTTTCTAAATCCAATTATATTTTCACTCTTTGCGTAAGTTCTATATACATGAACACTACTTCCTTCCATGTACCTTCTACTTGTTCTAGACCAGTGTGTCTTTCATGCTTCCATAATATAGTAACTCAATGAAAATAAATCTAAACAAAAATCTAAGTTATATTTCTAGTTAAACACCAAGATATTTATTTAGAAAGGAACTTTGTAATGGAAGAACATTATGTAGAGTGTTCTGTTTTACTTACTTTTCATTATATCTAGTAACTGTGACAGGCAAGTTCTGTTCTCTCTCAGCATCAGACTCTCTGATAAATAACTGGTAAAGAAAAGAAAGAAAATTTAATCTATTGAAAACATACAGCACATTGCAAAAGCATGGCATCATAAATTATTCTCCTCCATCAGTGGTGATTTTAAAATGCTTAAATTTATGAACATATAATCCATAACTCTTATGTTTTAAGGATTTATTACCAATTACATTAAAAGATGTTTACTATTCAAGTTTAGTGATATTCAAGGAAAATAGTATGAAAGCAGCAGTAACAGCCAATACTTACAAAATTTATATCTTTTAATATAAAAATCCTATGAGTCTAACCTTATTTTACAGAAGAGGAATCTCAGTTACAGGGATGAGCAAGTCATGATCTTGTAATCTGCCCAAAGTAATAAAGCTAGGAAGCAGCAAAACTGGAATTTGGCACTGGTAAGGATTTTCTGTCCCGTTAATATGAAAGCCATTTTACCTATAGTTGTACTTCTTGGGAGTAACAGACATGCAAACCAACAAGACTATCACCTAATGCTTTATAAGTCTGTTACATCTTATTTGCATCAAGTCCAAATCAAAGTTGTTAAACTTCTCTATCAATGTGATATAAAACTCAATTACTTGTTTTTTCTCAGGGCCACTGACAGTATAAAAACATAATTTCTATATTTAAATGTTTAATTACTCTGAAGTTTTGCATACCTGAACTTGACTGATAATTGATAAAAGCCCAAATGAACAGATTCTCAAAGTGTTAAGTAGTTTTTCAAACAGAAATGCAAAAAAATTATTTTTCTCTTGGATGTAATAGTTACAAAAATAGAAAGCAATAAAAACTCTTGTTGCTGTCTTTATCCAGATTATTTTCATTTTGTTATCAAGTTTTGATAAATTTGTTATTAAATCATCATCATCTATTGTGGAAATAAATTTTGGACCTGAAAATCAGGAAATCCCCTGACAACTAATCCATTTCCAGTTATTAGTAATTCAAAATAACTAAATTAGTTTTTTCCTTTCCCTTTCTACTTAAAATTCCTCCCATTTTTGTCATCTTCCTTTATTTTTACTCTTCATTTTCTTTTGATTTCTTATGCATAAAGGTCATAGGTTTGGTGCTAAGAGCTGGCTAACTAGACTCTTTATCTCTGTGAAGTTAGCAACTTTTTTTTTTTTTTTGAGATGGAGTTTCGCTTTTGTTGCCCAAGCTGGAATGCAATGGCACAATCCCAGCTTACCGCAACCTCCGCCTCCCAGGCTCAAGCAATTCTCTTGCCTCAGTCTCCAGAGTAGCTGGGATTACAGGCATATGTCATTACGCCCGGCTAATTTTGTTTTTTTTTTTTTTTTTTTTTTTTTTAGTAGTGATGTGGTTTCCCCATGTTGGTCAGGCTGATCTTGAACTCCCGAACTCAGGTGATCCGCTCACCTCAGCCTTCCAAAGTGCTGGGATTACAGGCATGAGCCACCATGCCCGGCCTACCAACTCTTAATCTCAATTTCAAATCTGAATTTTAATATTGTGATCTTTTAATAAAATCCACAGGCAAGTAAGAATACCTAAAGGGTCAAAGTAGCAGATGAGAAATAAAGCTCTAAATCTACAAGAAAGAGAATAAAACTCAGAAATAACAGTAATAATCCTATGATTAATAATCTGAGGCATTATCCAGACTATGACAACAGCATGAGGGCTTTCCCTTTTGAAATCAGCAATAAATGTAAACTCAATTTCCACATATGCCAAAAGTTTTCCTGTATCAGTAAGTTTAAAATGATTGGAAAGCATTTCCCTAAAGGGCGAAAGAAAAAACAAAACAAAACAAAACAAAAAACCCCAAATGTCTAGTCATCGGAATGTCACAAAAGCCTATTAAATTTGCAGGGAGCCAAAGGTATCACAATTTCAATTTTACCTATCTGGAATTATAATGAACTAAAACTTCTAAGATACAATAAACTCATCTGGACTTAAGGATGCTTCATCCCACTCTACATAATTAAAATCTCATCACTGAAGAATTTATTTATGCACTATATACAATGCTTCAAGATTAATCAAATTTTTGGTTATCTGAACTGTGGAAAAGGCGGCCTTTGTTCCCTTAAAGAATGAAGTCTGCAGGCCAGGTTGGTAGTGTGCACCTGTAATTCCAGCACTTTGGGAGGCCTAGGCAGAGGGAATACTTGAGTCTAGGAGTGACTGGGATGAGCCTGGGCAACACAGGGAAACCCCAACTCTACAAAAAAACAAAAAGTTTAGGTGGGTATAGCGGTATGTGCCTGTGGTCCGAGCTACTTAGAAAGCTGAGGCAGGATGATCGCTTGAGCCTGGGAGGTTGAGGCTGCAGTGAGCTATGACTGTGCCACTGCACTCCAGCCTGGTGACAGAATGAGACACTGTCTCAAAAAAATAACCAACTCCCCCCAAAATGAATGGAAGTCCACATCTTAACTCCATATACATCAATAATTTACATGACCATCTTTCCTGAGAGACTTATCTTACTCATTTTCATATTCCTAGAGTGTAGTACAGTACACAGTAGTATATAGAAGGTATTCAGTGAATATTTGCTTAGTAAATAGAAATCCCTTTGGGATTAAATGTATACATTTATATATAGTTGGTGAGTTGTGTTTGCAGAGAAGAGGCGTGTCATAAAATATAAACCTACAATCCCTTATCTTAGATGCAGATGTGTTGTGAAATTTTCATTAATAATTATTCATGTCTTAGAAAAGTTATCTGGTGTATCTATTATGAAATGTGAAACACCCAAGTGATGTCTGGGGTAGCATCCTATAATCAGAAATATTAAGATTTCTGCAACGAAATACAAATCTTCCTATTAAGTGAAATAAAAACTAAATACCATCAGTTCGTATTTGCTGCCACCTTATCAATGTATTCTGAAATTATGGATAAAGGATTATAGTCACGTAAAATAGTTTTAATTAACTTTAGGAAATTTTATCATCTTTCTTCCTCAGCTATTTCTAGGAATAAAATCAAGCAGAACTTCAAAGGTCATAAATTGAGAAACAATATGGAAACCAAGAAAGCCTGACTGCTAGTCTGTGTTACCGTTAGCGAACACTATTTAATTCCATGTGTCATACTTGCTTTACAGAAGATAAAACAAGGCAGACATAGTTGCTGCACTCAAGTTGCTCCCCAGTTCAGAGGAACTTCTAAATCTGTCATATACTGATACCTTTATGAGTCTCTCAAGGATCACCTGGGTTACTCCCACCACCAACCTGGCCTACAGACTAAATGTATCCTCTGAGTTCAACAATATTTTTCGTAACATTTAAAGATTTCCATAAGGCAATTTCATTTCTTCTTTTCACCAACCATCCCAGCCACAAGGGATATTACAGACTAGTTACAAATGACTCCATGAATAAATAAACCCAGTGACTGAACATTTGACCTAAGTTAAAACACTAATACCTTTCCATAGTAATTCCAGCCCTGGAGGCACTAGATAAAATGGCAGTCAGGGCAATCTGGGAAGGTGTGTATAAAAGGTAAGCATCCGTCAATGCAATTCTATTAAGAAAGTCATCAGCTGTTTTCCTCAAAATCTCTGGATTCTCCAACATGGGATATCGGGTCTAGGAAAGAAGTTTGCAAATGTTACCATTTCTGAGGGTTTAAATGGAGTAACAAGAGTTTAAAATTACACAACTCATATTAAGAAATATGTGCTTTAAAATAACATATCCGAAGTTATTGACATTGTCCTCAATTTACGCTGATCTCTTCTCTTGGTCATTTTCCACCTGAATCGGAAGGGGAGAAAAGGGAAACTCTAAAGACTGCATTGAGTCTAAAGTAGAGCCAAGAAATACGTATTCCCAGGTAAATATGTCTCTCAAGCAACCCATGTGATTCAAATGTAAGGCAACATGTGGGAACAAACCCTATTTTTATATAAATTCCTTCTACTTAAAATTTACTTTCAGGAAGAAGTAAATAAAAATGAATTCTGATTTGATTAGAACACATTAGACTTCAAATTCTCACAGAAAAAGTTTTAGAATATGCCCAAAGCTATGGAAGACCTCATATTTCCTGACAGTTCTTTATACCCCATGAAATAAACATAAATCCTAAGCCCTCAGATATCAATATTCAACACTTAAAGCACTAAGAAAGCTTTTCTACACTCTGAAACAAAATACTCAACAGTCAACTGTGCAAAAATGCCTCACCTGTGATATGAGAAATTCAGACACACTACTCTGATCAGAATGCCTCCTTTTAAAATCTATTAATTTATTTACTTCACAGCTGTCCTCTCTCCTCAGAACCTTTGGTTACTTATCCCTCTACTAGCTCCCACTTACCAGTGTCCTCTGCTTCTCATTTCTCTCCCGAATTCCCTGCCCCAATATGCTGCCAACACATTTCTGGCAAAACCAGAAATTTAACAGTGGTTGAATCCAACAAACCTTCACTTTGCAACTACATAAAGATTTCTGAGTACTGCCAGAGAAAATCATAGAACCAGAGGTCTGGTAATGTTATCATAAACTCATGTTCATTGACCTGAGCAAGGCTCTTAAACACTGCTGAGCAACCACAGTATTTCCACAGTAAATTTCCTCTCCCATTTTTCAGTGACTACATAAATATTTTCCATCTGTCTTAAATTATCTCCTTGATAATTCTCAGAAACTCCATCACTCTCAGAAAACTCTTATCAAAGAAAGGTGTTATTTCCTGCCAACACGAAATCCTGAGGCATAACAGTATCCTAACCCTTAATTTCCCCTTTTCCACTATTAAAAGAAAGAGTCATTATTCCCTCTAAGCCCAGTTCTACCTTGCTTCTAAATCCCATGCCAACCCCTTCCACCTTACTCCAAAGAGACTATTTTGTATTTCATCTTTTTTTCACTACTAGCTCTTTGCATCAGTATTTAAATTTGAATCAGTCTTTTTCATAAAAAAAAAAAAGGACAAAAAAAACTCTCACCCAGCCAGAAACCTGGGAGTTCTTCCTCTGTCCTCATCTCTATAAACAGTTAATCCTCAAGTTTTATTGATTTCACCTAACTACAGGCTGAGCATCACAAATCCAAAAGATTCAAAATCTGAAATGATCCAAAATCTGAAACTTTCTGTGCACTGACACTCAGGAAATTCTCACTGGAGCATATCAGATTTTGGATTTGTAATGCTCAACCAGTAAGTACAACGCAAATATTGCAAAAAAAAAAAAAAAAAAAAAAGTGAGACCAGCCTGGGCAACATGGCAGAAGCCCATCTCTACAAAAAAATTAGCCAGGCGGAACTCATGTCAGGAGGATCTAAGACTGCCGAACAGGAACAGCTCTAAAGTGCAGTTCCCAGCGAGAAATGATGCAGAGGGTGAGTGATCACTGCATTGCCAAACAAGTTATTACTGCCCACAGACCAGGAGATTCCCAGGCTGAAGAACGCCATGAGTTTCCAGCATGGCTGTTTCAGCTGGCGCAGCGGGTCTCTGCACAAAAGCTCACACAAATCTGGGTGGCCATTTCAACTGGCGCTTGGAACACCTGGGAGACAGAGCGCCATTCAACTGAAAAAAGGGGGCTGAAACAGGGAGCCAGGTGAACTGACTCAGCAGGGTCCCACCCCAACAAAGACCAGCAATCTGAAATGCTTTGGATTGAGAGGTCATAGCAAGGGCAGCTGGACCCAGGATGGTCCAGCTCCCTGGGTGGGGAAGGGCATCCATCATTCAGAGGCAGTCCGCCATTACTGAGGCAGTTCTAACTATACCTCTGTAAACAAAACCATAAGGAAGTTCACACAGCAGCTGGGCACAGCCAATTAAAGCTCAGCAACGCCTCTGCTGGCAGACTGTGATTGGCTACATCATTGCTATGCAAGGCATCTCTGAAAAAAAGGCAGCAGCACCTCAGGAACTTACCAATAAAGCCCCACATTCCCAGGACAAAGCACCTGGGAAAAAAGGTGGTTATGAGTTCTGGGGCAGCAGACTTGAACGTACCTGCTCAGCAGCTCTGAAACAACCAATGGAGCTCACAGCTCAGCACTTGAGCTCCTATAAGGGATAGACTGTCTCCTTATCAGCTCTCCGACCCCTGTATATCCAAAGAGACACCTTATAAAGGAGAACTCAGGTTGACACCTGGTGGGTATTCTTTGGTGACAAAGATAACAGAAGAAGAAACTGGCAGCAACCCTTACTGTTCTGCAGCTGCTGCAGGTGATCCCCAGGCAAGCAAGGTCTGGAGTGGACCTCTAGCAGTCCTACAGCAGAGGGGCCTGTTAGAAGGAAAACTAAAAAACAGAAATAAATAACTTCAACATCAAAAAAAGGGATGTCCACTCAGAGACGCCATGTGAAAGTCACCAACTACAAAGACCACAGGTAGGTAAATCCACGAAGATGGGAAGAAACTAGTGCAAAAAGGATGAAAACACCCAAAATCAGAATACCCCTCCTCCTCCAAGGGATCACAATCCTCACCAACAAGGGAAGAAAGCTGGATGGAGAAAAAGTCTGATGAATTGACAGAAAACAGGCTTCAGAAGGTGGATAATAACAAACTTCTCTGAGCTAAAAGAACATGTTCTAACCCAATAAAAAGAAACTAAGAACGTTGAAAAAAGGTTTGACAAAATGCTAATGAGAATAAACAGCTTAGAGAAGAATATATATCACTTAATGGAGCTGAAAAACACAACAGGAGAACTTCACGAAGCATACACAAATTTCAATAGCTAAATTGACCAAGCAGAAGAAAGGATATCAGAGGTGGAAGATCAACTCAGTGAAATAAAATGAGAAGGCGAATTACAGAAAAAAGAGTAAAAACAAATGAACAAAGCCTCCAAGAAATATGGGATTATGTGAAAAGCCCTAATCTACGTTTGATAGGTGTATCTGAATGTGACAGAGACGCACATAATCATCAGATTCACCAGGGTTGAAATGAAGGAACAAATGCTAAGGGCAGCCAGAGAGAAAGGTCGGGTTACACACAAAGGGAAGCCCATCAGACTCACAGAAGATTTCTCCACAGAAACCTTACAAGGCAGAAGAGAGTGGGGGCCAATATTCAACGTCCTTAAAGAAAAGAACTTTCAACCTAAAATTTCATATACAGTCAAACTAAGCTTCATAAGCAAAAGAGAAATAAAATATTTTACAAACAAGCAATTGCTGAGAGATTTTGTCACCACCAGGCCTGCCTTACAAGAGCTCCTGAAAGAAGCACTAAACATACAAAGGAACAACCAAGACCAGCCACTTCAAGAACATACCAAATGATAAAGACCATTGACACAATGAAGAAACTGCATCAATTAACGGACAAAACATCCAGCTAGCATCAAAATGGCAGAATCGAATTCACACATAACAATATTAACCTTAAATGTAAACCGACTAAATGAGCCAATAAAAAAGCACAGACTAGTAAACTGGATAAAAAGTCAAAACCCATTAATGTGCTCTCTCCAGGAAACCCATCTCAAGTGCAAGGATACACACAGGCTCAAAATAAAGGGATGTAGGAAGATTTACCAAGAAAATGGAGAGCAAAAAAAAGCAGGAGTTGCAATCCTAGTCGCTGATAAAAGAGACTTTAACCCAACAAAGATCAAAAGAGACAAAGAAGGGCATTACATAATGGTAAAAGGATCAATGCAACAAGAAGAGCTAACTATCCTAAATACATATGCACCCAATACAGGAGCACTCAGATACATAAAGCAAGTTTTTAATGACCTACAAAGAGCCTTAGACTCTCATACAATAATAGTGGGAGACTTTAACACTCCACTGTCAATATTAGACAGATCAACATGACAGAAAATTAACAAAGATATGCAGGACTTGAACTCAGATCTGGACCAAGCAAACCTAATGGGCATCTACAGAACTCTCCACCCCAAATCCACAGAATATGCACTCTTCTCAGCACCACATCACACCTACTCTAAAACTGATGACATAATTGGAAGTAAATCACTCCTCAGTAAACGTAAAAGAATGGAAATTGTAACAAACAGTCTCTCAGACCACACTGCAATCAAATTAGAACTGAGGATTAAGAAACTAACTCAGAACCACATAACTTCAAGGAAACTGAACAACTGGTTCTTGAATGCTGACTGGATAAACAATGAAATGAAGGCAGAAATAAAGATGTTCTTTGAAACCAATGAGAACGAAGACACAATATACCAGAATCTCTGGCACACATATAAAGCAGTGTCTAGAGGGAAATTTATAGCAATAAATGCCCATATGAGAAACAAGGAAAGATGTGAAATTGAAACCCTATCATCAAAATTGAAAGGGCAGAGGAGCAAGATCAAAAAATCTCAAAAGCTAGCAGAAGACAAGAAATAACTAAGATCAGAGCAGAACTGAAGGAGACAGAGACACGAAAACACCCTTCAAAAAAAAAATAAATAAATTCAAGAGCTGGTTTTTTGAAAACATCAACAAAATAGACTGCTAGCCAGATTAATGAAAAAGAGAGATGAATCAAATAGATGCAATAAAAAACAATAAAACAAATATCACCACAGAATCCACAGAAATACAAACTACCATCAGAGATTACTACAAACAACTCTATGTACATAAACCAGTAAATCTGGAAGAAACGGATAAATTCCTGGACACTTGTATCCTCCCAAGCCTAAATCAGGAAGAAGTTGAAATCCTGAATAGACCAATAACAAGGGCTAAAGTTGAGGCAGCAATTAACAGCCTATCAACCAAAAAAAGCACAGGCCCAAATGGGTTCATAGCCGAATTCTACCAGACATACAAAGAGGAGCTGGTACTACTCCTTCTGAAACTATTCCAAACAATACAAAAAGAGGGAATCCTTCCCAAATCATTTTATGAGACCAACATCATCCTGATAACAAAACCCAACAGAGACTCAACAAGAAAAGAAAACTTCAGGCCAATATCCATGATGAACACGGAGCAAAAATCTTCAATAAAATACTGGCAAATGGATTGCAACAGCACATCAAAAAGCTTATCCATCACAATCAAGTAGGCTTCATCCCGGGGATGCAAGGCTGGTTCAACATACACAAGTCTATAAACGTAATCCACCGCATAAACAGAACCAAAGACAAAAACCACCTGATTATCTCAACAGATGCAGAGAAGGCCTTCAACAAAATTTAATAGCCTTTCATGCTAAAAACTGTCAATAAAATACATAGCGACGGAATGTATCTCAAAATAATAAAAGCTATTTATAATAAACCCACAGCTAATATCATACTGAATGGGCAAAAACAGGAAGCATTCCCTTTGAAATCTGGCACTAGACAAGGATGCCCTCTCTCATCACTCCCATTCAACATAGTACTGGAAGTTCTAGCCAGAGCAATCAGGCATGAAAAAGAAATATACAGCATTCAATTAGGAAAGGAGGAAGTCAAACTGTCTCTATTTACAGACAACATGACTGCATATTTAGAAGACTGAATCATCTCAGCGCAAAATCTCCTTAAACTGATAAGCAACTTCAGAAAAGTCTCAGGACATAAAATGTGCAGAAATCACGAGCATTTCTATACACCAATAACAGATTAACAGAGAGCCAAATCATGAGCAAACTCCCATTCACATTTGCTACAAAGAATAAAATACTTAGGAATACAACTAACAAAGGATGTAAAGGACGTATCCAAAGAGAACTACAAACCACTGCTTAATTAAATAAGAGAGGACACAAACAGATGGAAAAACATTCCATGCTCATGGTTAGGAAGAATCATTATCGTGAAAATGGTCATACTGCCCAAAGTAATTTACAGATTCAACACAATCCCCATCAAGCTACCTATGACCCTCTTCACAGAACTGGAAAAAAAAAAAAAACACCTTAAACTTCATATGGAACCAAAAGAGAGCCCACATAGCCAAGACAATCTGAAGCAAAAAGAACAAAGCTGGAGACATCATGCTACCTGACTTCAAATATACCACACGGCTACAGTAATCAAAACAGCATGGTATTGGTACCAAAACAGAGATATAGACCAATGGAACAGAACAGAGGCCTCAAAGGCAGCACCACACAGCTACAACCACCTGATCTTTGACGAACATGACAAAAACAAGCAAAGGGGAATGGATTCCCTGTTTAATAAATGGTATTGGGAAAACTGGCTAACCATGTGCAGAATGCAGAAACTGGACCCCTTCCTGACACCTTACACTAAAATTAACTCCAGATGGATTAAAGACTTAAACATAAGACTTAACGCCATAAAAACCCCAGAAGAAAACCTAGGTAATACCATTCAGGACATAGGCACAGGCAAGGACTTCATGACTAAAATACCAAAAGCATTGGCAACAAAAGCCAAAATAGACAAATGGGATCTAATTAAAGTCCAGAGCTTCTGTACAGCAAAAGAATCATTAGAGTGAACTGGCAATGAACAGAATGGGAAAAATTTTTTGCAATCTACCCATCTGACAAAGGGCTAATATCCAGAATCTACAAAGAACTAAAACAGATTTACAAGGGAAAAAAAAAAAATACCTATCCAAAAGTGGGCAAAGGATATGAACAGATACATTTCAAAAGAAAACATATATGAGGCCAACAAACATATAAAAAAAATGCTCATCATGAATCATTACTAGAGAAATGCAAATCAAAACCACACTGAGATACCATCTCACACCAGTTAGAATGGCTACCATTAAAAAATCTGGGGACAACATATGCTGGAGAGGATGTGGAGAAATAGGAACACTTTCACATTGTTGGTGGGAGTGTAAACTATTTCAACCATTGTGAAAGACAGTGTGGCGATTCCTCAAGGACCTAGAAACAGAAATTCCATTTGAACCAGCAATGCCATTACCGGGTATATATCCAAATGATTATAAATTGTTCTATATGTGTGAACATGCACACATATGTTCACTGCAGCACTGTTTACAACAGCAAAGACTTGGAACCAACCCAAATGCCCATTGATGATAGACTGGACAAGGAAAATGTGGCACATATATATCATGGAATACTATTCAGCCATAAAAAATGATGAGTTCATGTCCTTTGTAGGGACATGGGTGAATCTGGAAACCATCATTCTCAGCAAACTGACACAAGAACAGAAAATCAACCACCAAATATTCTAACTCATAGGTGGGTGTTGAACAATGAGAACACATGGATACAGGGAGGGGAGCATCACACACTGGAGTCTGCTTTAGGGGTAATAAGGGAGGGACAGAGAAGGATAAGGAGGACGGGGAGGGATAACATGCAGAGAAATGCCAGATAAAGGTGACCGGGGGGATGGAGACTGCAAACCACATTGCCATGTACATACCTATGCAACAATCCTGCATGTTCTGCACATGCACCCCAGAACCTAAAGTGCAATAAAATATATAAATGTGTGTGTGTGTGAGTGTGAGTGTGTGTGTGTGTTGTGTGTGTGTAACCTAAATACTTTTGGTCCAGAGTTTTTCAGATAAGGAATATTCATCCTGTATCTCATGCCCAGAGTTCACAAACTTCATATGAGTGAAGCTCACCATTGTCTTCTGCCTGGACTCCTTTAACAGTACCCCATTATTCCCTTAATTTATTCAAATCCTTTCTCCACGTATGCCTGACACAACAGATGTACAACAAATACCTGATGCATAAGGTTGCCAACATGATCTTTTGAAGCTGAAAATCTAATTATGCCACTCTCAATTTAAACCTTTCACTGGCTTCTCTTTGCTGTATTGGAAATCTGTACCATTGTCTCAACATTCTAGACTCTGCCTTCCACTCTAGTAGTTGCTGTCTGTGATACTCTTCCCCTTGCATTGCTAGGCTATGTCCACGATCTTTAGCACAGAATGGTTTCTTGAATTTGAGCTTTTGACCAGGGAAGTCTCTGATTGGGATGTTCTTCTCTCACCTATTCTCACTCTGAATTTTATTTTAAATGATACATTCTCAGAATATTTTCCTTACCCCTTAATTTGTTATCTCCTTCTAAAATATACCTTCCCCTCTATCTATCACTTAGCACACTGGATATGATTATCTAAAACCTTTAGATTGTAAGGTTCCCAAAATTTAAGACTGCTCCTCTCCTGTTTCTGGTTACATCCTCAAGCACAAAGTCTGACACATAAAAAGTACCCAAATTGAGCCACTGAACTAATATGAATAAACCAGTTTCTGATTTCTGTTTGATTCGACTTAGACTATCCAACTTCTCTTTCGGAGCCAAACAAAACAATCTAAAAGTTGCTTTTGTCAATGTTTGTTTACATATATCATTGATGCCTACATAGTGACTCAAATTTACAAACCTCTAAAAATAGAAGTCACTTAGCAAGCTTCTAGTTTAAGGTTAAGAATTTTTTATGGTTCTTTAAATCATGCCGATACCCATGACAATATAATTTAAAGTCAGAAGAGTTATCTCAAACCTTTATAGGTACTGTTCTAAATTCTCCATGGTCTTCATTACGTCCCTGGAGCAGAATTGCAGATCACTTGAATCAGAAACTCTGTAAGCCCCACCCAACAATCTGAGTTAATAATTTCTCCAGATGACTGTTCATGCCCACAGAAGTTTGGAAACAACTGCCCTCCATGACCAGGTCAGATCCAGGTTGTATCCATGCTATAACAATTAAGGGTTTTAAAATTCTGGATTCTCTTGGTTAAAGAATAGGAAAGGAGATGTAGTGTTAGTTTATTTTACATCAAGTTTACCTTTAAGTCAATGAGGAAGCCTTCAAATGGTCTGTAAGGATTGTGGACAATAAGGTGGAAATTAAGTTGCTGTATAAGCAGTAGTTCATATTCTAGTATCTGTTCAAGTGCCTTCTCCTGTCCAAGAGGACTCTCCCGAAGGTTTCCAACAAACTGAAGACTAGATACATTGAATTCATCTACTTTGCAGGCCAAAAATGCACAAGTGAGCCTAGAGGAAAAAATAAGGAGGTGCGGGGATTGGGGGTGGAAGAACATGCATATACTTTGAGAAATACCTAATTTATTTCTAAAAGTATATTCTGTAATTGTCTGATATTCAAAAGTGACTGGTAGACATTACAGGAATATATTTTTTTTAAAGATAGCTCTTGTTCACACTTTAATTCATTAGGAGACATAAGGCAAACTATAAAATCAGGTCAAACCAACTAACACTGCCATGGCATTCAACCATCATTCACTCAATGACAGTGTCATACAGGACAACCTAAATATCTGGAAAAACAAATTAACTGAGGAATAAAAGTACTTTGTATCATGTAGATGAAGAGTTAAAAATAAAGCAGTACCCACATATATACCATATAAGCATGGGAAGAAAAGTAGGTTTAAGGAACTTTGTAGAAGGCCATCCGTGGAAGTCTCTGAGGGCATCTGAATAATGAATTATTATTTCAGGGACAAATGTGTGACATTTACCTGGCCACTTCATGCCGTTCAGTCTAAGAAACTAGTTAAGAAAGCTACTGCAAAAATCAAGATTGGAAGTGAGCTCAAGGGCCTAATCTTAACTGGAGAAAATGGGAATCGAAAAGAGAAAACAGGTACATTGTCATTGAGGACAAGCTCTTTGATGAGTCTCATACTAATTTCATCTTTAATGATAGATGCCATGCTCAGCAGAGAGCAGAAACAAGAGACCTTTGTTCAACTGAAATGAATATGAAGCTATAGGGTCCAAACACTGACCGCATGTGGAAGGAGAGGGGCCACTACAAATGATTCTCTGTCTGAACAACTGGAAGAACTTAGGCGTCTGACAGGGAGAGATATTAGAGAAGTACCTAATTGAGAAAAACAAAATTTGAATCTGGACAACTTGAAGTTCAGATGCCATCAGTATTACTGAAGTAAAGGTAAATAGAGATCTTAAGTTCTGAATTAAAAAAAAAAAATTCAAGTCTAAATGACCTAGATTAGGAAGTCAGTTCTCTTACACAACTCTCTCCTTCCACAAATACTCAAAGAGTATAAAGGTCTTCTTAAATGAAAACAATAAATTAGAGAGACATACTCACATTATTATCCTGGGGTGATATTCCATTACTGAATTATTAAGATAAAAACGCTTGAAATACATACAAGCTGTACCCTAAGGGTTAAAAAATATCATCAGTATTCACAATTGTTACACGTTAAATTTTGTGAAACAGAATTTACTTATGGAAAGGTTTCTTTGTAGAGATTACCCATAAAAATGCCAATACTCATTAATTCTTCTTTAATCAAAATAACTTATGATGAATTACTACAGAAATGCCATAGCCAAAAGACTCTTCCCCATCCTTTGGTTGTCTATCCCAGACTACTCTTGCTAATCCATCCTATGGTCACTGGATTTAAAAATAGTTGTGTGTGTTTCAGAATTCGGAGTATCAAAAATGCCCTGAATTAGGTAAATTCAAGGAGAAAAATACAAATGTTCAGAGATTAACCAATCTTATAAAAATATTAACAAATATACATGGGTAAGGTAATAAGCATTCTCTCTAAAGTGACTCCATATAATAAGGCTTCTCTCTACAGTCACTCCGTATTTTTTACATAACCATATGTCCACTCCATGATTTGTGATCACTGCTGCTAACTGAACAGCAGAAGCAGCACTACTATTTACTGAACGCATCCCATGTGCCAGACTCTAAACTATCATCATGTTTTAATCCCTACAACAGCTTAGTGAGGTATTACTATCTCTACAGAGAATGAAACTGAGTATCAATAAGGTTAACTGACTTATCTAAGTCACACAGCTACTAAGGAACAGGAATGAATTCAAGTCAGACCTGCCTGTACTTTTAACCATTATATCACTTGGCTGGAAGCAATAAAATAAACACTTGTCTATTTTATGATAGAAAAAAATATTTCCTTTTAAATATTTTAAAAGTTCAGTTTTGTCATTATTTAAAACAAAAAATTATTCACCAATCATAAACATGTTAAAGATAAATTCCATAAAGAACTTCATTAAAGGATTGTTTCTTCATTTGATAAAATCACTTAAATTTACTGCCTCATTTTACAATTCTTTCGTAAGAATAAGCCAAATCTGAAGATAGAAACTAATTGAACATACCTAAAACTCCTTGAATCTGGTATCTCATATGAAAAAAAAAAATTCTATGACTTAATATTTTCCACATACTTCAATTTTTTTCAACAATAAAAATGGAGATAATTTCCTAGAAGGTTATTCTCTACTGGGTCATAAGCTAATCACACTGTGTAACTTTAAAACTTAACAGACTTTTACTTAAGATAGACTTTTACATTTAGTCTTCACAACAAACCTGACAAAATAACATAAAAACATTTTAAACACCCTCCCATTCCAGCTTTTTTATCTTTCAGCTTTTTAATCTCAGCTACCTGTTTCTCCTCACTGTTATGCACCCCAGCAAGCAAACAAACAAACACACACAGGTCCTCAGAATCATACATCTGAAACAATAAGACAATCTTTTTAACCAAAGATTAAACTCCAGCTGCTACTAATCAAAGCTTAAAGAAATCTTACGGCATCAGTTTCAGCTGGAGCATATGGTTACAAATGATGAATGAATGCATTATTTCAAACATCAACTGGGTGTCATAGAGTTGGAAAAGCAGTAGTCTATGTTCTAGTTCTGGTTCTAAGGCTCACTAGTTGAAAACTTAAGAGGAAAGTAAATTAATTTTAATTTTCTTTATTTATAACATTACCTGACCTCAATTTTTTTTTTTTTTAACTACAAAATGAGACTCGAAATACTTTGGAAGAGATGATACAGCAATTCATGATTTACGGCCTGTATTGAAAAATAGATAATGTGTCAAAAACTAATTAAATGTAACAAAGGTGATTTTTAAAACTAGAGTGGACCGGGAACTTAGCTACAAATTTAGAAGGCGTCAGATTTCACAAGCCAACTAAAGGACATCACTACCGTAACTTACCACAACAGACCTTGGCATTGCTGGCTTAAACACTGAACAGAATTCCAGTAACCTTTTCTCATAGTATTTGCAGAGTGTCATTTCTTCATGAGGCTCAAGAAAGACTGGATCATTCGGAAGAACCTTTAGGTCAATAATTACAAGTTCAGTGAATTAAACAACTGTAAAACATTTTTCTCTATCCAGATTAAATTTAGTTTACATCTCTAACGAAGGGAAATATATCACTCCTCATTTTCTCTTTATAGATTCCCCTATCATTACACAAAATAGCTTTAGGAAAATATTTAATAAACTAAAACTGTAACATCATTTCGCAACTTTTCGGAATGTCAGCTAGACCTCTGCTTCATTAAGGTATAAACAATCATGACATGACAGACTGTGTGCATATGCTCACAGTTGTGATGTCATTATTTATAAATTAAAAAGTAGATACACTTAAATAAAAAATGACTGGAAAGTTTCCAACATCCGTTTCTCGGTAAGTCATTATGTCACACGTCGAGGTAAAAAAAAAAAAAAAAAAAAAGGCAAATATTTCTATAAATTTGTGATTTTAAGCTACCCAGTTTGTGGTGATTTTTTTTTTTTAAGGCAGTCCTTACGAAACTAATTCAGGTGATAAAATCTGTGATTCGAAATAGCTGTGAATTAAAAGTAGAAAGCAAAATTATTCCGTATCAGTAATGTGGAGGCATCGAACACTTGCTGGAGCGGAGCTCTTAGGAAAGATTATACCAGTCCGAGAGGTGTAACAGAAGGGACTTGGCTAGCGGGCCACAGTCCAAACCATCTTCAGTCAACTGGTTTGTACTCGGTCTCCTGTCTCCCTCCCTCATCCAACCCATTCACCACGAGGTTGCTAGAGCGCTGTTTCTAGAACGGAAATCTGATAAGGTTAGTTTCCCATTTTAAGTATTTCAAAGGTTCCTCATCCTTTCAGTAGAAATTTTAAACGCCTCACTTCCACTTACAAGTTCTCTTCCTACCCTCCAGAGCAATTCCTGCACAGGTACTCAGCCTCGGCCATGTACGACCACAAACACGTCCACGCACCAGCCCTGTAATTTCTGACCTCCCTCCCACTCTGCTCGGTAGCTCTGACCGCCTGGAATGTCCTTTCCCCATTTTCTCCGCATTAGCTACTGGGAAAAACTTTCCCCGACATCACCGTTTGACAAGTGAACGGCTCTTGCCGAGCACTACCTTAGCACACTACTTAGTCTCTCCTTCGCCACGTTACAAAGACTTGTCTGCCATTTGACTACGGGGACGGCGTTGTTCGTCTTTGTACCCACGGAACTGGCAAGGTGCTCGCCTGTTTTAACAGATAAGCGCATTCCGCGCCGTGGAGGCAGAGAAATGAGGGAATGAGATCGCCCTGGGAGCCAGAAGAGCTCCCGCAGCTGTTCAGAACTGAGAGACCAGGGCAAACGGGCAACCGTTGGGAACCTCACCTTCCCGTTGGCCACTGCTTTGCATCTGAATTTGCGGTTGGCGTCGGCCCGCAATCTTGCCAGCTGCTCTTCACCGGAGAAAGTCCAGTGCCGCTTCTGGCTACTATTGTGGTACATTGTAAATCGTGACCAGGTGCAGGGAGCCTGCAGAAGAGAACCCAAACGCAGCAACGCCCGTGGCGTAAAGCAGCCGTACACCCACCGAAAATCTCGCGGAAGTCTTAGGCGTCCGGCCAGACGGCGCGGGCGCGCTGACGTCACTATCACGTGGCGAGCCCGTACGCAGTCGCATTTCCGGAACGGACTAGGAAGAGACCCTATCTAAGGTTCTTTGGGACGCCCACTGAGACGTAGTGGGCGGAGCCTACGGAATGCTCCTCTCAGTGAGCCTGGGACATAGCTCCGCCCCTTCCACGCAAGATTTAAAGGAGAAGTGGCTGGCGAAGAGCGTTTAAAAGGGACATAAGCTAGGGCTATGGAGTAGGCTGTTGTAAATTCACAGGGGGTAATCGGAAATGAGGAAAGGACTTGGTAGGCTGTCAGTTTTTAAATAGAGGCCTCACTGAAGTTGACATTTGTGCAAAGGCTTGAAAGAGTTGAAATAGTAGGTTGATCAATCATGCAGGGAGATCATGGGACCCAGAAAAATTGGTAAGATCTTCAGGCAGAAGCATTCCTAGAGCTTGTCGGGAAGACTTTGGAGACCAGTGCTCTTGAAGCACTACCAAAAATCTCAGAGAATGGAGCATGGCTGAAAAACTTGAAGCAGTGGATGTGTATTGGCCCTTACAGTTCTGCCACTTTTGTGACCTTGTCTATTCTTTCTCTGTACTTTTTTTTCCCTTATCCTTCTGTTGATAACTAACCAATCCTCTCCCCCGTTTTCGTCTCTGAAGCCAAGATGTATGGTAGTTTTAGTTTTCTTGAGATTCCCATTTTCATTGCCTCCAGGGAGACTTACAGTAAGCTATCATGAATATTGATATTTACAATTTTTTTAATTAATAGGACTTTCAAAATTGCAGGTGAGATTCAAAATATACATTGATTCTGGTTTGTCACATTTAGGCATACTTTATTCTCCCACATATTTATTATATATCCAGTCCAAAAAATGGATTTCCCTATGGCAAATAGTTTTTCTTAAAAAAAAAAAAAAAAAATGAAAGAGAAAGATGATGAGGCCTGGAGAATTTAGGTCTTGAAAAGCCCACACAGGTAAAAAGAAGTGGCAGGACGACTTTAACTCTGCTTTCTATGAAAATGTTTTTAGAGCCTAAAGAAAGGGAGTCAAGTTTTTTTCATTTTTGTTGAGTGCAGTTGAGGGTAGATTTTGGACAGTTATTTGAATTCCTCAAACTTCTTCCATTTGTAGTTTATAATTTTGGAGATCCACACACTCAACATATGTGGCTAATCTGGACTCGTAAATTGGCTAAGAAACGAGAGAAAGAGAAGATTGTAGGGCATGGCAAATTGATTACAATGAATTTTGAACAACCTAAAATGTTGCATATTGGGAAAAGAATAATTTAAAATAAAAAAAAATGGTACAAAACATAGGAAAATAAATGATCTAGATAAATAAATGTCTATACAAAGTCTTAGACTCATGACAGTTATATATATCATATAAATCCTTTTCATTTTGTTTTTCTGAAAGATATTTGACAACTCCTTATTATTATGTAAAGGAAAATAAAAATAGGCATTTAAGGGAGTTGGCAGACTATGATTTCCACAGGGATATGAGTAAAAATTCTGAATGTCATTTAGGAAAAATGTACGAAAAACCTGGCATTGCTGGTGTAACTTTTTTTAAAACTTGAACAAATTTTAGTCTATGAAAATTGACATTGATCTTATTTTTCAGATGTAGTAGGAATTGGGTTGTGTCTAAATTAACTGTCTACAGAATGCAATTGTTGCTGATGCCCTAACATTAAGGCTCACATCTGATTTTTCTTATTAAAGTAAGCAGCTGGATGCTGTGTTAGTCAGCCTGAGTGACTGTCTCCTACTCAGCCTGTTGTACAGCAGTGTTACTTGGCTGTTGCTAACACAAGAGGCATACTGGAATGCAGAACCTGTGCCTTTACCTATTTCCATTTATAGTTTCAACTAAAAAGTAGCAAGTGTTTCTCTTCACTTCTATTATTTTTACTTATTTTATTTATGGAAAATTTTAAGTATGAAGAATACAGAGAAACATATTTCAAAAATTGTCAATACATGGCCACCCACACCTCCATTAGTTTCTTTTTTTTTTTTTTCTTTTTTGAGACAGAGTCTTGCTCTGTTGCCCAGGCTGGAGTGCACTGGCACAATCTCCGATCACTGCAACCTTTGCCTCCTGGGTTCAAGCCATTCTCCAGCCTCAACATCCTGAGTAGCTGGGACTACAGATGCATGCCACCATGCCCAGCTAATTTTTATATTATTAGTAGAGAGGCGGTCTCACCATGTTGGCCAGGCTGGTCTAGAACTCCTGGCCTCAAGTGATCCACCTACCTCAGCCTCCCAACTCCATTAGTTTTAAATCACAATTTCCCTGCTACTAAATGAAGATGTTTCAGACAAGAACAAATCAACTAACCAGACAGAACCTATTCTTCCTAGAAGAGTAATAGGGAAATTCACAGCTTGTTGACAAAGATATTACTACACGTTAGCCACTACTCAGAAGTGAAATGTTAACAAAAAACATTTCAATGACTTTTGAAAGTAAATATAATCTCTTTTATTGTGCTGCAGTTGCTAAACTGTGCTATGATGTGTACTTGCAGATAAATTCTAAATATTTTGACTTGGAGGCATTACTATAAACTAAGGGTTGCCAATCAGAGATCAGGTGATTCCAAACAAGTGTCATGTGTTTGGCTACCACAGAAATGCCCTGTACTTGTCCACATTTTATTCCAAAATTTCCCATGAAGGTATTAGGAGTTCCTTTCTCTTTGGGCTCTACCTAGTGATCTTAATGTTTAGGTAAAAACGAAAATAAACGGGTCACACTGTCTGATCTTAGGAGAAAAGGAAAGGGAAATTAAAAGGTCGTGGGAGTAACCAGCAAATATGTTTGCAACTGGAATAATTTTGCAGTCTAATACAAAACATCTTATAAAATGGTCAGATTCGTTTATGGTTCTCATTTCCCAAACATATCAGCATACTCATATTCACATTTCTGATTGCAAGGCCACTAAGATAAAAAGGGATTGTAGAGACTAAACCATATCTATGCTCACAAAAACATACAATATCTTTCTTACTTTAAAATCTGACATAAAACTGTATGCCTACAGCTACTGACATGGATTTCTGACATTTAAAATACAGCGTTGCAATGAGTATTTAATAACCCTTTGCATTTGTATTTGGTTAATACACAATTAACAAATTCGTATTTGTCGCACTGGCCTCAAAATCCTTTCTTAGTTTTATTCTCAGTTGTCAAGTTACAACTAAGAGAAGAAAAGGAGTCACCTGAAGTAAATACCTAGTTTCTAGAAAACAGAGTACTACTAAAGGAAAAGAAATAAAAAGAAGAAATGGCATTTTAAAAATATCGTTGATATATGTGACCCCCTCAAAACTGGAATGCTTTTTGTTTTGCTTTAAGACTACTACAAATTAAGGCATAAAGAAGACATGACAACATATTAAAGAGAAAATCCTATAAAGCCATCCTCAGTTCATCAGATACTTACTAAATCACTACTATACACAAGGCCTAGTACTAATTGTTAGGTGGTAGTGACATAGTGATGGGGACACAAGAATGATTATCTCACAGTTCCTATCACAGGGTCCTGAGACAATAGTAGAATTATGACATGTATGTATATAATCCTCTCTCAATGACAGTAACCTTGAATAGGGCTGACATGCACTCTCTTCTTTGATCAAAACTTTAGTCAGGCTTTTCTCTGAGTTCTCTGCTTGATGAGGCCTGATCTTGGGGTTTCTTCTAGTACAGATGCTCCTCAACTTAGAATGAAGTTACAATGCAAAAAAAAAAAAAAAAAAAAGAAAAAAAGAAAAAAAAAAAAAGAAAAAGAAAAAACATCATAAGTTGAAAATATTCCAAGTGGAAAGTGCAGTTAATATACCTAACCTATTGAACATCATAGCTTAGTCCAGCCTACCTTAAGCATGCTCCTCGTGACTGCATGGTTGACTGAGAGCATTAGCTCACTGTCACTGCCCAGCACCAGGAGAGGGTCTTGTATTGTAAAATCACTAGCCTGAGAAAAGAGCAAAATTCAAAATAGGAAGTATGTTTCCATTGAATATGTATGGCTTTCACATCATCATAAAATCAAATCATTGTCACTTGGGAACCATCTATAGAATCCAGTTGGAGCAAGAATCCTGCCACATCAATTTAATGAATATCCCCCACCCTTGGCATCAGACCACCCTTAATATCTTATCACCATGGCCTGCCTTCAGCAATAATCCTATCAGGTCAGTTTAGCCAGAAATCCTTTATCCTTGATGTTTCCTCTTAGTAATTTTTCCCATTGCTCCCCACCCTACTTCTTGGTTATAAATTCCCACTTGTCCTTATGGGAGTTAGAGTTGAGTTCAGTCTCACTCCCCCATTGCCAGACCTTACTGCTGTAGTCCCAAAACCTATCTCCATAGCTGGCTTTGAAAAGGTCTGTCTCATCATTCTTCACAAGTGTCATTAATAAAGCATTCTTGAGAAAGTCACTTCAACCTATCTACCCTAACTTTCATCTCTTACACAGTGAAGTAAATAGTTGTAACTACCCTTAAGGTGGTAGTGACGATTAAATTAATTAATACATTTGAAGATATAGCAGACTGGCTGGCTTCTATAAAATGTTCTAAATTGTTAGTTATTACTTCACTGACACATGGCATAGGCTAATTGGAAAATATAACATTTTCATGAGTTCGTATTGACATTGAGGGAGAGTTCGTATTGATATTGATGTTGGTGGATAGGATCTGCTTGAATAAAAGCAAAGAGGCACAATGTACAGGGTGTGTCGAAAGAATAGGAAGTAGAAAAGCTTGATTGGAGAATAAGAGGGCTTTGAATGCCAAAATTTTTCAGTAGAAGAATAAAATGATCATAGTTGCATTACTTTAATCTGGAAATTATTTGTGACTATTTTGATAGTGAAGACTTTATAAAGCCTTCATTAAAATAAATTGAAATAGAATAGGTGATTAATTCTGTAAGTGATACCCAAATGCCTGTCCTTGAACTAGCTACATGAGATTCAGGATTATAAAGGGGAATTCCTCTCTGTATCTCCAAATAGAGAAATAGGTGATATATCATGTATATCATACAACATATGCTCTATGAGATGTAACCTATCCAAATCATATATTCTTGTGTGAAATTATGAAGGAAGGCCTAGGAATTTTGGTTTATAAAAATCTTGTTTGAAAGTTTTGCAAATGTAAAATTTACAGTACTTGGCAAAGTCCTACAGGATGGATAAGGTGATGGGATGAAAGAGGAACAGCAACTCTAAAGTAGTGACTTTCAAATACAGATCAACATATCAATCACCTGGAGCATGTTAAAACACAAACCAGTGATTCCAATTTAGTGAGTCTGGAATGGAGCCCCAAGAATCTGGATCCTTTTTATTTTTTTCAGATGAAGTCTCACTCTGTTGCCCAGGCTGGAGTGCAATGTCATGCGATCTAGGTTCACTGCAACCTCTGCATTGCAGGTTCAAGTGATTCTCCTGCCTCAGCCTCCTGAGTAGTTGGGATCACAGGCACGAGCCAGCACGCCTGGCTAATTTTTGTATTTTTAGTAGAGACGGGGTTTCACTATGTTGGTCAGCCTGGTCTTGAATTCCCGACCTTGTGATCCACCTGTCTCAGCTTCCCAAAGTGCTGTAATTACAGGTGTGAGCCACTGCACCCAGCTGAATCTGATCCATAAGTGTTGAGTTTGGTGATTTTCAGGCTTTAGTGTTCATCATACTCGTATGGAAAACTTGTTAAAACACAGATTGCTGAATTTCTAATTCAGCCAGTCCTGAGCAGACCCAAGCATTTACATTTCTAACTAGTTTCAAAATAGGAAGCACTACAGTTTGAGAACTGCTACTCCAGCTGATTTGTATAGCCTGGGTAATGGGGAGAATGATGGTGTCCTTATCGTCAAGAATCTTCACCTTTTCTATTAGGTTGAAGAAAATCATACTTTTATTCCTTGTTATCTTTTAAGAAAGAAAAAAAATGGAGGATGTTTAATCATTTGTTGGCCTTATACAGACAACATGACCATGGTGAAATGTAATATCCATTTGAAAAAAATGACTAATAACATTCTCACTGGATAAATAAAAGGTGAAGAAAAAATTTATTCTCTCACAGTTGAATTGAAATATCCTCTTGTTATAGAGTAATAAAAATTGTCAACTGCTTTGTTATCCTTCTGATGTTTTAACATCTGGACTTTAGATGACAAAGGTAATTGCAAGGATACTTTGTTGTTGTCATTGTTGCTCTATTGACAGGAGGCAGCAAAATGTGAATTTGGCTCACAGACCAAATTTACTCAATGTCTATTTTTGTATGGTCTGCAAGCCAAGAATGGTCTTTACATTTTTAAGTGGTTGAAAAAAATCAAAAGAAGGGCAGTATTTCATGACTCACGAAAATTATACAAAATTCAAATTTTAGTGTCTATGATTGTATTAGAATTCTCCAGAGAAACAGAATCAATAGGCCAATAGGAGGTATGTGTGTACGTGTGTGTATACATATACATATGTATATGGAATACATAATATTTTGGATATTGGAGTTGGTTCATACAATTATGGAGGCTGAGAAGTCCCATGATCTGCTGACTGCAAGCTGGAGACCCAGGAGAGCTGATTTTTTAAGTTCTGGTCAAAGTGCAAGAGAAGATCAATGCACCATCACAAAAACAGTCAGGCATCAAGAGAAAATTCTTCCTTAGCTTTGGTTTCATTTAAACTTCCAATACATTGGTTATGGCCCGAAAACATTGGGAAGGTTAAACTGCTTCACCCTCCTTACTGGTTCAAATGTTAATTTCATTAATAAACTCTTCACAGAGACACCCAGAACAGTGTTCAGCCAAATATCTGGGCACCCCATTGTCCCAGTCAACTTGGTAAACAAAATCTATCCCTTCTCAGCTTGGCATTCATACACATCTCCTTAAATCATATTTAATCTCCAAATAAACATAATAACAAGCTCACAATTCCACTTCACATAATACAGCTATCTCACTTACAACTGAATATGCATTACCCATTCCCTAGAAAAGGAGGTAAAGTTCTTCACGTTTACTTTTCTCCTTGACATCCTGTAACTTAAAAACTACTATGATGTACAAAAAAAAAATACTATGAACAATACTTAAATATTATGCTAATAAATCAATACATTATATGTCACATAATAAGGGAATAAGAGAGGGAGAAAAAGGTACTATAAACACATGAACATTTCACAACAAAATAAGAGGGAATACTCATAGCAGTCTTCATTTATGTAACTGGTAACATGGCTGTAGCTGATATTTACAAATACCTTCTTTCACTATCCTGTTTTTTGTTTCTTTCTTTCTTTGCCTTTAGCAAGCCCCTCAACTGGTTCTTTACCTGGTCAAATAACCCAAGCCTTCATTCCTAACGGGTCTAGGGCATTAGGAGTTTTGCCTGGATTGGGTTGTAATTTTACATTAACCTTAATTTACTGGACATGTAGTACAGAGGGGCATCCTACAGGTTTTACTGCATCTCAGACATACTCAACCTTACTTCCATTGCTCAGTAGCAGTCCCATTTCCCCTTGCTATTCTGATCAATCACGGCAGACAGCACAGCAACTCTCATCTTTGCTTGTTGATTCAGAGGCACAAGGAGTTAAAAGTGGCTGGGCAGCAGTTTTATTAATTAATTTATTTTTCAAGGGAACACTTCATGAATTTGCATATCATCCTAGGGCAGGGGCCATGCTAATCTTCTCTGTAATGTTCCAATTTCAGTATATGTGCTGCTGAAGTGAGCACAGTTTTCATTGTTGTGTCTCCTAGTGGAAGCATTTCTCTCTCAGGAGCTAAGGACCTTTACGCCAGTAGAGCATAAAGGTGATGGGAACAGGAAGCAAAAATTTTATTAGTGGGTCACTAGGAGTAATGGTGAATAAATTCTTTCCAATTTCTGCCCCTTATTCCTGGACCCACGAGTCTTTGCTATGGAAGAAACAGCTCTATCTACATATTAGATATTGATTCACAGAATCTGTAGCCTCAGCATTGCAAAATACTACCACCTAGCTGGTTTCTGTAACTAAGTTTTCCAAAGGCCATTCCACTGTTCTATCAAGCCAATTGTTTCAGGATAGTGGGGAACACATTCCATGAGCATGGATCCATTACCATACTTCCTTTGCTGTGAAGTAAGTTCCTTAGTCAGAAGCAGTGCTGCGTGGAATACTGTGCCAGTGGATAAGGTATTCTGTAAGTCTAGGATCACAGTTTTGGTAGGAGCATTGCATGCAAATCCATACTCAAGATAAGTTTCTGCAGTTCCTACTCTAAGGTCTTGCTTACAGAGAAGAGCCATCAAAGAGCTCTTCAAGGATGCCAGGTCCCGCCTCACATATTGATTTCACAATACTGGTGAAAGTTTGTTTTTTGGATCCTTCCAATGTGGGTGGATAGGTCTTACATGACAAATCCACTCTAACATTTCAGTCTCCCTAAGGCTTTGTATCTCTTCCTCTACATTATTCCAAAGCAAGTCTGACATTTTCAGTTCACTTACTGTGGGCCACCTTTTAGAACCTGTTTCAGCCAACCAGCTGAACAAATTCATAGTGCCCTTTCTAACCCTCTGAGCTGTAACATTAAATGCAGGCTATGCTTATTGAGTCCATATCAATAAATTCAGCCTGATCTAACTTAATGTCCTTTATTCCACATTCTTAGTGTTCATTCCCACACATTGTTTCCTGGACTTCTGTCTGTACAATTAGAGAACTCAAACAGTTCCATTGAAGTGAAGTGCACCCTCTCATGAGTCACACTTTTTACCTCATCTTTAGGGGCCTGCTGGGACTTGATTCTCGTTATAGGTCTAGCAACAAAGAGAATGGGTCTTAAGGACAGTCAGCATTATCTTGCATGACAACTGTCTTGTGGGAGGCCATTAAACTTTCCTCAGGTAATGCAGAGTTCATCTACTCAGACTGGATTAAAAAGGCTGATGCCACTGACAGTGCGGAGGCCACTAACACTGGGGAATGGGGGAGTTGTTTCACTGGGGATGGGGAGATCACACCCTGAGCTCATTCTTTTCCTTCACCACTTTGTCCAGCAACCTTGGAACAACCAGCCAATCTTATTGTATTGATTAGTTTTTCAAAAAAGCTTGAAAGTACCATATACACAGTAACTCAGGTTGTTGCTTCTTGTAAGTGGTTGATTAAGAGTGTTCAGTGCAGACATTTTGTGTATCTCTGCTACCAGTTCACATGGTACAAGGTATTTGGTTGGGAATTGTTTTGGGTGTGTCAGTAAGGACCTTTATAGATGAGATTAACATTGGAGTCAGTAGACGAAGTGAAGCAGGCTGCCCTCCACAAGGTGAGTGGGCCTCAGTCAATCCACTGGAGACCTGAATAGCACAAAAAGGTGGAGCAAGGGAGAATTCACTGTCTGTCAGACTGCTTTCTTCTCCTGCACTTCAGTTGAAACCCACACCAATAGTTCTCCTGGTCCTTAGCCTCATACTGGAACTCTACCACTAACTCTCCTGGGTCTTCACCTTATAGAATGCAGGTCCAAATCATGAGACTTCTCACCTTCATAATTATGTGAGCCAATTCCTTATAGTATATAAACACAGGAGCATTGATAGTCCATGGCATTCTACGAGGTGGAGACCCAGGAGAGTTAGTGGTAACAGTTCCAGTGCGAGGCTAAGGACCATGAGAACCAATGGTGTACGTTTCAGCTGAAGTGCAGGAGAAGAAAGCAGTCTGACAGACAGTGAATTCTCCCTTACTCCACCTTTTGTGCTATTCAGGTCTCCAGTGGATTGACTGAGGCCCACTCACATTGTTGGAGGGCAGCCTGCTTCACTTAGTCTACTGATTCAAATGTTAATATCATTTATAAAGGTCCTTACTGACACACCCAGAACAACGTCCACCCAAGCACCTTGCACCATGCATTCCAGTCGAATGAACATAAAAACCATCACTGTAGTGAGTTTTATTTAAACAAAGCCATACTTGTTCTTTTCTATATTGTCATCTTTGGCTGTTTTCAAGCTATAACAGCAGAGCTGAGGAGTTGAAACAGAGAACATTTGGCTTGCAAAACCCAAAATATTTGCTATCTGACCCTTTACAATAAAAACATTGCTCACTAATATTCTAAAAGAGTGCTTTTAACATTTTAATATATGTACAAATCAACTGGGGATCTTGTTAAATTGTTGATTCAGATTCAGTAGGCCATCGCCAAAATTTTCCATTACTGTCATGCTCCTGGGTGAGGCCAGTTCTGCTAGACTGAAAATTGTACATTCTATTTCTCAAATTTTTGCTCATCATAGTCCCTAACTATAATGCCTTAAACTCCTGCCTATGCAGCTTCTCTTTAGGTCCATTGAACTTAAATCCTGTTACTTCTATTTATTCTCCAAACTATGTCATCTTATTGTAAACTCTTCTTCCTTATTACACTTACTTCGTTTCACACTTTTAGGCTTTCAATGTATTCTGTGTTGCCTAGTTGTTTGACTTTTTAATATGTGACTATTTTAACTCCTTCAAAAGATTTAAACTTTGGATATTCTGTTTTTAGACATCTATTACCTATTATGCTTGCATAGTTTCTTACATATAGAAGGTATTCTCAAGGCATTTACTAAATTAGTTACTGTTCCACATCTAGAAAGGATAGAGTTAAATCAACAGTACATCATCACAGTTTGTGAAGTGATACTCTTAGCCATTGATATATTTTTAGAACTAATTCATTTTTCCCTTTAATAATTTTGATAAATTTCAGTGATAAGAATTATGCTTCTTTCTGAACAAAAGACAGTATTGAAGTAAATACAAGACTTTGGATTAAGATATTAAATCAGGCTATAGAACTGAAACTGAAACTTGTCTCAAGCCTTGAGATGTAAAGTATACCTTAATTATGAACTGAAAAACTGCTTATTGTGCAAATTGTCTGGAGGTTGGAGAATTAGAAATGCAATGTTAATTTCACTAGTTTAATAATTCATTTTCAGAGTTTGCTTGAAGAGATATTGATAAGTTGTAATAGCCAGTCATGTACGAAAGTTTACAGACCATGAAAATGTTTTATTTTGCCATTAAAAATTACACAGTCCAGCTTTTGAAGAGAATTATGTGAGTAATTTAAATCAGATGAGAAACTTCTGCTGTCATAACAATTAGCCAATTTACTTTGCTCTTCTTCTAATCAATTTAAAATTTCTACCTGAACTATTTCAGCATATTCCAAGAATAAAAGTAGTATGAATATAAAGCTGCTTTCAAGGAATCTTATATGTAGATGTAAAAGGCAGTTACAAATGTTTGGCATTTTATGAATTTTTGAGTTTTTTTTTTTTTTTTTTTTTTTGAGATGGAGTTTTACTCTCATCACCCTGGCTGAAGTGCAATGGTGCAATCTCAGCTCACTGCAACTTGCATCTCCCGGGTTCAAGCAATCCCCCTCTCCTGCCTCAGCCTCCGGAGTAGCTGGGATTACAGGCACCCACCACCACCACGCCTGGCTAATTTTTGTCCTTTTTTTTTTTTTTAGTGGAGATGGAGTTTTACCATGTTGGCCAGACTAATCTTAAACTCCTGACCTCAGGTAATCCACCCACCTCAGCCTCCCAAAGTTCTAGGATTACAGGCATGAGCCACTGAGCCCAGCCAACTTTTGAGTTCTTAAAGCAATACTCTTTATATTCTTTACCCCAAAATAAATATAATAATTTTACTACTTAATACCTTTTGGACTTAATAAATGAAAATAAATATCTTTTTAAAATAAATGTTGTATGCAAGGAAATGTTATAAGGGAATTTCACATTTAAGTATTATATTAGGTTTGAATAAGATATTGGAATTCTAAATATTTTCAGGTATGAATATATATTCTGCTGATCATCAGATTAATTTTGTTTTTTAAAATTTATTTCTAAACTAATATCGTTATGTTAACAAAAATCAAGATCAGAAGGAAAAAAGCCAGGAGCCAACTTGGTACAGCACAGTTTATCCACATGGTGGAGCCATGTGGCTAGATCCTGGAGACACCGATTTTAGTATCCTCATCGTTTTGTTAATAACTCATGATAACTCTAACCAACCACATTTCTTCTTCCTGCATGTAGTTTTCTCTGGTTCTCTCAGTTTAGTTCCTTATCATCACTCACTGTAGCAGAGTGCAGTCTTACTCTTTTCCAGTCTGTCTTTTATAGCAGTGATTTGCCAATCTTAGCTGAACATTGGTAACTCCTGGGCAATTTTCACCAACCCTGGAGCAGAGGGCCCTTCTTCAGGCTAATTGAGCAGCAATCTGCAGGGTGGGTTCTGGACATTGGCACATGTTTAAAGTCTCCATGTGTGATTCTATCTGTAAACAAGGTTGAAAACCAGTGCACACTACCACTGCAGACATCATTTCAGTTATAAATCTAATCAATCACACCACTCTTCCAGTTAAAATTGTTCATTGGCTCCTCATCAACTTTAGGAGAAAAACAAACTCATTAACAAGGCAAACAATCCCTGTCAACATCTGAGGATTGCTTTTCTGGCAGCACCACCATCTTCCACCCCACAACACGTGCAGAGTTCCAGCCTACAGAGTTGCTTGCAGGCTTCTAAACTTAACAGGTTTTTTCACACTTCCAGAATGGCCTCATATCTCTAGCAGCTAATACACTAGGCACTAATTAATATTAATTGAATGACTAGATGAATACTGTAAAACATCTTCCTCTTATTTAGGACAGGGATGTTTATTTC